CCCCCCCCCCCCCCCCCCGGTTTAGACCGCACCACAGCTGTAAATACTGCTGTCGATGCAGAGGCTTCACGGGTCTTTTTCTCCTCGCACGAGTGCTTCAGTTCCGCTCGTTGTTGCATGAAAGACTACAGCCACTTCGAGCACGACAGCACAATCCACACAACACGGCACGTACAGCCTTACACAACAGACAACGTTACCATAAAAGTCTGGTGCATGAGGTAAGCGTGCATGCATATGCAATGTTCGTCCTAATCTCTTTTGTGCCGCTTGTGATCGCGCACGTCGAATCCTTCTGATACGAGAACCGAAATGGATCCGAACATCTATTCCTTCACAGCAGTAAGGCCGAGCTTTCCTCTTGAGACATCTTTTATCAATGGAAGAACAGGTGGCAACACATGCATGGGTGAAGTTTGTCGAAACACCTCTCTACGGAATCAGTCTCATCAGACATCAGACATTGAGAGGCAACGTCAGCACTGCGTGCGAGAGTGACAAATTGGGCACACGATCTACTACGTAGATTCGCACCTTCTTCGGGTCAACAGGGAACAGGTGACCAGCTCCCGATTCTTGCCATGCCTGAGTGCAAGCAAGGTTCGCACGGTGGTGGGGAGGGTGGCGTTTGCGAAGGGACGTCAGCCTCGCGTGAAAGATGTATTGCTGGACACCGGCAAATGGTGTACGCATGTGACCAGATTGCTCCCTGGGTAGGTATGCAAGATCATTTTTCCTTCTTACACAGCAGGTACCACAGACACAGCAGCTGACGCGAGCTCCAGCCCGCGCCGTAGTGGGGCTCACCTGGAAGCTGCGGCTCTTGAACCTCGAAGGCCCCAACTTGCCGAGGTTCTCCTGCTTCTTCTTGTCCGCGTCCTTGATCTTTTTCCACTCCGCAGGCGAAAGCCCGTCCGGGATGTAGACCATCTTCAGGGCGGCGCTGCTGCTGCTTCTCGTGGTCACAGGCCGAAGCGGGGCGGACGGAGGCGCGAATGCCACCACGCTGGAAGTTCCAGCCAAGGCAGCCACAGCAAAGGTAGAAACTGTGCGCATCTTGATAAAGGAGGAGCCGGAGACTGGAGTGGATGAGAGTTGTGGCTGCTGAGATGGGATGAAGGTGTGCGTGTGTGCGATGGGGGATGTGTACATGCGTGTGCCGCGTTCAAAAAAAAAATGGCGGCGCAATTCGATCTGACGTGTTCGGGTGACGTGTACTGGTGCATGACGCAATATACCACCCCACTCACGTATCGAGAGTTTTGCGATTGATGCGCTGCAGCTACCACTATTACTGCTGTAGGTGGTAAACGGAAAGTCTCAAGCAAGCTCTCGACACGATTTTATCAGACAAACACCTTGGTAATTCTCCACAGCCCTCCCCCTGAAAATGAGGTATGTAGCACAAGAACGACACCTCCACGCAAAAGATGTGTATTGGGCAAAGTAGACGGGCACACTCCGAGGACAAGACAGACAGACATGAAATATGCTCTGGAGTATACGATAGTGGTATGCGCACGATGTATCGCGGATCAATAGTTCCAGTCCCAGCAAAGCTCGTTCTTCTTCCACTTTTTTATCCTTTTTTCGCGCGTCTGCTCTCGCGCGTACGTGGAGTATTATTATTTTTGTTTGGCATCGCGTTGGGAGCCATGGATGGGCTCTCTACTGTTGTTTTATTTTCAGGATGGAGCCCCCTTGTTATGCAATTAATCTTTTTATAGATCCGTTTGACGTAGACTAGACTACGTACATGTTTTTTTTTTTATCATTGGACTCTGTCTTCTGCCCCTCTGGCCCCCATCCTCCACTTCTACTAGCTAGACGACCCAACCGGGGTCACAGAGGAGGGGGGGGTTGGACCCCCTCCTGCGGTTCCTGCCTGAGATATTTATATCGCGAGACGGGTACAGCAATCCCTTCCCTCGCGACTTATGAAGTCGATCTAGTTTCTAGTAGTTTACTCACAACGAGGTTTGCAGCGCGTCGCTTCCAACTTGACCAGGATTTATTTATTTTTCTATTTTTCTTTTGATATGACACAACGAATCCATCTCTATCATAGAAAAGAGTCTGAGACAGATTAGCGTCAGAAAGTACCTGTATGTCTACGATTTCCCAGACAGCATATAGGGACATCTCCCCTGCGGGTAACAGGCTCAACAAAACAGTTTGGTAGCTGTCTTGTGTGTCTCACATATGTTATGTTGGGAAGGTGCAGGAGAAATGTGTTATGTACTGTTGGATAGTCGGGCGTTTTATGTATTCTTTCGTTTCGGGTTCGATCACCTCCCGGCCTTTTTTTTTTTTTTGCTATGCGTACAACTCTTATCGCGTTTTCTTAGGACTTTCTGAGTCCATTTTTATCTTCCATTTGATCTCTAGAAGTAATCTTGAAGTACATGCCATGCGTGTTTGTCCTTTTCTAGGGTAGTTGGCCTATGACCACGGAAAGTGCCCAAGTCAGTTGGACCATTACGGATATTAGGAGGTAGTACTGAACGGATCAAAATGCTCTGCTATGTGGGCAGCCAAAGATGATCCAGACGTGCACGGAGTGCCAGTGCCACGTGCGGGAAGGGTATCGCCATTGCTGGGGCTGAGGAGACTTCAAGAAAGAGTCTATCCAAACACAACCGAAGGTAGAATCACCTCTCAACGGTTATTATGAGGGTAAGAGTATAGAGCACATGTCAACATGAGCACCTACGAAACAAGAAGCGTCGTCAGTGTGCATGCATTTGCGGCAGTATTGCGGTGATGCACGAACTGAAGCGACCGCCGTATGGCAGAGTTTCGTCTCTGTTATCATAAGCGTAGCAGGCTGATTGCTGGCCATAAAAATGTTAAACACGATCAAGCACGTGGAAAAATCAAGGCGGAGAAACACCAGCACACAGCCGACGCAGCCATGCAGGTTCTGCATGGCATGCACGCTCAAACTATTGCAGCCCATCCGGCACATTATATTCGCTCGCGGTTGTTTCATTGGTCCAACACCACCAACCACCAGTTTCACATGCTCCACTACATCTAATGCGCATGTTCGCACAACGAAGCCGCCATCAGCCAGACAAAAAGCACAGAATCTCCCACGCGAATGCCAGTGTCGTGTTCAATCAATCTCCCATGCCAATGTCGTCCCACGAGGCTGAGTATCCGGCCGCGCCTCCCAGGCCAGCGCCGGGCAGAGAGTGATCGCCGACCATCTGCCGTTCGGGAACACGGAGAAATGTTGTTCGGGATGAATCAATTCAATGCTAGAAAGTTTGTTCATCGGGTGGTATACCGGCTGGATGGTCTTCTACAGCACACGCTCTTGACATGATCGAAACTACCAAGTAATACATACAAAGCGACACGAGACACGAGAGGGTGGGATGATAAGAGAAGAAGGAACGGCGGCCCCCACCTGGACCACTAAACACATTTGGCTTTACTAGGATAATAAGACAAGGCAGAGGATGCCCCGTGAGTCCGTGCGCGATGTTTGCGACGTTTCCATCAACAAATTGGTGTTCGCTAAGGGGGCTACAAGACAAAGGACACACAATATGCCATGCTGCTCGCCTTCTGGATGAAAACTGGATTGACTATCAGCCTAGCCTCCAGCTTCCGAACTCTTTCTGTTAGCTCTGCAGTGCTTCGCAAGTCAGCCTCCAACCGCGCCGTCATGGTTGTCGACGAAAGCGTGTTCGTGTCTTCCCGGAAGTGCACCGTTCCAGCGGGGTATGCGATCTGGGCGCATATTTCCCCGGCCTCCACCATGTTCAAGATGTAGCCTTGAGCATCGTCAGCGTGTGCCAGTCCAACCTTATCGGAGATATCTGTACCACAAAAAAAGAGGTGACGTGAGAGGAAGGCTTTCGGCACAAGGGTAGCAAGAGAGACCTTGAGATCTGCTGCGCACCTACAAAAAAACGAAACATCCGCTCCAAGGATCACGCTTGCTTACCACTCAGAGGTAGTGTGATGTAGGTATGAGTGAGCTCGGTTATTTTTCTCTTGGTGAGGGCGGTCACTGCCTGCTTCACGAGCCCCATGTTGCCATCCTGATAGCCAAGGGTAGCACACGCAGTGTAGCAGTCAGTTTCAAACTTGCTGTAGCAGAATAACACCATCGCAGCATCAGCAGCGGTGCACTTTCACAGCCACGGAATCACAAAGAAGCGATGAAGGTGAGTCTGAGTCCGCGGTATACCGGTTAAAAGTATAATCGTCGTCAACAGAAAAAAATCCTACTAACGACGCTAGGAGACGAAAAGCACTACTCGGAAACACGACGGGTAGTCAGTGCCTGACAAAGGTTGAACCGATCCCGTCGTCAGCCCTCTTCTAATGCCATCTGCTGTGGTGAACAACGAACTAGCCCGTGACGCATGACGACAACACAGGAGTATTCCCACGGTTAGTTGAGAGTGACCGCCGCGTGTGTCGGTCAGTCAACAGCGAGTGCTCAAGGAAGGAACAACGCTCGAGGTGATGTGTGATGTACCTGGATGAACTTCTCACTTCCTGCAACCACCGCCGCGTTGAGCCCCTTGACATCTCCCGCCTGGAAGAGGTGTTCAAAACGCAACATAAACGAAAAAGGTCTCTATTCTTCAAACGGCTGTTTCTCTCTTCTCTCTCATCCTAGCGGATGTCCGCTGCAGCTTAGCTTTGCACGGCTGGTGCTGACTTATGACTGGGCTGGCGTGACATGCTACATATCGGTGAGGACGCATGAGGGTCGATGACGTATCTACCGCAGGAAGAGGACTCCGTAGAGGGTGTGGCATCACAAAGAGGCATGGCATCTTACGCAACCTATCGTACCGTATCCTTGCGCGCTGGCCTAAACGATGAACGGGCCACACGATACAATCCGCGCGGGAAAAACCGGAGAATTTTCCAACCTGAAAGCATGATACCAGGGCTTCGTAGTCAGAAGTGTGACTTTTCAGGTGGCGCGTGACGGAATTGGACGCGTACTTGGGGAGAGGTGGAACCTCTCCGGAAATGATCAGGGACACCAGCATCATCTTCTTGTACCCCTCTATCACAAGGGAGCTCAACACGTTCGCCGGGATGGTGAGGAGCTGAGAGACAAACAAAAACCAATGCGAATGGTGTTCACATGAGCGAAAACGAAACGGACGGTCATGGAGCATGGAGCGGAAGAATTGTGCGCAAGAGGTCATGTTGAGCATACACGTGTGAATGACAGATGTACCACAAGAACGGTGTCCATACACACACACAAGAGTGAGGCGAGATTGTCCTCGGGGCACAGCAACAACCCTTGAATTGCGGGATCCCACTGGTGGGCATAGGACCCTTGCCATTGCCACCTCTTGGCGCGGGCACGCGGCCCCTCGCTGAGGTTCCCCCATCGACCCACTCTCTTTCTTTGCGTTTCCCTCCATGCCTCAATCTCACGGACAAACCCTTACCTGCCCTAGGTCGATGCTCTAGGTAGTGGATCAAGGCCACCACGATGTTGGCAAGGTCGTCTACAGAAATAACCGAAGTTCTCACACATGCTTGCAGTCAAACATGGGAGATGAGGGCAATAATGGCCGAGTTCAACGACAAAGTTCCCGAGGCGAAATGAGAGAACCTCCGCAAGCCGACGTCGACCGAACTCACCATCAGGAAGCTATCCAAGGCGCCCTTCCATTGCTTTGCACCAATGTACACGATTCCTCCGTAGTAGAAATGCCGTAAAAAGTGTACCGGGGTAAGACCCGTCGCCACGGGCTCAACCCCGAAGATGGGCCGGTCGTCCATAAACCGAGACCCGAGACTGTAGCACTTTGCCGCGATGCAGCACTGGCGACGAAGCAACACAGATTGATACAACAAAATGTTGAGATGGATCTTAACAAATTCTCCAAGCACGTGGGAGAGAAAATTTTCAACTATCCAAGCACCAAATTCAACAGAGCAGCGCCACCCGCCGTGGCTCATGTTGACAGAATTGATGTGTCTGCCTGCTGAAAACTTGGACTCTCGATCGCGGCAGGACCAATCCATCTAAGGAAAAAGTGTTTTGACAGACGAACAGGGAAAACTGGCGCAGAGGAATCGCCGGGTAGCGACCCAAAAAAATACTGCAGCGACGCCAGGTGCTTCCCCGCGTCATGCCGACTGCCGCCCCCCGGCGGTTTCACACTGACTATACCTCCGCAAAGAAACAGTGCGATCCGTTATTCGGCCACCGGCGCTGGACCGCACGCATGGCTATGACCAGGCTGATGATCTACGAAATCTACGAAATACCGAAGGAGGTGAAGGCCATGACTAGTGGACCGAAGCCGCCTCTTTGCTTCAAGCCTCGCGGTGTAGCCGACGTCATAGCAACGCAGGGTGGAGGATATCATAACATAGACGGAATTTACGTCTTAGTCCTGGATCTACTTTGATCGCATGACGTCTCTCTTCCCCTCCCCGTGGGGTAGAGCGGGAACAAGGATAACCGGCGCGTGCTGAATTTGCATGACGTACGAGTCCGGCCATATTTGCGCCAGTGCAGAAAACGACTTCTTCAAGACAGCCCACCCCACCCCACTGCCGTCTTAAAAGGCACTGCTGTCCGTGTGTGTCCGGATGTATGTCGGTGGTCATCCTTAGGGGCCGCCAGCCAAGCACGTGCTCGACCAGGAGTAGCTGTTACAACGAAATCGTCACGCGCACAAGTCGAACGCTATGTAGCACACGCTGAAGATCAAGCTAACCTGCAGAAACTCTGGGTGTAGCGGCGTGAGGCTTGACCTGTCTCCGTCCATCTTGATTGCAGCACTTCGCAAGGGCAAGAGCGCCTCTGATGCCCTCCCCTCCGAGATGCACACTTGGCCAAACTTTTCGCATACACTGCCGACTAAACAGCGCCAGGTACGGACACGAGAGCGAGGGCGAGGCTTTCTGAAAGGAGACATGTGTTTCAGTTGCGAACATCCCGCCATCAAGCAAGAACGGATACTTTCTCTACGGTAAACACTTTCGCTCTTGAACAGATGTTACGGATGCCCGATTGGAATCATTGGATTTTCAAATGTACTATCAGGCCTGTACTTGATGAGTACCAGATCCCTAAAAGCGTTCATATATGTAGGTTTTGGCTGTGACTGCTATTATAGTTAGCCCGCCTTGCTTCCGTTTCCACTCACGGTGTCTCGGCGCGATCGTGACCTGGTGCCAGTTGCAGTGCTCCAGGAAGGCCAGAGTCACGTCAATGAACGCAGGCACTTCTTGCGGGGTGAGTACCTCTGCCTGGGCGGCACTGAGAAAGGAGACAAGGCAAGAGGCAGGTGCAGCGAGCTGTTGTGCGAAAGGCAGAGCAGCAGTGCAACAGCAGTCTAATATGTCGCCAGACGGGGCTCCAGATATTTGAACTCCGGTCTTCTGTACAAAGAAAGCTGGCCAATGATGTACAGGGCTTCAGGCATTTTGTGCCGTACTGAGCAGGACGCCACAGGTTTTCTTGTCAACTCACAGAAGGTGCAGGCTGCCGAGAGATGCCAGCTTGGTGTGCTCCATAGCTGCTGCGATTAGAGGGCTGTTGGCCGCTGCCACCCCGCCATCTCGGTCGGTCGTTTGAGAAAACGTTTTTGCCACCTCCTGCAGAGCATCTCCCTGTTGAGTGCAAAAACTTATGAGCAAAAGTCGTGTCGCCACTGCAGCAGCATCGTGCCATTCCTGTTTACCTCATTGTGCACTGCAGGCTCTCTTGAACACACGGCAAGCGTGCGGAATATCTCAGCCCTCTGAATTACGCAAGATTATACACACCTATGCATACCTGCTTTGTGAGAGCGCCGTGAATTGTCTTGAGCTGAGCATGGGAAGCGTCTGCGGGCAACCCCTGTAGATCTGCGCAAAAGGTTAGCGTAGTTTCCATCGTCCGAGAGTAGATCGACCGTGACCTCAGGAGGTTGGCTGGGCACGAGCAACGAGAGCGTAGCACAGGCACTGCACAGTGCAGAGATACTTGCTGCGGCGGAGGGGCACCGTGGTTTGAAGGGTTTTCAACAGAACCAAGGAGGCGGGGTGTTTGAAACCGATCAGGACCAGAGACTAGACCTGTGCGTGCAACATCACGAACGCGCGTTCGCACGTCGCTCTTAGCGTGCGCGGCGTGTGCTGGGTACGACGCGGTATTGTTCCTTTGATGTTTGTGATAGATGCACGGGACGAAGACAGATAAAGAACGAAGGGCCTTCGTTGGCACAAACGAGGCAGGTTGACACCACGACGGCATCATGAACCCCGACACGACAAGCTACACGAGTCTTACCGCCCGATTGAAGCAACACAAACGAAGGAGGCAGAACCCTGCAACTGCCGGTGCGTCGTTTGATGTTTCTCAGCTTGTCCCTGGTCGGCCAGTACCCGACTGGATACGACATCGCGTGAAGGGCACTCGACCAGGGCATAAGTCGGCAATACCACTCGGCAACGAACACGCTCGGGGAGCCCAAGCGCTAAAGTTTGATCCTTCCTCCATCACAAACGGCGGGACAATGATGCTGGATATCAACAACATGCGGAAGGACTGGAAATCGGCTTCCACAAGACGAGTTGAAGCTGTCCAGCGAGCCCGTATTTCACAGAATCGCCAGCCAGAACCAGTCCGGCGTTTCCCCGGCGATGTGCGGCCTGTCGGCATTCCGTCCGACAGCCCAGTGGCGATGTTCGCCCAGAGCTCCAACACCGGAAAGACACGAATGAAAGACGACTTACCGGCGGCTGCGGACACTGGGGCGGAGCTCGGAGGCTACGACGCGGGCGAGAAGCAGAAAGAAGTTGCTCCATTGCTTATGAAGAACACGTATTTGGCCCTTGATCAGTCAAAACTGCCACTCGAGGTACGCGTCGTCTATTGCTTGCTGTAGGGCGGGCGTAATCGAACACGGCACACCTGGTGCATTCGTATCCATTTCCGCTACAGTGCCCTCAAGAACAAACTGTCTTGTTTTGTTCCGTACTTCACCTCATGTGTATCATGTGGCCTAAATCTGTCCTGGATTGAGCTCGCTTGTGGTGGTACTGCTGTGTACAATAAATTACCTCAGGACCAAACAGGCGTCGACGGCGTATCCCATACTCCTCCTGTAGCTCGGGCTACCCGTAGATTCAAAGTAAAGCAGCCCTGATATGTAGTTAGTTGGTGTGCTACTATGTACAGGCTTGAAGTTTGCTGCACATGTAATTTGTGGATGTATTGCTGGATGTGTACGTAGCGGTTTTAATTGCCGCGTACCCGGACCAAGTAGCTTTGAGCGGGAGCACCCGAAGGTTGTGAATAAATAAAAACATACCATTTCTTACCTTCGGGATATGTTCCGGAGGTCAAAGAGTCAGAAGACAACCTTTTCCTGGCGGCCCATCAAATACCACACCTGGCGATGAAAATCAGCAGGTTCTCCACCCTATATACCTTGTTCTGTTGTATCTAACGTCCCTCCACAGATCTTTAATGGTGTCGAGGACACAGATGCGAACGGTGTCCAGACTTCCTGGCTGGAGTCTGGAAGTGGTGCAATGGCCCCGTTCTATGTAGGCGATGAGTGGCAGTGGAGGCGCTGCTCCGTTCTGTCATACGATTCAACCACCAATAAGTATCGAGTGAAGTTCACCCCCAATGGGCTCGAAAAGGAGGTGAAACGTTTCAATCTGCTTTTCGACGCTGAAAACAGAGACGCGTGGCAATCCTGCCGTGAGGCCGCGAAAGCCTCGCGGGATGATGCGAAGAAACGCCTTCGCTTTGACTATTTTGTGTCGCAACAACCAATGGAAGAAGTCAGAGCAGTTCAGGGCTCAACAATACGAGGCATCCATGAAAAAGTCGCTGATGGTTTGCCATTGGATGTAGCGTTTCCGCAGCAAGGAACACAATTGGGCAACCTACTCCGCGGCTTAACAAAAGAAGTTATCCAACAGCACACAAGATCGATGAAGAAGAGCATCCTGTTCTACAAGTTGGAGCACTCGAAGGTTGAAAAAGAACGCTTTACTAGTCTCGGACTACCCCCGGTACCTGAAGCGAGCCCTATACCCTGGTCAGCAAAGATCAGCATCCCAGGGCACCCGTACATTGACAGGCGAAAGGCGATGGGCAACATCCACTACAGCAGCTTGCCCGAGGTGATTGGTGTGCACGGTTAGCTTGCCTTATTTCCTGCTCATGCTCGTGCTTCTTGATATGTACGCTGTGTCCGTCGACAACACTGACGGCAACCTATCGTGACGTTGCGTACCCACCTCTCCAGGTTCTTCAAGCCTTCCTTTGGCTTTACGAAGTGTGGGAAGGAGTGTTCTTGGAGGAGAGGTTCATGGACACTGAGCTCAAGTCTCTAGAGTTTCCGTGCAACGTTGACGAATTTTGCAAGATCCAGGCAAGTCACTTTCGTCACCCATGTTGGGTACGCTGATGACACACCTTCACCAAGTTGAAAGCATTGGCCGTGCTTAAGCGGCGTGTCTTGAGTAGGGATGATTGTCGTCATGCATGGTCGTCCTGGACCCCGGTAGTGCAGTTTACTCTGAAACACGTATCCTGTAGAAACTGCTACAATCCCACGTGTGTGAGACAGCTTGGTCGGCGATCTAGATACTCATCTGAGGCGAGGTTGCTGTTGCACTCGCGTAACTGCTGCATGAGATTGGCCCCCCGCTTGCGCATGGTATATCTTACTGTAGTAGTTGTACATCTACAGGTCCAATTTGGAAGCACTCGTGAAATGTATAACATGTTTCTGATGTCTTCTCGCCATGCCTTGTTGCTGAGCAGTCAAAGTGCTGCACACGCCTTGGAGAGCGTCTGGCGCAGGATTGGCGGCGTGCTTTCTCGGAGCAGCTGGTCGATTCTGTTCAAGACATTTACGATTTCTTCCAAAGCGATGCTCGTCTGTTCACCTTGTCATCGCTGTATCGTCTCTTGAAGCATTTGGAGCTCCGGATGAACTCTCAGCTGAGGGTATCGTTCATTGTGAGTGGCGGTTCGAACGGGGGAGAACTTGTGTCTCGCTTGCCCACCCGATCATGGCTAGTAGTAGGGATAGAAGTGACGGAGATTTCAAGTCGTTCAATTCGTGTATTTACTTGGGGGATTGAAGACGGATTTCCGCTATCAGCCTTTTTAGGAGGCATTTGTCGCTTCCCTGGTACCCTTTCATCACCCTTGAAACGGCACATTCTCCGCGATCCGTCACAAGCCATTCTTGGTCCACTCCGGGGCTGTTCCACCTCTAAGCGTTGCGGACGTTGTGATGCCCTGTGGCTAATAGGAATCGCTGCTGGCATGGCGACGGTTTGTGGGAAAGCACACTCCTGACTCGGTGGAGGTCAACACTGAAGCCGCCGGTAGCGTGCCGCTGTTCGATGTCCGGCTCAAGGTCGTTACGAAAGGCAGGGGTAACTACGGCGTGTCAATCGTGCCTGGCCGCCCGGAAATCGAGAGCGCTCTCATACAAATCGTGGATGATGTGGTCACAGCGATCAAGGTATGTATGGTATTGCATGCCACAGGGCTTGTCGCAATCGCGGAAGAAACCGGGTAAAATACAGTCCCGGCTATGTCACCATTCCGTGGAACGAGGTTTTTGAAGAAATTGAGAGCGCCAATCAAGGGTCACTAGTTTGCGTTCCATGCCTGATTCTGCATCTCTGCCGTCGACGCCTCGTGCTCGTAAAATTTTCCCATGCAGCAATAACGGATGAATCAGAGGCGTACGTCCGTGCGTTGCGCTGGACATGTCATAGGGCATTTGTTTCAGTACGTTACCTCACGAGGAAATCATGTTGCCCGTGCCTCACCCGTCTGGTGTTGTTTGATGTACGCACATCCACGCATGGCCGGGCCTCATGAACAAACCGTGGATTGGCTTCCTGTAAGATTAAGCACTCCAGCACGCCTTCGTATTTTTCCGTCAGGGTTTGGCCACCATCGATGCGGACCTCATGTCTCTTTTGCATCTTAGTCCTCGACCAATTTTCAACATCGGGGCCAACGACGGCACATACGTGGAGGAAGAATCGGCACTGGACGAGACAAAGCACTACACCCGGTGAGTTGCGAAGAACTCTCGTCCAGAACGAGTAACCCTTGGCTTACTCTGTCGCGCTGTTTTTTCGGGATATGGGCGCAGCAGCAACTGAGGTGTGCTGCAGCTGCGTTTGCATGAGAGACAGACCGAGAGGATGAGAGGGAGAGAGAGATAGGGGGGGGGGGGGGTCAGACAGAGACAGACAGACAGACAGAAGACTTCCAGAGACAGACAGCGAGAGAGAGAGAGACAGACAGTGAGAGAGAACGGGAGAGAGAGAGAGAGAGAGAGAGAGAGAGAGAGAGAGAGAGAGAGAGAGAGAGAGAGAGAGAGAGAGAAACACAGACAGACTGACAGACAGATCGCGTGATGCTGACATGTGATTCGCATGCTCTTCGTCTCCCCACGTGTGTGCCAGAGAACGGGTAGCTCGAGGAATGGAAGGTGCCGTGCAACTAGCAGCGAAGTACGGCAAGTACTGCCACCTGATGGCTATCGACACCGAAGAGTTCGTGTACTCGTTCACGGAGGCAACACCAGCCCCTACCGATGAGGAGTACTTCGCCAAAGTCCGCGAGCTCCACGACGCGTCCGTGGCAATCGGGAGCTGCTCGCTGACGTGTGAGTTGTTCAGACTCGTTCGCGTGGACACCTCTGAGGCGACAAAGGTGATATACTCGTCTTGACAGCCGTCTTAATGGGTGACGGCTGCTTGTTTTGGGTGCTGGATATGTTCCTTGCCCACACAAACGTTCCGAGTAGAAAACGTCGTGTGGCGGTACCCGCATTGGTGCCTGCAGTTGATGGCGCCTGCCGCGGTCGCCCCGTTCGCAGGTGCTGATGGAAAAAGCGCTGGAGGTGAGGGATGCTTTGCTCGAATCCCTCGTGTCGAAAGCGCGGGAGCAAAACAACGACATCATATCTCGCTATAATGCAATCCTGTCAAGAATCGCGGAGAAACCTGCCAACGAGGCGGACCTGGCTGCGCTTCGCGCGTTCATTGCGGATTCCAAAGAGACGGTGCGTTGCTAATCTTTGGCGCGGTACAGTATTCGGGACTGCAGTCTACAACCTTTCTTCCGCGGTGTAATAGTCGAGAAATACTCTTTGATGCATTCTGCTGTTTGTCCCGGGATGTTAGTCGCCTTTGCCGAGAGTAAGGGTAGCATTCTCATGCCCCAGCGGTATCACCTTTGATTCGTATAATCGGTCACGAGGGTTGCACTTCTACAAGTTATCTCTGAGGATCCTGCTTTGCATAGAAGATCAGAACTTGACGCAGTGCGAATCCTTCAACGACCCAGGTATCCTCTCTGATTCTGGAGGTCCAGAGAGTACACGCCCGCCTCGGAACATTAGGCGACTTCAACTACCGCGTGTCGGAAGAGGACATCCGCCTCTCCTGGAAAACGATGGACTACCCTACGGTGAGGCACTTGGTCATTTCATGACTACACCCTTTTAGTGGGTCTGTTGGACCGTGACTTGGCGGTCCAGTAGCTTTTGGTAAAGCCGCGAAATATGCAGCTACAATACAGTACATGTAGTCGACGCCTCAGATGCAGCCAGCGTGAAGTCTTCTACCTAGGCACAAATGAGTGTGATCATATTCGCCCTGGTGAAGGCTACGTCGGGTGGACCTGAAGTCTGCTCCCTTACCAAACACGAACAGGTGTTGAGCGCCGAATATCTCAAATGAAAGACTGCAGAGAAGGCTAGAATCAAAACAGTCGGGGCCGGTTGCCTTCTGAAAAGTATCCAGCAGGTCTGAACTCGCTGATTCGTGGCCCGGCTCGTACCACTAGCCGAGGGAAAAGGGCGGCTCTAACATCACGATCTGCAAGACCCAATGTGGCAATGGACGAGCGTAGGGGAGGCAGAGTTCTTTCGGGACACGACCAGTAGCTTTTATTGAAAGCAGCTTGGTATATGATATTGCTTGTAGGAAGTACTACGGGGCGAAAGTACTTGTATTTCCCAACAAAGAAAGCGGTTCCACCAGACCCTTCGATAGCTGCGTACTGAGCATCCTGGCCCGATCTCCTCGCCGTGCTGACCCTTGCTGTGCCCATCAGATGGTCGATCTTGCCGCAAACAAAGCCGAGGAGGCTTTGGAGCTCGACAAGGTGAGCTAAGGCTTGTACACACTACGTGCAAGGAGTGTCATCATGTTCGTCCTCTTGAAGCTAGTAGGCGCGCCTTGCTCGCGTTGTGCTGAACAAAACTGGCCTCACTGTTTTCACGACAGGTGCGGATGATGGACAAGTTGGCCCTAGAGATGGAGACGTTCGAAGAAATTCTGGAGCGGTTTGAGGTGGACGTCGCTCAAGCCAAGCAGTGTGGCGACTACTCTCAAATGGTGAGCGAGCTGGACTTGCTCCTGTAGATTCAGTTACCATGATCTATGCCTAGTCAAACCCACTTGAGCAGCGGTACACTCGTAAAATAGAGGTTGCGCACCAAAGCGTATGTCTGAATACATTCATCCGCGTTTGTCTTCGGTGCTCTGGTGCTCTTGTGGCAGGAAACAACCACCGACTACGTGAACAGCATCCAGGACGCCATTAACGACGCCAAGGCTAAGGCTGAGGACTTTAATTCGCGAGAAAAGGTGACCCAGGCTCCTTGCCGTGTTGCTGAACATCATCCTTCCTCCTGAGACTTTTTCGTGACGATTGCTTCATCTAGAAACTACCCCGGGTGGGACTTCACTTGGGCCATTGCTGCTCGTCAGCCAAAGATCTATATCAACGCCGATATGGCGAGTCATGACGTTTCATGGCCCTGGACGGAGGTAGTCAGATACCATGTCGCAACCCTGCATACCACGCAGTCAACTTACGCGACTCAAGACGTATTTTCTTCATCTGCCTTTCAATGCTTCCACCAGGTCTTCGGCTTTCCCCCGACGGAGTACCACATGCTTGGAAAAGTCGAAGAGGAACTGGAACCTTTCTTTAAGCTATGGAACATGATCTCGGACTTCCACGCTAGTCGAAAGGAGTGGCTTCACGGCTCTTTTCTCGGTGCGTGTACGCAGCTGCCTGCGTATCCTCGGTACTCTTGACGCCGCCGATATCATTGCGTGCCAGATGACATAAACGTGCACCACCTAAGGCCGCCTTCGCCATCGGTAACCTCTGATGGTCAGATCTTAACGGCGCCGATATCGAGCGCGATGTCACGGACTGGTGGAAGAGTTCCTATCGCTTAAGCAAATCGCTGGAGGATGAGTTCCCGGCCGCTGCTGAGTGTGCCGCTCAACTGAGAGAGGATACTACTGCTTTCCGGGAGCACCTTCCCGTTATTCAGGTGACTCTATTGAACAAGTTCATGCACATCGGTTCATGGATTGCACTTGCACATGAGACGTGTAGCGTACCCAGAAATGTGCGTGAAGCCATCGTGACACTCACGTACCCATCACGTCATATTTCATATATTTTTTTGACACTATCAAAGAAGAAGGTCGCCACAACCTGTTGCGTTGCACAGTCAGTCATTGCTTCGCAGGGTAACGTTGATATGGGGCACATTCCGTGGCATTAGAAATACATAACATGAAATAGGATTCCTCAAGATCCATCGATGTTTGATGCCAGGCCCATTTCTTCCCACTGTATACTATGGGTCTACGACATACATGGTAGCTCGTTGTAGAACGTATCCGGTCACCTTCCTTCATTCATGGTGACTGGTTTCCCACGTATATCAGGCCCTGGCCAGTCCGGCGTTGAAATCGCGACACTGGGAGACGTTGAGCGAGAAGACCGGAAGCACCATCGAGCCTGACGAGGAGTTGACGTTGCAGCAGCTGGTAGACACAAACGTTGGGCAGCACATCGAGACAATCCACGAGGTAAGTCCAGCAAGCTGCAGGCCTTTTCGGCCCATGACCAACACCAAAAGTACTCCGTTGCATTCTGTTGTGGTCTCGCCCGAGTACACGGACTTATCGTGTGCGAATCCGTGGAATGAAATCCGTGGTTTGTGGACTGATGGTGCAGGTATGCGTCGCTGCGGAGAAGGAGTACGGGTTGGAGAAGGCACTGGCAGCTATGAAGGAGGAGTGGGCGAGCTTGGAGTTCGAGGTGCGACCGTACAAGGAGACGGGGACCTTCCTCGTGTCCGGCGTCGACGAGATTGTCACGCTCCTCGACGACCACATCGTCAAGACCCAGACCATGCGAGGATCTCCGTACATCCTACCCATTGAAGCTGAATGCAAGGTGAGACAAGCTCTTAGCGTAATCTACAATTGTACAAGGCAAATACTACTTATTATTGTTTCCTCAACAGGCATTGAAAATGGTAATTTTAACAGCTTATACCAACGAGACCTGTCCGGACGGTCCGCGCCCACCCACACGCGGGCGGCTCGAGCAGGCATGGGAGTTTCGCCTCAAGTATGCCCAAGGTCTTGTGGACGAGTGGATCAGCTGCCAAAGGACTTGGTTGTACCTAGAGCCGATTTTTTCATCGGAGGACATCATGCGACAACTTCCCACCGAGGCCCGAAGATTCAACAGCGTCGACCAGCTGTGGAAAAAGGTAGCCGTGGGGAGAACTCTGGACGAACATGCTGAACGAATGACGTACTTTTGGGGGGGGGGACGAGCAGCAAATATCGAGTTCAGAGTGTAGTAAGAGAGGAACGAGAAGGTGGATGCGGGACGAGTGTTCGAGGTTTTTCGATGGTGCACCGGTACTAGTCCTGTTTCGCGCTTTGGGACTTCGCGGATAGCGTAATCTCGCAACGCTTGTTGTACGAAGAAGACTTCGATCGCTGCCTCGCCGAGATGACACAAGCCCGACCCCTCATGGATACGTTGTCCGCCCGTCCCACCCCTCGTTCGAACGTAGACCATGGAAGAAACGAACAAGGACCCCAACTTCATGGCCCAAGCAGACGTCGACAAGAAATTGGAAGAGAAGTTCAAGGCGGCCAACCAAAAGCTAGAAGAAATCCAAAAGGTAATTATTGTTAAAGGCCGATCTGGAATGGCGAAGGGTGGTGTCGATCAGTTCGAATCACGTGGTGTTGCTGCTCTTAACACCTCGCCAACGAAGCTGCGAGATCGACACCACCCCGCGTTCCAAGCGATGCATGTGGTGGGCATATATACATACCGCTATCGGATTCAATTTGTTGGGTTTAGAGTGCGAGCATCCGTAAAGCAACTCCTTTTCAGTGGTGTTGAGCTTACTCTGGCACACCGTTCCCTATTGTTCCCTCCCTATCCAGGGATTGAGCGACTACCTGGAGATGAAGCGGTTGTACTTTCCAAGGTTTTTCTTCTTGTCGAACGACGAGTTGCTAGAAATCCTATCACAGACGAAAGAACCGCGCGCTGTCCAGCCACACCTGAACAAGGCCTTTGAGGGAATCGCCAAATGCAAATTCGAGGAGGATCTCAAGATCACAGAGATGGTGTCCGCTGAAGGGGAGGTAGGTTATGCTCTCCACGTACAAATATGTACGTTGTGAGTCTGCGTTTGACTCGCGATCGCAAACGCATTGGACCTACGGAAGATCAGGCATTGTAGGTGTGAATAGCTACTAATTTACCCGAATCAGCACTTCTTGCCGTACAATCATAAGCGTAATGCATCGATCGGTCCTTCCATACCATCTGCAGACAGTCGTGCTGGACAGTGCGGTGGACCCGGAAAGTGCGGCCAATAAGGGGAATGTTGAGCGGTGGCTCTTGGAACTGGAGGCCATGCAATGGCAGTCGGTCAGAACACAGGTCACCTTGTCGCTTAACGAGTACCCCACAATTCCACGAGAGGAGTGGGTCCTCAACTGGCCGGCGCAAGCGGTTCTTGGGGTCAGCCAGGTGGGACTGTACGCCTCTGTTCGAAGATTTTTGTTTGTAGAAATGTAGGGTCTGGTACGCCAACGACAAAGGACACGCGTGACGTGCCGGCCAGGGACAAGCACTCGTTTACCTGAGACGACTACGAAATGGGAAGTGATACCAAATCAGCACGTTCAAGTGCAGTCGCGATTGTCATTTGAATATCGCCGCCGTTTTCTTATTGCAGTCATGTAAGACGGCCGTGCTTTTGGATTTCTGACGTCGGACCAAATGTACGAAGTAGACCATGAAACTATTCCGAAGTCATGGTGGTGTAAAACAGCCAACATCCTTTCCGCACCGGATTATCTATTCCGGAGCGCGGGCTCCACGAAAACGTCTTCCAATGATTTTTTCACTTGATGGCTTCTTCTTGTTTCGTAAAGGTGTTCTGGACCCAGGATGTAGCGACATCGATCAAAAACGGCGGAGTGAAGGGACTCGAAGAACTGGTTCAATCGCTCAACCAACAGCTGCGCAGCATTACTGTGCTCGTGCGAGGGCGTCTTTCGAGCTTAGAGAGGAAAACTTTGGGAGCACTGTGCACCATCGATGTCCACGCCAGAGACACGATCGTTAAAATGATCGAAGCCGGAGTGTCACACGAGGATGACTTCGACTGGATGAGCCAGCTTCGGTATTACTGGGTGGAAGCGTGGAAAGACGGTCAAGCCGTCAAGAAGGGGGACAGCACTCTCGTGGCTCGCATCGTGAACGCCAAGTGCTTGTACGGATATGAGTACTTGGGCAACACGATGCGGCTTGTCATCACGCCTCTGACAGATCGATGCTACCGAACAATGATCGGTGCCATCGACTTGCTTTACGGGGGAGCTCCTGAGGGCCCAGCGGGAACTGGAAAGACCGAAACTGTGAAGGACCTGTCGAAAGCAGTTGCCATTCAGGTATGTGCTCATGTAATCCAGCGTAGCTAGTAGTAGACCTCACGGACTCTTCTCCTAGAAACACACACGTGTCCTATCCCGCGATCGCCATTTCTCCTTACATTTGTCTGTTTTTCTGTTTGGTTCTATTATCCCACCACCGATCAGTTATCGGAGGTTGATCATTCTATCACTTGCTCTGGATTATCTAGGCGCTCGTTTGGGTTTGGTTGGGTGATCGTGCCTCCTGAATGTTAAGACGCCAGGATTGGGATGGGAAATCGTAACGCGTTACAATTGTTCAAACGCCGGGTAATCCACAGGTGATAGTCTAGTCAGGTGTATCATTCTTGCAAAGTAATTCGATTTCCCCGGTTCGTCGCTTTCTGATATGTTTGCAACCCGTGGTGCTGTGCTTGTGCAGTGTGTTGTGTTCAACTGCTCTGACGGATTAGACTACCTGGCTATGGCCAAGTTCTTCAAGGGCTTGGCTGGTTGCGGCTCTTGGTGCTGCTTCGACGAGTTTAACCGCATCAACATAGAGGTAAGAGCGGTGTAATACTATAGGTGGACACCTGTATCGGATGCCCCACCTACTATTGTATCGCTGCTCTGATAATACGATGATACAATGAAAGTGTTCTCGTTATACAATTGTAAAGCACCGAGCTTCCGTCCTGTGCATGCGCTTATTCCGGTTCGGTTCGGTCGGGGGGCAACAACGGCAGGTTCTCAGTGTGATCGCGCAACAGATCTTGACCATCAATAAGGCGAAGAAGGCAGGCGTGGAGAAGTTCCACTTCGAAGGAACCTTCATGAAGATCAACAGCAACGCCAATGCTTTCATTACCATGAACCCTGGGTACGCCGGCCGAGCGGAGCTCCCAGACAACCTCAAGGCCTTATTTCGGCCCTGCGCCATGATGGTTCCCGACTACTCTCTGATATCGGAGATTCGGCTCTACTCCTTCGGCTTCGAAGACGCGCGAGAGAACGCGCAGAAGCTAGTTCGGGTTCTCCAGCTGTGCTCTGAACAACTCTCGAGTCAAAAGCACTACGACTACGGGATGCGCGCAGTCAACTCCATCCTGGTAGGCCTTCAGAAGATTGTGGTAGTTGGCCCGTTGTCAAGCCACACGCGCACGCGATGCCAGCCAAAATCACAAGCGAATTGTTGCTTGACGATGTATCGGTGGCAAACTCGACAGTTGCTAGTTTATCGCACGACGTATCACAGCCCCCGCCACACCTTCACTTAATATGACCTGGGGGTTCTCCGTGTTCCATGTTGGATGTCGCAGGTGGCCGCCGGAAATCTTCGCCAGCAACTAGGTGATGACCCAAGCTGGACCGAAGCCCGACTCGTTCTCAGGTCTGTCAACGACATCAACCTTCCCAAGTTTACCGTCGAAGACTTGCCGCTGTTCAAGGGGATCACGAGCGACCTGTTCCCTGGTGTGGAACTCGGCGAATCAGATCATGGGCCTCTCCTGCAGGGTATCGATTCCGTGTGCGAGGAGGGCATCACCATTTCTCCGGGACAACTTCTGAAGCTGATGCCGAAGCCATCATGGAGGAAGAAGGTCATCCAGCTCTACGAAATGGTTCTTGTGCGGCACGGGGTTATGATCGTCGGTCAAACCGGCTCTGGGAAGACCACAACAGTCCACACGCTCGCCCAAGCCATGTCTCGGTGCTCCGACGAGGGTTCTACGGACTTTGCTCGAGTCCAGGTATGTAATCTACTTGTGTTGCAGCAGGGGGGATGGTTGTATTTCACAGTCTATTGTGGTCGTGGTCTCGAATCTACTAGAAAATGCCGCGTCACCTGATGTTTTTTACCATTTGGCGTCTGCTTGCGTGCTGCGATTCTAGGTGCACACAATGAACCCCAAGTCGATATCCAGCGGGCAGCTGTACGGGAACTTCGACGACAGCACGCACGAGTGGAGCGATGGAATCTTGGCCGTGATATACCGCAACTGCTCAAAAGACCCATCTCCCGATCGTAAATGGCTGATGTTCGACGGGCCGGTGGATGCTGTGTGGATCGAGAATATGAACACTGTGTTGGATGACAACAAAAAGCTCTGTCTTATGAGTGGCGAGGTGAGAAGCAGCGAAGATGGCTACGAAAATAAGTTCCGATCATCAACTTTGCAGATCATAATTTTTCGCCCCCAACGTGTGAACTTAGTTAGCTTGGAGTAATCAACTCGCAAACACGCTAACTTTCCAATGTACCTGAATGCACTCCTCTCCTCTCGCAGATTGTCAAGATGAGTGACTCCATGACGATGATGTTCGAAGCTGAGGATCTCGAACAGGCATCTCCGGCGACCGTTAGTCGCGTTGGCATGATATTCTGCGAGATTCGGAACCTCGATTGGCAGCCTTTGCGGGATGTGTGGCTTCTCAGCTTACCTGTTACGTTTGAAGAGCATCGCCCGCTCATCGTGGGTCTCTTCGACTGGCTTTTCCCGGCTGCACTTTACTTCGTGCAAAAGCAATGCGTGATTCCTACGCCAGTCACGGGCCAGGTGAGACCAATCTGAGCAAACTAACTCGGATATTCTTGTACTTTTCTTGCAGTGTTCGATTGTGCTCTTGCCTCTTCTGGTCACATGTCGTATGCTTTTGTGGAGATGCCTCTCGCAAGCGCCAGGGCACAAACGTTTTCGCGGCGCATGATATATCCACCCGGCGCTCGACGCTGCGGGTAAGGTTGTTTGGTAGGTACCCCCAAGCTTAGATTGACCTTATCGCGTCTGTTCTGACTCTGCACGTGTCGCTGGTGTCGTTCCGGCGTGATCGTACTTGTTAAGGAGCTCGCGGCGTCACTCATTCGGCTTGTGGGTGTCCTGCTGGACTCGCCTGACGGATTTGCGTCGGACATGACCAAGGTTCTGGAGTGCATCTTCGTTAAGGCCTTGATCTGGTCTGTAGGATCTTGCGTGGACAGCAAGGGCAGGCAGATGTTCGGAGAGTATCTCCGGATGGTCATGGAGGACAAGGGCCTGGAAGAAAGCGAAGCCCACCAAGACTTCCTACTAAAGAACAGATCGTGGGTCGCACGCGATAGGCCAATCGCTCTCCTTCCCCCAGATGACGGCAGACTGCTCTACGACTTCCGCTTTGACGCCAAGAAGGGGCAGTGGCAGCCGTGGCTCGATGCGGTGAGCTCTCGAGATGTGCATGGGGCAGGGTTGCGACCGGTTGGTTCAGTCAAAAAATAAGCGTGCCCATGGAAACAAAGTTCATGATTGAAAGTAAATACTAGGATAACTAACGAAAGCGTTTACCATCCTCTGCACCCGTGAACAGGCCGACAAGTTTGTCATTCCTCGCGACGCGACCTTCAACAGCATTGTGGTTCCGACGATGGATACAGTGCGAAACGAGTATCTCATTCACAGCTTGGTTGTCCATGGTCATCACGTGCTGTGCACGGGTGATACCGGCACGGGAAAGTCGGTAACAGCGAAGAAGAAACTCCTGTTTGGCATGGGACCAAAGTTCAGCTCGATCATGCTGAATTTTTCCGCACAGACCTCCGCGAACCAGGTGTGCCTTGTCATCGAACGGCGACAAAACGCGTGATGTGGTCGTTCACCACAGAGCTCCTGCGCTACTAGGTGGTAGACGTTTTCTAGAGGTTGTTGCTGGGGCGCCCATTATGATGAATCGACAGTCTTTGTTGTCCCAGCGTCCGGAAACCTGGACAGCCTCCCAATGCCCATCAAGCGCTGCGTTGGAACACGACCAAAATCCCATGAACTCTTCCGCGCCCCTTGTGCCTTGCTTCCCCCCAACAGACCCAAGACACGATCGATTCGAAGCTCGACAAACGTCGCAAGGGCGTGCTTGGCCCTCCGTTAGGGATGACATGTGTCATTTTCGTCGACGACCTCAACATGCCCGCTAAGGAGACGTACGGCGCACAGCCACCGATCGAAATTTTGCGGCAGTGGATGGACCATGGAGGATGGTACGATCGCAAGGAGAATACGTTCCGCCAACTTGTCGACGTCCAGTTTGTCGCTGCTATGGGTCCGCCGGGTGGAGGACGCACGAGCATCACCCAACGCTACGTACGTCATTTCAATCTCCTCAACTTCGTGCCATTCAGCAACGAGTCGCTACAGCGGGTTTTCGGCACGATATTGGAATGGTTCCTTCAGCGCGGTTTTAACTCTGCCGTCAAGCAGGTGAGCCACTTCTATGGTTAGCGGTATGGTGTTGCCAACGCCCAATTGCCGGTGCCCTTGCCACTGCTGACGAGCGTGGTCTATCCTAGAAACACTTGGATTTGCTAAGCTAACGGAGATGGATTTTTGCGAACAGGCCGAACAGATTTCGGGTACAAGCTTGAGAGTTGACCCACCGATGTATTTGTCTCTAACCCGACTACATTGCCCGCTGCACTGATTGGTAGATTGCTGCAAACATGGTGGCGGCTACGCTCGACATCTACAACACGATCGCCGACAACCTCCTGCCGACACCCGCTAAGAGCCACTACACTTTCAACCTGCGGGATCTCTCCAAGGTGTTTCAGGTAAGGGTTCGGACTCTTGCCTCACACCGGCATGGCCCATCAGAAAAACGCCACGTTTGTTGTCACGCACCGGACCATCTCCGCCCACACCTTAATCGGCACACCTGTATGTGGCCCCTCTCACTCCTCGGCCGGGCAGGGAGTGCTCCAGGGTAGCGCAAACCTCATCTCCGAGAAGGAGCAGTTCGTTCGCCTGTGGAGCCACGAGTGTTTGCGTATCTTCCATGACCGGCTGGTGGATGACAGCGACAGGGTTTGGTTCAACCACATGCTAGAGGAGAAGGTAACCTACGTGATGATGTTTCGCTGTGTGGGATAGATTGATATCCGCAGGCGCACAATCAATTGCGCGCCTTTTGGGAGGGGCGTCATCGTGAACTTGTGTAATGTAAGTGTGGCTTCGAATCACACTTTCAGTGTGGTCAAGCGTAGCACTGACACTGATATCGTGACGACGTCCAGGTGAAAGCGCACTTCGGGCTGGACTATGAAAACCGGGTTCGGGGGAAGAATGAGGTTCTTCTGTACGGAAACTTCAGCGACCCGAAGGGTGGAAAGGTGAGGGGATAGACTTTCGAGGACAACGACATTTCGAGCCAGCTTTAACAATACCTACTAGGTCGTTTGGACGTGTTTCAGTTGTCGTGCGGATAAATCACCAAGTAGCTCGAATGGGCCCAAAGACCCAGACACTATCGTGTGCGGGTACGGGTTGCATCCATGGTGAGATGTCTGGCGATAGCTCTGCTGAAAGGCTTGGGCGTGCTACAACCACCGTAGGGCAAACAACTAATAATACCCTCAGGTGTTGCCATTTGATGTTGCAAAAGCGGGAGGCCGTGATGTCTACTATTTCGCCTCATGCGGATTTAACGTCCGTGACTGCGCAATTGTACCGTCTCCCGGTGAAATTGTCAAACATTCACCAAACTACCACAGATCGATACTACGCCCAAGATGCACATGCCAATGCTGGATACCAAAATAGCACGTCAACACACTCGCCCAGGCATTCCCATCTTCAAGCAAGCCACGCGATGATGCTTTGATTGCAGGTGTACCAGGAGATGGAGGACCAAGAGACCCTCGTGAAAACAATGGAAGACTACCTCGAAGACCACAACGCCATGACAAGCAAGCCAATGTCTCTGGTGTTGTTCCAGAACGCGATTGAGCATGTGGCACGCATCAGCAGGATCATCTGCCAGCCGATGGGCAACGCGCTTCTGGTCGGCGTTGGGGGCTCCGGACGCAAGTCTCTCACCATCCTTGCTGTATCGGTTGCCGACTACAAGTTGTTCCAGATCGAGATCTCCAAATCTTACGGCATGGTAGAATGGCGAGAAGACCTGAGGAAGGTTTTGACCATGGCGGGCGCCGACAACAGGTATGTCACGCCACTGATGCCGCCAAAGCAAACCCGAAGCCTACATGATGTGCTTGCGGGTGGCATTGCAATCACTATGTACTCAATGCAGACTTGGCGAATGCACCCGTAGAATAGAGGTGTTCCCGTAACTCTTCGCCTTTTCTGCAACTTTCACTTCTAGGGCCACGGTGTTCTTGTTGGACGATACCCAGCTGATCAACGAGGCATTTTTGGAAGATGTGAACGGCATTCTGAACACTGGTGAAGTGCCAAGTCTTTTCAACAATGAGGAGATGGTGGCTATCAACGAGGCCCTCACAAAGCCTGCGCAGGTACGAAGAAAAGAAAAGTTGTGCGAAGCACATCGGCTTGTTGCGGTGTTCAGTAAGGGTTGTCTTCAACACTAGCCCCATTCTTGCTTGATACCCTCAGCGGAAAAAACAGACAACCCACAAATGTCTTGGCAGACGCATTCGCATCGCCACCGCATGGCTATCTTTCGAACCCGTCTCTCTCACGTTCTTGGAATGTACGCACATGTGCTTTGATGTTGTACAGGCGGCGGGAATCAACACGGGGTCTCCGAGTGAGGTCTACGCCTTCTTCATTGAGCGAGCGCGAACAAATCTGCACGTGGTTCTATGCCTCAGCCCCATCGGGGATGCCTTCCGAACGCGGTTAAGGATGTTCCCTTCGCTGGTGAACTGTTGCACCATCGATTGGTGAGGTCTCGGTTTATCCGGAGGGGTGCTCTCACAATGTGTATCTCGTGTGACCACGGAAAACACACACGGAACCGCATGCAGGCGCCATAGATTGACAATCGTTTTTCATGTTAACCAAATGTAGGTTCATAGCGTGGCCACAGGAGGCTCTGAAAAGTGTCGCACGACATTTTCTGGACGCTGTGGACATGGAAGAGACGATCAAGGCGGGCGTGGTGGACGTATGTGTCGACATGCAACAGAGAGCCCGGGAAATGGCCGAGAGATATCGGAGTGAAATGGGTCGCTTTTACTACGTCACTCCAACGTCGTACTTGGAGTTGATCAACACTTTTAAGGTGGGAGATTAAGGGCGACTACACATCGACTGAGAGTGCTTGCGGAACACACACACCACGGATTAAGGAAGAACGAGTTTCGCCCCTAATCGTCGTCTAGGCTGTTTGCTGCAGCAGTGTTGGCTTCCGGTAAAGTATGGGCACTGCAGCACTCAGCGATACCGTCCTTCGCGGCATAACCTATCAGATAAGCGTCCGCTATGCCTGCCTGTTTTCAAGACCTCGACTACTCGCAGTCCTCATTTTGCCACCCAAACGCTGCCCGCACGGCACGGCCTCGTTTTCTGTGCGTGCAGAATCTGTTGCATCGGCAGAGAAAGAGCGTGCAAGATCGGAAGGAGCGTTACGACAACGGCCTCCTGAAGCTAGCTGACACGGAAGAGCAGGTGGCTCAAATGCAGATTGATCTTGAGCAGCTTCAGCCCAAACTCAAGGAGGCCACCATTGCTACCGACGCCCTTTTGGTCCAGATTGCTAAAGACACGGAGGTGGCCAACGAAAAAAAGGCGGTTGTCGAGAAAGAGGCAAGTTTACATTCACGTAAACAGACGTTTTGGGGCTTAGCATCAGCTGGTATCACTGCGTAATATTTCAGTGTACGGGCTTACGTAGACTCAAGTACACCAAATATCCGGCAGGTTTTCCCCCGATTGATTGAAAAGACTCCAACCCATCCCCTTCGACTCTGGCTATATCTCGAACGGGTAGTCTTTCTTTTGAGAGAATGTATACTTCCTGAAAACAACCCCGCGCCTTTCGCGGAGTTGCAGAAACTATATTCTGCGGTCGATGAACTGGCGGTGGACGTTTGACGCAAGCAAATGCATGTCTTCGATGACGTCGTTCCACTCACAGGAAGTAATCTGCAACAAGCAAGCAGAGGAATCGAGGGCTCTCAAAGCTTCGTGTGAAACGGATCTCGCCGAAGCTCTTCCTGCGCTGGAATCAGCGGTTTCTGCCCTGAAGAGCTTGTCAAAGGGTGACATCGTGGAGGTGAGGACGGGCATACTTCCGTCACGTCTCCCCCTCCCCATCCTGTCAAAAGTTATCCTATCCATCGTGGTTGACCACCGAATATCGCGCTCGTAATTTTCACGTACGATCATCCACACACCCTCCGCATCTGTCTTCGATGGCACAGGTCAAAGCAATGAAGAAGCCCCCAGCCGCCGTGAAACTCGTGATGGAGGCTGTCTGTATCATGATGGGTGTCAAACCAGACAAGATCAAGGACCCAAATGGAGGCACCAAGAAAGTTGACGACTACTGGGGACCAGCCCAAAAGAACCTACTAGGTGACTCGCGCTTCCTCCAAAACCTCATGGACTACGACAAGGACAACATGGACTCAGCAATGGTCGAAAAGGTACAATACTGGTTTTATCCCGCCTCAGAATGCACTTGTTTATCGTTTCAAAGTAGCCCACATTATCGCTTCAAGAAACGTTCCGTTAACAGGATGAAAGGTGTAGACTTGTGTGCTCGCCGCGACTATTGTGACCAGGACGATTAGGATAGAAACCTTGGTCTATGCTTCTTGCCGTCTTGCCGCCTTTCTATGGCGTTCAGGTAAAGACGGGTTACACGGACGACACGGACTTCGACCCCGACAAGGTGAAGAAGGGCTCGGTAGCTGCGGCAGGGCTCTGCAAGTGGGTGCACGCGATGGTGGTCTACAATCGGGTCGCTAAGGTGGTGGGGCCCAAGAGAGCGGCTCTTGCGGAGGCTGAATCTACTTTGGCACAGGCGATGTCGGATCTGGGCGAGAAGCAGGCTATGCTCAAGGTAAGGGAGGCTACTAAGGACTTCTATTTCGAGAACGACGCTATGGTTTGCTTTGTTCGTCGTACTCTTCGTACTCAAATTGTATTTGCTGATGACGTCAAGCCTGGCTCGTATGCGACACGTGATCACTCGATCAGTCAGCAGGGCACTCAGGCCAAAAACAACGTTTTTTCTCTTCGTGTGTGCCTGCTTGCGACGCGCAGGATCTGATGGACAAGCTCGCCACGCTTCAGCAGCAGCTGCAGGAAGCGGAGGATAAGAAGGTTGCTCTGCAAGATCAGGTGCGAAGCGTTGGCGAAGAGCAAACTCATCTAGAGCTTATGGGTCAGTTTCATTTCATGCACCATGGAGACCCTTCTGCACCCTTTTCAGGATTCCAACGTAGCACCGCTCTTATTGTACGCAGGTAACTGACTGCGGCAACAAGCTTCGGCGAGCGGAACAGCTCATATCAGGTCTAGGCGGAGAAAAAACAGCCTGGGCTAGGTTCTCCGGAGAGCTTCAAAACCGATACGAAAATGTCACAGGTAACGAATGTGATCACGTACGGCGTGCAGCCCTGCGCTACTCGCTTTCTCTAGCACACGCGCTGCAGTGACATCTCCCTGTGTTGTTTTGCTGTGCACCCATACTGCAAAAATTGGCGGAAGTTCGATCACAAAATGCCCTTGTCTTAGCGTGAGAGTTGGACGTTGGGTCGCCATAACGTATTCGAATTGTTGGTCCGGCCAACCATATACCGTTCCTCTTCGCAGGTGACATCACGCTGTCTTCCGGTGTCATTGCCTACATGGGGGCCTTCACATCGTCGTTCCGAGAACAGGCCATTTCACAATGGGCCAGGTTACTGGGGGCCAAGAACATCCCATGCAGTGAAAACTTCAAACTTGAGACAACGTTGGGCGACGCTGTCAAGATTCGTGGGTGGGTAATTGACAAGCTCCCGAACGATAGCTTCAGCATTGATAATGCCATCATGTTGTTCGAGAGCAACCGCTGGCCGCTCATGATCGATCCCCAAGGACAAGCCAACAAGTGGGTGAAGAAGAGAGAAATGGACAACCAGCTCAAGGTGGTGAAGCAGAACCAGGTACGAAGGGGTGCCTTTGAGAAACTTATTGCCTCGCTCTAAGACCTGCTACATTAGTCTGAATGCATTGCGTTGAAAGCCGCACAGAAGAGTGCCCTCCTTGAGTGAATGGGCGGTGTGAGTATCTACTCTGCCCCTACTTCCGTAGGTACCCCATGTAATGTATGCTTTTGTATCCAATTACCGCTCTCCTTTGTTGCCATACAGGCAAACTTTGTACGGACCATCGAGAACGCGATTCAGTTTGGGTCTCCGATCCTGCTGGAAAACGTCCCCGAGAGTCTGGACCCAGTTCTTGAACCCGTGTTGTTGAAGCAAGTGGTGACTGTGGGCGGTATTTCTTCAATTCGCATGGGTGACAACAACGTCGAGTACGACCCGAATTTCCGCCTCTACATCAGTACGAAGATGACGAATCCTCACTACCCTCCGGAGCTATGCGTGAAGGTAAGTGAAACCATTGATGAGTCTTGTTTCGTAGGCACCCCGTACCTTGTCGTCTCTTTGCACGGTTCGCTACATCTTTTATCCTGATGGTGTTCAACACGACTGGCTATCGGGTCTTGCTCCATAGTATCACTAGCATCGACCACGTTTTTCGAGCCGACAAGGCCTTCAAATTCAATACCGTCCGCATGAGCTTGATCGACGAGCCCCGATCTCAGCGCTTTGTGCTTCCCGCAAGCAGGTGAATCTCCTCAACTTCATGGCAACACAAGAAGGTTTGGAGGACCAGATGCTTGGCATAACGGTCGCGCGAGAGGAGTCGGAGTTAGAAGCCCGCCGGGAACAACTCGTCCTGGAAGACGCTGAGAACAAGCGCGTACAGAAGGAGATTGAGGACACAATCCTCGATTTGCTGAAAAACAGCGAAGGCAACATCCTGGACGACGAGGTGAGAGAGAGAGGACCCCTTCCACGATCCTGAGGCACTTTCCTCTGGAGCACGGGTTTTCGGAGCTCATTGCCACACACGGTACCCGCAACGCTTTGCGCCGTTGAAACGTCTCGTCGTTGGCCTTGAGCGATCGCTACTGTATCACTCGTTTTTCGCCCCGCTTTGCCTTGTGTATGCCTCGATCCCACAGGTGTTGATATCGACGCTGGCACAGTCGAAGGTCACATCGAATGTCATAGAACGGAAGGTGAAAGAAGCTGCCAAGACACAAGAGATAATCGCCAAGACGAGGACTGGCTATATTCCAATTGCCTTCCGGGCTTCACAGCTCTTCTTCTGCATAGCAGATCTTGGCACCGTGGACCCGATGTATCAGGTAACGTTTCTTTGTGTCCTTCCTACTCGTGTGTGGCGAAATTTAACTTCGGAGAACGAGTGCACTGTTAAGGGTACACGATTGAAAGGCGACACAGACACAATGTTTTGCAAACATGTTGTCCGCACATTTGGATATCAAACTCATCCTCATTTCATTCTCTTTCTTCTTTTTTTTCGCTATCGTGCGACGTATGTGCTTATCATATGGAACACTTTTGCCTCCTCCCTGCCCTTGGCTCTTGGGCGCTTCGAAGTACTCGCTTGAGTGGTTCATCAACCTTTTCGAGATGGCGATCGACAAGGCAACCAAGGCGCACGTTCTTGAAGACCGCCTGAGAAATCTCAGCGAGTGCTTCACGGCGATGCTTTACAAGAACGTGTGCCGGAGCTTGTTCGAGAAGCACAAGCTTCTGTTTTCCTTCCTTTTGTCGGTCAAGATCATGCAAGGAGAAGAACGCATGGATGGCGAGGAACTTCGTTTTTTCTTGCAAGGCGCGACAAGTCTCGACCTCGAAGAGCCAAACCCACTCGCCAACGGCGAAGGCTGGTTGACGGACAAGACATGGGGTGAAATCATCGCTGCTGGCAAGCTTGAGGCCATGTCTGGCTTCTCGGAAAGCTTCAAGTCAAACTTGAGCGTGTGGGAGGGAGTGTTCGTCTCTTCCGACCCATTGGCTGAGATCGAGGAGGTTGTGGGCGATGCCTATCAACCTTTCCAGAAGCTGTGCCTGCTTCGTGCTATTCGACCAGACATCGTCGTTCCGGGCGTGCAAAAGTTTGTGGCACAGGTGATAGGCACTTTGTTGAAAGAGAGTGGAGAAGTTGTGGTCGTTACAAAATGTTCGGGGGCGCACTGTCAATGTCGTTTCGGGCCGATTAGAGTGTAGCAATTGTTCCCGACGGAGGATGTGGGATACGTTTTGGCCCAGATCGCTCGGTTGCTTGTAGAGAGACGTTCAAGAAAGATTGTTGCGTCTCACAAGGGTACAACCTTCAAACTATCATCGGCACGCTTGTAGAGCCTGTTTGTGTGTCGTCCAACCTAACAAGACACATACGCGTGGTGAAAATCGCACCGAGCAGGAGATGGGCACCAGCTTCATCGAGCCTCCACCTTTCGACCTGAGGGCGTGCTATGAGGACTCGACATGCTCCACACCATTGATCTTCGTTCTTACTCCGGGAGCGGACCCTATGACCGAGCTGCTGAGGGTGGCCGACGAAATGGGATTCGGAGGGAAAAAGTTGGCATCCATCAGTCTTGGCCAAGGACAAGGGCCTCTGGCAGAAGTGAGTATTGCCGCTGATGGATGCTGACAGTCAAACCAGGAAGTTGTGGCCTTGGACATCATAACCTTCTGCACCGATTTGCGCATCGATAACAAAATCTTTCCATCACCAAGCGTGAATCGAAACTCCGGAATTGGTATGCATATGGTTTGCGGTTCTCGTCGACACCAGAACCCCTTCGTATGCATCCAAGAAAATCAAGAGTCCAGGCTACTACCAAGAGGTATTATGCGTGTACGTATTTCTTATTTTTTTACCCCTCTGCTGCTCCAACGCCAACAGGCGGCCATCTCGGAGGCAGCGGATGCCGGCACGTGGGTATGCCTCCAAAATTGCCATCTGTGCATATCGTGGATGCCTACCCTGGAAAGACTGTGCCAAGAGCTAACACCCGACCGGGTACACGAGACCTTCCGCCTGTGGCTAACGTCCGAACCGAGCCCCCATTTCCCTTCTTTCATTCTTCAGAACGGAGTGAAGATGACAAACGAGCCCCCCAAGGTATGTACAGCTTGGCTCACCGCGTGTTGTTGCCATCGGAGGGTGATCGAACGTGTTTGCCGTTGTACGCATCCCAGGTGAGATGAAAACCAACCGATATTGTGTTCGCCGATTCCCCACAGGGCATGAGGGCGAACCTGCTGGGGTCCTTTTACAACATCGAGAGCGATTGGTTCGACACCTGTCTGCGTCCCGCCGTGTTCAAGAAGATGCTGTTCGGCCTGACGTTCTTCCACGCTACTGTTCGTGAACGAAGAAAGTTTGGACCCCTGGGGTGGAATATTCAGGTCCGGCCATGTACACGCTTGGTACACCGTGTTTCTGTTTGCTGCGTACAATGGCATCGCTTTTCGAGCTACTCAGGCCCCTCGAATTGTGCATACTCAACTCGTAGCACACGTTGCGTGGGCCAAAATACGATATAGTGCGATAGGTCGATGTCTTGATGAACGTGTGTTACCGTTTTGAAAGCTACCACGCTTGCCTCAGCCGCTGCCTGATGCAACAACACAAGAGAGCAAAGGGGCGATATTGTATGGTTTTTCACCTGAACCATATGTCTACCTACCCCTGTCGCGTGTGCCTGCCTCGACCAGTACGTTTTCTCGGGTCCAGATCTACGTATTTCCATGGATCAGCTCCGGATCTTCCTAGATAATCTTCGACCGCAGGACCCAGTCCCGTATGCTGCTCTCGCGTACCTTGCCGGCGAGTGTAACTACGGCGGGCGCGTCACCGACGACAAGGATAGACGGTGCCTTGTCAACATTTTGACAGATTTCTACTGCGAAGACATACAAGACGATGACTACCGCTTCAGGTGAGGCATGAGCTACTTAGAGCTACGCACACCATATTGTAAAGCGAGACACATAATCATTTAAACAGCTGGACGGGGAACCATGTTGTTGTGATGGTACTGGGTCTACATAAAACGACTCTTACGAGACAAGGCTAGCAGATTAACCTTTGACGTCTATCCTCTCCTCTCCGCCTCTGCAGCCCAAGCGGCACGTACTTTGCTCCTAAGGTGGGATCCAAGGACGACTTCGTGGAGTACATCAAGGGCCTTCCGTACAACGAAGGCCCTGAGGTCTTCGGTCTACACGCCAACGCGAACATGTCATGCGCTCTATCGGAAACGAATTCGTTGCTGGACACCGCTTTGAGCTTGCAGCCGCGGTCGGCTGGGGGGGGGGCGAAGTCTTGGGATGCCACTCTGAGCGAGCTGGCAGAGGACATTTTGTCACGCATGCCGCCGGTTTTCGATGTTGAACGTGCCCTTCTCGACTTCCCGGTTCGATACGACGAGTCTATGAACACGGTGTTGACGCAAGAGCTCATTCGGTTCAATGGTCTGTCGAGAATAATTTCCAAGTCGCTCGCGGAAGTGATCAAGGCAATCAAGGGGCTAGTGGTGATGAGCAGCGAGCTGGAGCAAATGGGAAACTCAATGGTCGTCGGAAAGGTATGTAGTAGCATGATTCTCTGAGATAAAGTTGTCGGTAAGTCCCCGTGTTCGTCGGCTGCAGCTTTTCTCTACTTGGCCGGCCCGATCGTACTGAGGCCAATCCTCATCACCGACTTTTGTTTGCATGACAGGTTCCTCTGCTGTGGAGTTCCGCCGCATACCCAAGCCTGATGCCACTTGGGTCATGGGTTACAGATCTCCTCCTTCGGTTGGATTTCCTGGGATCATGGATGAAGAATGGCATCGCTCCGACCGTTTTCTGGTTGAGTGGGTTTTTCTTCACGCAAGCGTTCATCACGGGAACTTTGCAGAACTTCGCCCGGAAGCACAAGGTATGTATGGCCCACTTGTGTCTCAGACACAGTTGTGCCCTTTCGAAATTCACACGTCCCTTTTTTCCAAGGGGTCATTATGTCTTTAGTCTACCCCTCTGGTTTGCCAAAATGGAGCGTTAATTTCGCTTTCTCGTGCGGGCCCGCCTCCTCCGACGCTAGGTGCCTATCGACAAGGCCAACTTCGATTTCCGAGTGCTGACACCGCTTGAGATGAAAGAAGCGGACACAACGAAAGCAGAAGACGGAGCCTTCATGCGGGGGCTCTTTATCGAGGGCGCAAGATGGAACGTAGCTCGTCACGCCATCGACGAATCTCGACCACGTGAACTGTTTGTGAGCATGCCGTACATGCAGCTTCTTCCACGAATGAAGACGGATATTCCGGAAGTAGAGGGGTGTCCGGAGCTGTACACAGGACAACCGGGTGGAACTTCGCACTCGTACATGTGTCCAGTTTACAAGACGTCTGTCCGCCAAGGAACGCTCAGCACCACTGGGCACTCAACCAATTTCGTCATGTTCATCACTCTGCCTCTTGCCGAGGAGCACACACAAAAGCATTGGATCAAGCGCGGGGTCGCCATGCTGACGCAACTGGACGATTGAGTGCGGGCGCGGTGTGTAGTTGATTGTGGCTACGGGAAGCTCATGTAAATGGTGCGGATGAACAGTTGGCACCAGCAATATTGATAGGTTTGGTCATGCGCGAGTTCTCGGCGCAGCCAGGACCCGTCGTTGATCGCGGCTATTCTAATAAATAGCGTACGTGCTTGGTCATTGGGTAGCGTGGTCTGGAAACCAATGTAGGAAAAGTACACCCCAAAACTGGGTTGAGACAGCCTTGGTGGAAACCAAATTAACGAAACTCCAACCGGGCGGATGCCGCCTTGTTCTGCTACGTGGAGACAAAGAGGTACGCTGACACTTTATACAGACGGCTTGGCATGCTGGGTGTGCTTTCATGCGTGTAAAGTAGCTGCAATGGGGGCTGTTGCAGTATTATTCTGGGCGCATTCAAATTCTCACCGTGTTACCTACTACGTGCGAACATGTTGCTACGTAAAGCTGATTATGCTTGCGAGGGCTCCCTGTACTAGATAGAGAAGGCTGGATGAATTTTGTCGCGATGACAATGAACGAACGAGCCGTAGGAGTCTCGAACGCCCATCATGTATTCATTTGCGGTCTGTTTATTGCGCGTGTTTTGTTGTGAGGTCATTATTTAAATTTGTCGAACTGTCTCTCCCAGGAGGGGGCGGGGGAGAAGGCGATCACGTGTCCATAGTTCCATGCTGGGTGGCCGCTGGAAGTTTGATGTGCGCGTGCAGTCTAAGCTATTGTAATTGAACGAAGTCTGTCGAAAGCGAGAGATGTCAACCACAGGTGGTGGAGCTCGCAGCGAGACCTGAGAACTGATTAATACGTTCCGCGCCTTGTTGGCGATTGAGTCCGGAGAATTCTGGAGATTCATTTGTCGAATACTATGGAGCAGCAGTGGTGTGAACGTCTCGAATCGCTTGTTGCTTTCGTCTCGAAACCATTTTCAAGTTTTTTGTTGGAAGTGGTGGACTTCGTCGGCGTTGGGTGGGGAAAATGCACGCTCTTTGGTTTGTTACTGAATCTCTTGAATTGTCATCATCCCTTTATGTCTAATTTATTGTAAATATGCAACATACATACATACGTGGTAAGCCGCAGGGTAGACGGCAGCTCATCGTCGTAAATGCATGTTTGTAACAGATGGGGTCCGCAAAGACGAAGATTCCGTCCATTTTTTGGTCACGAAAAAATATGAGTCATATTTCGAAAAAAAAAAGAAAAAGATGATCCGAATAACGCGCGCCTACGCGTCTCTATCTACGTGTATATGTGCCACGAAGGGCGATGTCCTTCACTGAATTCTAGATGCAGTGTACCTAGCCTTCTTTGTGCTGTACGGTAGCGACGAAGTAAAAAACTGAGCCTCGACCAAGGTGACCTATGTAGACTGTGGGCCCCAACTGGGGCCACTCCGACTCTTGTCTCCTCCTACACACGACGGGATACAGAGATGTGGGGGGGAGCCTAGGAAAAAAATAAATATTGAAAAAACAGACCGCAGTCCGTAAGATATATCCGGAGCACTGATGTACTTGTTTGTTGTTCTGTGGGCGTGTGAATACACACCAAACAGTAGCGATATTGAGGAGAAGAGGGCGTGGGGGGCGGCGGCCGAGATTAAGGACAACAACGAACGGGGGCGTGGGGCGCAGGCTCGAAAGGACTGGAAACAAAACTGTGTAGCACGCCCGTGTATGTACGCAACCGGGGACATTTTACGTGGAAACCCCTTGTGCGGCGGAATGCCGGAACTTGCACCGCAGGCGGTACCACATGACGCAGTGAAGACGACGTCACGACGCTGTTTATCACTGATCTCGTGTCGTGACGGGTAACGGAGGATATCTTGAGGAGATGATACTGAAGTGGAACTACGTTAGTGCGACAGTTGGGTGGCTGCTGGCAAGGCGGCAGGCTGAAGCCTTCTCGGTTGTCGGCTTTCAAAAACCGCAGGCCACAGCCTGCCGCACCCGTGCCCTCGCTTCCTCTGTACCAGCTTCATCGCCGACACAAAGGATCCTCGATGCAGCAGCTTTGAGAGGGCCATCGCGCGGCTTGCTGCCGATGCATATGTTGGCAGGTGGAGATGCTGTGCAGTCGTCTGTTGGGACGAAGAGCGAGGAGCACTCTGTTCTCGATGCCCTCATCGACCAGTTCACATCTCCGAAGAGCGGCAACGTGACAGCTACGGTCGAGGAGTATCTGGACCTGTGTGATCATGCCTTGTTGACGCATCTCCGTGGGAGAATCGAAGCCGAGGAAGCGCAGTCCCCAGAGGTGAGGAGGGGGTGATACGCACACGCACATCAACGCACCCATGCCCGCTCACACACACACACATTTTCAACCACGTCAAGTAAAGAGTTCAAGTTACCACACCAGCAGCTCTTCCCTCCCAAGAGAGCGGGCGGGGGATTGTTACAGCAGGCAGCAGCAGGCTCAGAGGCCTGGAGTCTGCACCTCACCCTTGCATGTCCACTTTTAAGAGACCGTGCCATTTGGATTGTGTGCACAGAGTAATCGCGCACCAAGGTTGTCGTCTCTAGGATGATCTGTCCAAGTTGAATAACTGTTGCTGCTGGAGTCATGGTCGGTTGCGCTTCGGCGCATCATTTGTGTGTACTGCTGGAGCTCGTAGTACACACCGCATCACACGCTACTAGTCTAATGCTGTACGCACATAGACGTACATCATGGACGCGGTGGTTTCTGTATCTTTGAACATGACGACAGAATGTTAGTTCTTTCACGTACTTCTATTGTTGACCGTTGTGTGATGTTGGACACTTGTACTTCATTGGCAGGCCACTGCGCTGAAACACGTGGAGGAGGAGATCAATATGGCCATGCAAAGAAGACTTGCGGCTGCCGACTCGAACCTGCGACAAGTCCTGGATCTGGTGCGTTAAGATGATTCGTACAGTAGGTGCTGGTATTGTCGTTGTGCTGGTATTGTCGTTAGTACGTGCTCAATGCAGCGATTGAGTGATACACATGAATGTGTAGGTGTAGCGTGGTGTGGCACAAGAAAAAAAAAAAGGCTTGATATATACCGGAAACGCTACACAGAGAAAATGGAGAAAGAGGGTAAACCCCAGATTTCTCCCCTGCAGCAGTGTAACGCGAAACGTACGCTGTGAGGTCTAGAGGTCGCAATAGTACAAGGCCATTTGCGGAAAGGAAACGGTCACCTATTGTTTTGTTATCACCTCCATTGCTCTGAGGCCGTAGGCAGTATTCCGAGACCACCTATGCAGATGTACATTCGTACACAAGTACGAAGTTCGATGCAGGTCATTTCCGGTGCGGGCATCCGACCTACCTATCGATACGGCGGAGTAACGACAGCGGTCATGCGCAGTAACACGGAATGCGGCAAACATGTATCCACGCCGGCCCGTTATCCTGTATCGTTGTGACTGAAGTAGCCCTATGAGTGTAGTAGCTGGTATCGATCAAAGTTGAGATGGGTCTCTTTTGGTGTTCGGGTCTCTACTTGGCAAGACACGACCGGGCGCTTGGGAAAACGCACACGAGGCTCCCAGATCGGCAACTTCAACTCAACGAAATCCGCCGGAGAACTGAGTACGAAGGCCCGGGGGGACAAGAAAAGTGCGCGTTCGTTCACGTGACGATTAGCTTACCGCAGTAGTTGTCCTCTGTGTCGCGTCACCTGCCCTTGTTCAAACGCCCATAGGAGGGACCTTGTATGCATGGTGTTGCAGTGCTACGAAGGCTGTATGCCAATGGCATCACAGATTGAAACATGGTTTTCCGTGTAAAACACGTACCTCGAATACCTGCCGAGACCTGGGACGTATTTCTGGTATTCGTTTGAGATCGTTTTCGTGCCAGATGTGAGGCTTGCCGAAGGGGATATAGTCGTACAGTGCTCCCGTGGCTGCTGTTGTAGGTGTAGGCGTTGGTCGGTTCGTGTAGTCGAAGTAGGACACGCGTTGTTGGTTCACATCCAGGGGGGCTACTTTTCTTGCATAGATTGCCGTACTACTGTACTCTTCTTGTGTACTGCTGAAAGCGAGAGCGAGACAGGAGGAGAAGAAGGCTGCTACGTCGTCTATCTATTACAGGCGCGGAGGACGCGAGAGGACAGAAAACGCTCATCATTCGTATGGACAGCACCACCATTGACGATGCATGCATGTAATGTACATTTACACCTACTACTACGGGGTACAGAGCAAACGGCGGTGCCGTGGCTCTGATGGTAGAATTGATGTCTTGTCATGCGACGCTGCCCGACGACGCGCCACTATCCTCGTACCGTACGTAGCGGTTGGGAAGTCAAAGCGCTTAGGTATGGCCAGGATCATCGGGCGTTTAGAGAGAGAGTTAGTCAAGAGTTCGGGACGTGAACCAAAAGACTTTGCTTTGCACTCCCTTCCAATCTGGGGAGGTTTGGGTACGAGTAATCCAGAGGGCAGGGAGGTGGACGTACGATGCGCTCTACTAGCCATACATTCACAGAAAACAATGTGGAGGATTCGCGACGATATAAGGCGATAAAAAATGGGAGCGGCGAGACAGCCGGGGGAGAACACGGTGTGGTGTGGTGAATCCATCATGACGACCTCGAATTGGGTAAAGTATATGGTAGAGTTGGTACATACTACTGCTGCTGTAGACGGGGATCAACTCCCGGCTCAGCCCGGCACACACACACATAAAGACACACACGTGTCTATTGATTTCGATGACACGATTTCACTTGTTAATTCAACTGAGATGTGTCACATTTTTAACTTGACTACAGGGTGCTTTTCGATCACTCTTTTGACTACAGAGTGCATCTCGATCACTTTTTTGACTTGATTACACAGTGGATTTCGATCAGTTTTGTTACTTGATTAAAATATGGATTTCGGTCAGTTTTTTCACTTGATTTAATTATCGAAATTTCGGACAGAATTTCTTCATTGCTTTTTTCGGGATTGCGCTGGCTGAAACCCCAATTTGCAATTGAGGAACACACAAGCTTGCAGTATCAAAGCCGTTGGGTACATGGGCATTACATGAGCAAAAATCCTCAATCTTTGTCTGGAATCCCCCCCCCTCCTTCTCGTTCTTGTGCTGACAACTGCTGACAACTGGTGAGTGCCCCGTTCTTAAAGCGTCTGGTATGCCTCGCCTACATACCTCACAACGGTGTGTCGCTAAATCCTTTCCGCCGAGCAGGCCCCTGACATCAAGAAGATGGAGGGCAGAATCCGAACACTATTTCGGGAGGGAAAGGTCAACATGGCCTTCATGGTCATGATCAGCATGAACTTGCAACGGGTGAGGTGACAACTTCGACACGATTCTATGGGGCTGTGTTGCACCAGAAATGCCCTTCTAGCAAATACTATTGCCTATCAACTGTTCCTTTTCCCACGGCGTGAAGAGCCTAGAGTCGCAGTCTTCATGCTGTGCCAGAACGGCAACCTAGGACCTTGTCGGGATTGGGTTTGCTTACATTTTTTGGTCGTGTTTCTCAGTCGCAGCACGCATGATACACCTTGAATGAACGAATTAGATTCGAGAGTGTACATGTACTTTGAAGAGCGGGATAACTTCGTGGACCTTGAGATTCGGACTCTGTAAACTGCGTTGGAGAAGGGACAGTTTCCTCAACCTGTAAACGTCAGCATCATTCGGAGTAACTCTCATATTGTCGCTTGTTTTTCTCCAGGCCAAGGATGCCGAGGGAGCGGATCACGCCGTTATGCTTTTGACACATCTGACGACTTTCATCATGATGATACAAGATGAGCGGGTGAGAGGGCGTGACACGTCATGAGTTGAAGCCCGATATCCCTTGCATGCGTAGCCAAAACTACGAGGTTGGCATCTAGGCTACAGTCATACTGCCCTCGTCGCCCACGGTACTGCTACCCATGCCGGCGTGCACGAATCCTTTCTTACCCAGTTGAACCCAGAGGAGAAGCTGCTGCGGACACTGCTGCGGACAGACTGTGATGGCGTCAGGAAGTCCATTCTCCAGGATCGATTACAACTGCCCAACAACGACGTGTTTTTGGTGAGTCCCGGGTTTCAAGGTTTCGTCGGTGAAAAAGTAGTTCCCCAAAAGAAAACAAGCCATGCGGAGAGTTCTGGCGAAACCATTTGTTGAGCGTGTCGTTGTGCTTGTAGTCCCATGACGAGTTACCACCAACTCGTTGGCCGTAGCAGTTCCAACGTTCGAACCAATCTACAGAACGCGCCACCACTTAAGAACCGCTTATTTAGCTCGAGGCTCGACGCTTATTGGTTACCTCCAACCGAGCACATGTTCTTATTTCTAAGTTCTTATTTGGAGCAGGTATCCACCTAGGTAAACGGGGTTCTTGTCTCATTTCAAAACCGATTGCCCTATGCAGAGGACACAGACAGGTCTTACTGCGTGGATTTCATCACGAGACACTACTGCTGTAATAGTGTACAATGTAGCCGTACAATTGCCCCCTAGATGGCAGTGCCGCATGTATGTACGGTATGGGAGAGGAGAGATAGGTTGCCGACAATATCTTAGGAGGCGAAGTGGGCAAAAAAATGTTATAGATGACGCATGGAAGGGGGTCGAAATTGACGAAGTTGATGCACTGGGGAGGGGAGGTCTAGAGGGGTTCAAGGAGAAGATATCTGTTAATGATGTTCCCGAGAGAAGGACAGAATCTAACCACCAATGAAACCAAGGATAAGGAGGGTCTCAATGTGTACGGAATAATAAAGAAGGAACAGATTTCAGGAGTACCTACAATACAGGAGGGCCAAGGGATGCAGAGATAAAGTTGAAGGTCAAACCTAGGACTGGGGATATTGGCTTTGAGAACGTAGACGAAGATTAAGGAAGGAGACGATCAAGACGACAAATCCAGATGTGATTGCGGCTCCAAGAGCGAAGACCGTGTTCATTTACTTGCGGAATGTCCGTGGTACACGATGGAGAGGGAAATGTACATGACTGGGCTAGCTGGGAAAAACAAACGTAGAAGGAAAAGGTACAGTGATATATTTGACGAAGAATGAATAATGAATGTAATAACCAGGAGAAGACGGTAGCTGTACTGGGGCATATAGGAAATGGGTTGAAAAGACGGAAAGTGATATCGATGGGAAAACATTTTTGAGCCACCTTTTGGGCGAAGTAGGAAGGAACAATTGGCCATCGGTGATCGGTTCTGTGGGAACAATGCTCCTTCATCCTGTCGAGGACACGTGGTCAACGGTCTTACCGCTAAGGCTTCCAAAACATGAGCGAGAGTACGCCCCCCTTCGGATCCAACTCCTACGATCGGGAAGTGGCGTAAGTAGGTTGAAATGGCAAGTAGACCGTATGTTGTACGACGTGGGAGAGGAGAGGTTGCCGAGAGAAGCCTGGGAGGCGAAGTGGACAAACAAGAATTGAGGCATCAACTCAGGGAGTAGATTAAGGTTGTAGATGGCGTAGTAGGAAGAGTTCAAAATCGATTAGGTTGATACATTGGAAACGAACGTTAGGTCTACAGGGGTTCGAGAACAAGAAATCTGATTCTTGCGCCAAAGAGGTCCAAGGATAAGGAGGGTCTAGATGTGTACGGATGTTGAAAGGTATAGGTACCTACATGGACCAATGGATGCAGGGGAGCCGAAGGTCAAATTTAGGACTGGGGAAAACGGCCTTTGAGAACTTTGACGAACGTTCAGGAAGGTAGACGATGAACACGAGTGCGAAGACCGGGTTCATGTCGTTGCGAAACGTCCGTGTTGGGCGAGAAGGACAGAGAAATGTACATGACGTAGTTGGACATGTAGAAGGAAAGGTACAGGGAGGTGTTTGAGGCATAGTGGGTTAAAAAGCCGGGAAGTGATATCGATAGATCGGCTAGGGAGAACATTTTCTAGCAACGTTTGACGAAGTACTTCGAAGTGGTGAACGATTGGCATCAGTGATCGGTCCTGTTGGAACATTGATGCGTCCTCTCGAGGACGTCGGTCAATGCTCTAACCGCTAATGCATGCGAAACATGATGAGGAGAGAGAGTACGCCCTCCCCCTCCGCGCATACAAGCATTTTATTACGAGGTCCTCTCCCCCGCCCGGCTCGAATCTGAAACTAACTTTTGCCGTTTGGGTCACGCCCAGCCTCCTGAGTTCTTACCTTGCAGCCGCCGCGTTTTGGGGCTCCGTTCTTATCTGTATGCGCATTGGTACACCATATAGGGCGGGTTCTTGTTCTTAATACCACGTCGGAACTGAGCATATGTTCTTACGGCCAAGTTCTTAGATTTTGGATTGTTTGAGGCTCAAGTTCTTAACTGCTAAGTTCTGTGGTGGCGCGTTCTGTATCTCACAGGAGCGCCCTCCAGACAAGGACAAGGTGCAACCCCATCTTCTCCAACAGGCCATCACTGACATGATCACCCAAGTGGAAGACATCGGGCAGGTGAGCAGTGTAGAGCCCTGGTAGTCAGTCGTGGAATGCTCAGCAGCTGGCTCCCTAAAAACGAACTCAGCCTGTTCTTCATCTACGCATCGCTCATGCCGAATGAATGAGTTTTGCGGGTTGCGAGGGACGCCAGATTTAGATGTTCGTCCCGATAACATTGTGACTATCCATCCATTTATGTGTCACCTACGCGAGGTGAGAAGTATGTGTGTGCTTTGTAAATGGGCCACCCATTTTTTTGGAAGACATGAACACATGAACGTTTTCGTGTACCGTTTAGGTGGTGTCATGGCCAATTCATCATGAAAGGGTAGTCTTTCTGTGAGGTTATGTTTACTTTCTAAGAAATCCTCATGTATATACTGTTGTATTCTTGCTCATGGCCTAGGATCGTTTAATGCAAGTATTGGATTTTGGATGAGGCCTCCAGCTCTGAGGCCGGCGGTCTCGAAAAGATTTATTTCTTGCTCTGTGTTGTCACCGTCACCTATTCACGGTTAGGAGAAAGATAATGATCGGCTGTATGCATATTTCAACGTGTTACCGGGCCATGTTCGTGCCAAATTTGAATTCGTTTGTTTGCGTAGACCCGACCATACCATGTGTTCGTGCGTTGGACGTCGTCGTGGCAACAGACAGACTGCGGCCTCGCCTCCCACGCAGCATATAGATACTGTGCACGGCTGCGCCGTCACCGTCATCAGCTGGTTTGACAGTTTTTTCTTCGCAAAGCAACACGACAAGTACGATGAACTCGGGGCTTAGGGCCATGCGACACACCACCAAAAATCCTTGCCGTCCCGTCGGCTCCCCTTTTCCTCCCGCAGGCTATCGACGTGGGCATGACAGATTCACTGAAGGGTCTGCAGGTTGAAGTGAACACCGTGGTGGCGGGAAGCAAAAGGCCGGGGCCATACAAGCAGTGATATACGCAACGTGGACGCAACTTTGGAATTTTGGGTGGTGTAGAGCTATACAACAGTAAGTAGGAGAAGAGCCGAGGTGGCCAAATTTTGAGAACGCTTAAAAGTCGTGTGCTGTCCGTTCCGCTGCCCGGTACCCGGTGCTCGTGGGGAAGAGAAGCACGGAGTTGTACTGGATGCACATCGCAAACTTGTTCATGGACAGCACCCCCTTGGTCCTCATCAATGAGACGGTGTGCACTTACATGAACGAACCCGTGTGTCTTGCGTTGGGCACAGTCGGATTTCCGCCAACCCTTCCTTGATGGTTCATCATGCAGAAATTAGCGCACGAAAGGGTGGCCGATAGGAAAAGTGCGGGCACATGCAGTCTTTCGCGCTCCTGTACTGCTTGCAACGCACGGCGGAATCCACACCACACGCACCTTTTTCGTTTTCGAGGAAACAGAGTGTAACCTACTCTTACGAGAAAAAACTGTCGTATCCGATCGGCAAGCTCCCATACAGCTTGATACGCACGGCGGAATAACACCACACGCACCTTTTTCGTTTTCGAGGAGACAGGAGTAAGTGTAAGCTACTTCTACGAGACAAAAACTGTCGTATCCGATCGGCCAGCTCGCATACAGCTTGATAAGCACGGCGGAATCCACACCACACGCACCTTTTCCAGGAGGAAGGCTACTCACGAGAAAAAAAATCAGTCCTATCCGACGGGCACGTTCGCTAGGCCGACCGTTCGCGGACAGCGAAGGCAACCGAGGCCATTAAACGTTCAATCCTCTACCGACTGCAAGCAACTTCAAGGCGAATTCTCGCACCCACCTTGTGTACGAGCAGCGGCACAAATCACGTGCGAAAGGGCCTCCGTTCGACGGCGACGCCTCACCAACTACTCCGCAACTCGTGTGTAAATTAAGGCAATGAAACCCCCACCCACCTTTCTTGAGAATCGTTTAGAACTCACGTGGGAGAGCGTGGGCATCGCTTCCACTTGCGACGCCCCACCAACTATTGCACAACTGTCGACGGCAACAACCTACAAGCAACGTTACCAAGATCGGCATTGTTACGTCCCTCACATTACAGCGCTGGCTTCGATTCTAGAAAAATCGCCCTACCAACGATGCCTTTCTGAGCAATTTCTGATAAACATGAGAACCGAAAACAAAAAACACACGTACCTTGTCAACTTGACTCACATGAGCAGCTTGGCCTCCACTCGACTCCGACGCCCTACACTACACAACTACATCTATTCGGCAGCTTGTTGTAGACCATCGCAAAAATAAATCTACCACCTTGCCTTGCCTTGACTACGAGCAGGTGCCACTCACATGGAAAAGCTCCGGCCTCCATTTCGACTCTGACGCCTCACCAATGATTGTGTTTGCGCAAACTTGCTACCGCGAGAAGCTACACCAACCTCGTTAAGGAGCAGTGTAGGACTTACATGACAAGGCGATTGGTCCCCTCGATTCCACTTCTGTGACGCCAAACCAACTCTGCTTGAGATAAACTACACCCACCTTGTCAAACAGCAGCCAGCCTCATTTTCGCGGGCAATGGTATGATGTGCTCATCATTGACAAAAAACGCACCTGGCCTTGATCAAGACAAGATTGATGCAGAAGCTGGCTACTGTTAAAGCGTAACTATTATTTCCGCCATAGCCGAGAGTCCGAAGCCCACACAGCCACTTCGCAGAAAGGACACGGACTCACATGAAAGTGTGCTTGCCTTGATTCCAATGTGGTCCACGTTCCACGGGACATGCCCCATGGACACTCGAATAAACAGAGGCGAGAAACATCACGTCGCTGCTGCTACCCAAAACATCAGCTCTTGCTCTAAATTACCGAAACAACGTGCCTTGTCACGAAGCCATATCTGAAAGGCGGGTCGTCCCTTGCACGACAAGCATCGCGGCCCGGCTCGGCAAGGACCATGCGGCAGAGGCGAACGGCCACGCCGGTCACACCTTATAGGCAGCAAGCTCCGCTCGCTTCTCTTCCTGTTTGGTCAACCATCACGCACGGGAACAGGGAGCATTTCACCGTTACCATATCATGAGGAAGCCTTACGCGTGCTGAGCGCACGCAGAACATCGCTCGGACTCCGCCGCCTATGACACAAAATGGAACCCAAGCACCCCTCGAATCTACCATATCGAGGTACTGCTGTAATTCTCCACAAGATCACGGTTGCCGAACACAAACGATGTAAGAGGCTACTGGTCCTAGCAACGTCTTACCGCCAACCATTTCTTCACAAGACATGAGTCCTCCTGCAGATTATACAAAGTCCATGCCCATGGAAGGGACGAGGCAAACGCCTGCCCCGTTGCAAAAACACACTTACCATCGAAAACTCCTCATCTCCAACGACAGCCGGCATCGATTGCGCTTGCCCAGGTAGCCCGCTCGAAGCGTTCGGCGGTCCTCCTGGTGCTCCATGTGTAGGTGCTCGCGTGAGTGTGCTCCCGACCGCCACCGCTTCATCCGCGAAACAAACAAGCACCGAGGAATCAGGACGAAAGTTGACAGGCAAATACACGCCTTTCTCATGAGGTAGGGGAGATCAACCAGCGATGACACATGGCATCGAACTGGCGCGTATGAATACAGTTGTCTTGTGCAACCCCCATCCCGAGTTGCCTCTCGCATGCGGAGCAACCTTAACCGAACACATGAAACTCACGTTGTTGTGCAGTAGCGGCGGCGGCGGCGGCAGCAGCGCCTGCCGGGAACAACGGCGGTACGGCACCTCTCGGTCCAACGGGGGGAGCCCCAGGTGGTGCGCCATTCGGCGGCGCACCTCTGCCAGGTTGGAGGCCCGGAGGCAAGCCCCGGGGCGGCGGACCCGGGGGGGCTGGTGGGGGGGCCCGTGGAAACCCACCCTGCATGGGCCCACCGAGCATTTGGCCATTCGGGCCGCGAGGCCCGCCGAACATATGCGGCGGCATGTTCGGGCCTCCATGCATGGGGGGAGGCCCGCCATGCTGCATGGGGTTGAACCCTGGTCGAGGCGGTCCCATCATCCCCGGGTGGAACCCCGGCTGCCCCATGGGATGGAAGCCCATCCCCGGCCCCGGGGCCCCTCCAGGAAACATCATGCCGGGCATTGGCTGATGCCCGTTGAACTGGGGTGGCATTCCTTGCCCAGGTATCGCTGGTTGTTGCCCCGGTGCGGCGGTCTCCGCTTTAGGCGTCTCCGGGGTTGCTGCTGCGGCGGCGGCGGCAGCACCATCGCTTCCGTTGGTTCCGGCGATGCGAGCCTTCTTTGCCGCCCGCTCTGCCCAGGCTTCAGCTGGGATGCCATTTATGCCGTAGATCTCCAAGTCCACGCTCTCTCTCCCTTCCTTCGCATTTGGGACTCTGGCAAAGGAACAAATTGTTCTTGTTTTCAGGAAGAGCGTGTTGCCACAGAAGCGGTGCAAAGGGCTACATTGCACACACCAAGGGAACCTTTCCTTCTTGTCAAGTCGCATCTGTACAGCGGTGACCGCCTATGTGCGTCATACTAGAGTGGGGGAGGGAAATTACATGTATTGTTTCTACAGTACCGCTTTGAGCCTGAAAGACGAGTAGCACTCAAGGACGCTGGTGCGCACCCGGGCGCGATTCTGGGTCCAAAAGAAAAAAACGTGGTCGTTCAAGCGCGGTGCATGAACACAGGGAGGGAACAGGTCGCACACTGGACATGCATCATATTCGCGAAGAGAAAAAAATGTAGGTGCATGCACAGGAGCGTGTGTGTGCTCGCACCTCAACACCTCCTAACTGCTGCTCTGCTGTTAGCTGTTGTTTCAACACACGCGCACACCACACCTGGACATATCAACAGCAGCACCATCATGCAAACATTGTAGACGATATACACCACAACATGTCAACGTCTCTCGTCTATCTCCTCGTTTTCAGCGGATGGAGAGTTCAGCCTCCTTTCTTCTGCGTATTTATGCTTTGCTGATGACCTGTTCTTCCACATGCAAGCGCCGAAACCAACCCACAAACACACATGTGAATGTGTGCCCACCCAAAGGCTAGATTGTTACGCTTGCACACAACTTGCGTCAAATCGAGAACGTGCCTCATTTGATGAGTTTCCGCACCGCAAGCGCGAGGTTATCATCGCCCACGTCTGCTCTACAAGTGGCCGACAGGGAACGTGAAGTTAGTTTGGTTTTGTTGGCATAATCTGTAGTCCAGTTCGTTACGTCGTAAAGCCTGGTTCTCATGCACTGCTTACCGGGTCAACGTTCACAGCTTCACGTAGGGTACATCTGCGATCGGGGAATGCTGCAAGCATGGGTTCGCTAATTTCAGCGCAGCTCACACATCACGCCAACGCCTTGATCGATTTGGATCTGTCCGCGTAACTACACGGCTTCGAGGGAAGATCTACGATGGCAAAACGGAACTCTCCATCCATAGCAAAACTGTCCAATAAGAACAGTCGCTTCGGGTAGCGCCTACGCAGAAAAAATGCAGGTGGCGCTCTCTTTCTCTTCACTCACTCTGAGATGGTCTCGCGATGTACTTGTTGAGCGTGAACTACGAGTCCTCCCGCGGTTGACAGCTTCTTTTTACAAAACATGCACGAGAAGTGCTTCGTCTTCTGGTGAAGAATCAACACCTCCTCGTGCTCGAAAACTCGGTCGCAGTAGTAGCACCACGCCTCCGTCTCATCCTTCGCCACCTTTTGTTTCTTCTTCTTTCCCATGTTTGGATGTGTACCGGTCCTTCCTTTCTCCTGTTTACTTCTCCTTCCTCAAAAGAAGAGCAGCAGACAGGACAGGGTACATGTCGGAAGACCTCAGTCAACACGGTCTGGTTAAATTAGACATATCACATGTAGCGGTGAAAATATGCAATTTTTTCAACTAGTCGGGGCTGTTAACTCAGGAATCGGAACTCCTGAACTGCAGTGGGGATTCTGTGCAGCTGATCATCGAGCAAAGGCGACGCATGACCGGTGTTCCAAGCCATTCTGCTGTACTGGTATGAAGCGGTCGACAAACTGCTACGCGCGCGATTGCTCATACCCAACCCACGTTTCTCAATTGTGTACGGGACAGCACTGGGAACGTGCTTTCTACAGTACTGCGCGGTGGGACGATAATGTGTGTGTGTGTGTGTACAAATGTTGCCATTTTCGATTAACCGCTCTATATAGTCGCTAGCGAAGGCACACCAGTTCTCGACCTAGACCCGGCAGGGTCCCCAGCCGTCGCACACTACGCAGCGGACTCAGTACCTTTCAACATAAGAAGACTGGACGACCCATATGCGAGCCCCTTATGATGGTGTTGATCTGTTGATATGCTACAGCAGTAGTACCGTGCCTTACAACCGTTGCTTTACTCTCAGGGCTGTGCCTGATGTCTACTTATACCATTTGTCTCGAGGTGCAGCACGGAGCCCCCCCACGATTGCGAAAACAGCCAAATCGCTTGCTGTTGAAGGACGCCAACACCGCCTATCCAATGGCCACACCAAAGCATAGCGCTTTCAGGCCACGTTACAACCAATCTACCAGGCTGAGCGCCTAAAAAGCAACTCCTAACCGGCACGACCACCACACCACGTCTCACTGACTGCTACTACTGTCGGGCTATCGTACGTGACGGGGACGATACACAAGCTACCACAAAGGGTGAAGATCTGTCTTCGGTGCGTTTCATTTGTCTTCAGTGAACTCATGGTTAGAATGGACGGTCTTCACGCTCACCTCTAGATCTCCCGCTTGTTAGCACGTTTCCCGCTTGGCCGCGTTCGACGCAGTCCGGTGCAGGTTTGGTGTGCGGTGAGAGAGAGAGAGCCAAGCAACAACCAACCGTACACCCCGATGTTTCAGTCACGGAGCCTCTTTCAGGGGGGACACCGCACTCTGCAAGCCATCTCTCATCTGGGTCACCGGATACGCTACACACTAGTACACACACAGGTGCACAGCTGTAGCACCAGATGCCGTATGAACCACAGGTTGTGTGGGGTAAGTACCACCTTGGAGCGGAATTAATAGCATAGCATTCCCTCGAACTACCAACACAATTTACGGATATGCCGCTCAATGTGTGTTAAAAATCCCCAGCATCCAACCTCTCACTACACACAACGAATGACAGATATCCGTCCGCTTGTACTGAGATAAAACGCAAAGTGTATTGCAAGTGCCAGACTACCAGGCGGTAAGCACCGTAGGGCCCACCTCTTCCCCGCTGATAAAGCCGGGACCACGAAGATTGTTTCCGAAGCGCAAACCGCATTTTTGTCCCGACCGATCACAGGGATGACGGGAAAAAATATGGTGGGGGGTCTTGTAGGAGGTGTTTTGGTTGGACGAGAGGCTGCGAATATTGTGGATCGAAACATGTTCCTGCGTGTTTTGGCGAGTCAAGCACTTACAGTTTCTACCCTGCCCACTTGAGGCATCGAGCCAACGAAGAGGGAAGAGCCACACACGTGGAATCCGCTGGCGGACAAGTTTTTCCCTGTGTCACTGCCAATGGACGCGCATCTCTCCCTCTGTGGACGACGGACGCCCCCTCCTCTTCCCAAGAAAAAAACGGTGCAGAGCAACACACTTGTAAATAGTACTCCCTGGAAAGATCGAACTGAGAAAAGACAACCTACGCCCTCCTCGCCTGCCTGCATTACATTGTCATCATCAAAACGTTTCTATAGCCACGACCACGAACCCGGGAATCTTGGTGGCAAATTACTCCGCGACATTACTCCGCGACACGCCCCGGCGCTACGGTTCCACGGCTGCAAAGAACGCGCTCAGCTAGGCATGGCATCGTTGGTTCAGAGAGAAAGCTCCGTGTGGGCCGTTGTTCTGCTAATCCTGAGCTTTGATTTCCCACCAACAGTCTCTTGTGCGCGTAGGGCGGCCCTGCTGTACGACGGAACACAAACTATTAGTTGGCTCTTGAGCTTGGTACGTGAGTGCACGGCAAGACCAAAGAAATCCTACAGCAACGCGCCTACATGCCCCCGTTCCTCCGCAGGAAAAAAGACACAACGGGTACAAACGGGTATACGAGACACGTGAAAGGTTGATACGGAACTTGAAACACCGCCGCCTTCCCTACACGGACGAAACGGTCAGAGCAACACACGTTGGTGAAACGGGTTTAGCCTACCATTATGAATTCCCGTTGTGCTTGATGAGTATCTGTGCATGACGCGCCGGGGGGGGAGGGGGGTCGCGGCTTTGCCACTTAGAGCAAATCACGCAACACAAGCCTAAATAATAAGTATATATCTAAGAGCACGAAATGCTACAGCACAAGCAGTGTGTTAACGTGGAGGTGGACGTGTCCCGTCTACAGTTGTACAGTTGTACGCTTTCCTTCGCGATGGAGCCTCCCTATGCTACCGCCGTCGTCTCTCCTCATGGCTCGCTCCACTAGACTAGAGCAGCCTATTCCTCGTGTCTTCCAGCTTCTTCACCACCTCGCCTACGGTTCGGTCCAAACCGTTCGCCACCAGCTTCTGCTTCTCGAAGGGCAGCGACGAGAACTGCTCGCAGAGGTCACCGTCAATCACGTCCTGCACCAGCAACAGCGACGCCAACGGCGCAGGTGCGGCGAAACGGCAGAAAAAAAGGATGCTTAACAGGGTCTCAAGACGGAAGAAAGCAACGATGCAGAACAGAGTTGTGGAACACCAGTGGCCCAAGCAGCTCTCAAGACCTCCCCTGCCGGCCACAATACCCCCCATTGGCACGGTGACAGGACCTCGCTCACCTTGGCGGGCAAGTAGTAGGAGCGGTAGGAAATGTGATCCCTGCCGCAAAGCGTGGGCTTCTCTTGACGCATGTACATCTCCATGTGCGTGAAGAAGTCCACGTCGTCTCTGCATGCCCCAAGAGAGAGAAAAGAGCACCCGCATGGGTGATGATGATTTCGTTCAAGGTCAGGCTTGGTCCGTCGAGTGTGCGGGACGAAAGGGGGTCTTTCACCTACATGCTTGATAGTTCGTCGAGTGTGCGGGACGAAAGGGGGTCCTTCACCTACTACATGCTTGATACTCGAGACGCATGAATGCCCGTCACCTTCAAGCTGACTCTTCAAAACATAACGCCCACATTGTCTTCGTGCTTGTGTTGTCAATAGAAGGCGTTTAAATTTTACCGAGGTGCGGCCATATCGAACACCAACTACTATAGGGCATCCGAGCTTGTGCGTTTCGAGTTGTCGAGTTGCCTTTCAAGTTGTCTAATGGGCAAGAACAAACAGAAAAGGGATGCTTTATTGATTTCACGTGTCTTTTTTTCGGCTTGAACTCCTGCAACAGAAGGGTGGATATTTCAATTCTTGCGGGTGGGTGTATACTTTATTTATTTTTTTCAGTACCAGGTATTGGGGACGCAATATCCATCTGCTTGCTTGAACAAAAACGCCCGGAAGACGTCGGGCCGTCCTTCAACAGACAAGAGAAGACACCCCCAGAAAAACACAACACAACACGACCAATTGTGGAACGATGTGCGATACAGCAGTAATTGTACTCCCCACCGACCCACCGGCTTTTGAAGGGCAGCAGAGCGCCGATGGAGCCGTTGATGGTGGAGTAAAGCAGGACTTCTGCCCCACCCGGGACAAGGGTTGTCCGTCGGAGAGAGCTCACCACCTCCCCAACGTGGAACTGCCATGTAGGGAAGGGGCGGAAGAGAGACACGGACGGCAGGGGTGCCACCAACACTTCTTGGTACATTGTCTCATTCTGCGAACGGATTTACTTTGTGGTTGGGCCGCTACTCCTTCTTGTGGCGAAACTGCCGCGCACTACATCATACTTCGACTGCACAGTACTACAAGGAGGCGTTTCGCTTAACCTTGCGGTAACTTGTGGTAACCTTGTGGTGGCCGTTTCTCGCCACTCGACGTCCCTTTCCTCAACTCCTCAACAGAGCTCGCCTCAGGCACGGAAGGGAAGGGAAGCCTTTCTAGCTATGGGGGGAAGGAAGCCAAGCCCAAAGGTGCCCGCACACGACCTTACTCTTCCAAAAGCACAATATGCCGTTCTCAAACTCACCTGGAGCTGCTGTTGAACCTTGTTAGGTGCCCCGCTCAGGTGACCGGAATCCCACAGAAGCCGGTTTCCTGCAATCCCCAAGGTCAATTCCGAAGCGGGAGGTAGCCGGGTTCACACGTGGGCACACGAACAAACAGATGAACAGGATGCACAGATGGCATAAGGAGATAAAAGAGGACCCCATCATAACATCAGAACCCGGGTATTGTACAATACTGAGACGATGTTGCACAGCTGGCGTGTGAATTTAGATACAATACCGTTTCGGGCGTGGTGGATAACGTCAACAAGGCTCCCCTTCGGGAGTTTGGTGACTTGTCTCCCGGAGGCGACGCAAAACGACATGGTTCGAGTTATCACGGAATGCCTCCCCGCAAAACAGACCCAGTCACAGCGACTTTAGGCGTCGAGCACACGTGCCACGGGTGCCTGGGTCCTCGGGCATGCGAAGTATTGTACCGACCAACCTCCTGCGTGCGCCTGAGAAGTAAGCGTGAAACAAGATTCACTGGCGCCAGAGAAAGACGTGCCAAAAGCACGACAAACATCGACGCTGTCGATGATGCGTGTGACAATTAGGACCCAACCACGCCCTCTTCAAGCACGCACCCCGACGCCAACACCCAAAAACACTCCACCACAATGAATGGTAATCGTTGGACACTGCATGCCCACAATACCGTGGAAGGGTACAGTATGCCGTCAACGACCCTGCAAATCGTACATCTTTCATTTGTTCCAAACCTGTCGGGTTGTCGACATCGTCGCTGACATCGAGGGGTACTCGAAGGACGAAGATGTTGCCAAACTTGTCAGCTCCCGCGATGCTGTCGTAGTCCAAGAGGCAAGTCTTGGTCATGAACCGAGGTACCTGGGGAGCGGCCGAGTGAGTCCCGCGTGCGTGAAGCGCGATTCGAGGTGGTTACGAGCAACACACACCACGAAAAAAAAAAAAAAACACGAGCACCTGACTGCCGGTCTTAAACCATCGAAACAAGTCAAATGTCTACCAATAAATTTACCCAGACCACGTAAGGATAACGCAATAACTTGTGTGCGCGCACGCTCGTTTCCACCGTCAAAACTTAAGGGATGTTCTCTACAGCGATTGATGCCAATCAATCCGTAACATCTACCAATAATACGAGGGGGATCCGCGTAACGCCAAACACGACTGAACCGTCACCTGGTCATCGGCGAACTCCACCAGCCGATTTTCCGCCCTCCGGTACTTGAAGCAGTGACAGCTCTCCATCTGATCCCCAGCAAATACCCGGTCGCCCGTGACGGTCAGGCTCACCACCATGCTGGGCATCCGCTTGTTCTCGCACTTTCGAAGAAGCTTCTTCCTTCCCAAGTCGTACATCTGTTTGCCCGGAGACACGGGACCGGGCGTCGAGGAAATCGCAGAATGGACGACAAATCAAAATCGGCCGCCGAGATTCAAGCACCAAACTGTCCGAAAACCCTCCAACACTATAAGCGAGTTTTCAATTCTAATGATGTCTGACCAGGGCAATAGCTTTGGCAATCCGCGGACCTAGCACAACGATTCTCTCCAACCGGTCCTTACACGCAACGTAGCGGCACACCTAGCCAGTATCCCCCACGTCACAACATGTTGACAACGGATGTAAATGATATTTTTGGGGGGTACTGCACTCCGTTCCCATGCAACTAATCGCTGCCTCACGTGCCAATCCACTTACCCTGAGACTTTGTCCCACGCCGACGAGGAGCCTTCCTTGGAACTCCTTCATCGCGAGAGGCACGTCTGGCACCTCCGTTTTGTGAAGCAATACCAGGCGATTTTCCAAGATTCTGTGAACGGACAGACGGGCGAAGGGACGGTTGAGGAGGCCGTGAAGATGACAAACAAACCTGCGTGAGTGTCTGTCTACTACTAAAATACCAACTGTCGTCCCAACCTCGAAAATTTTGAAGTTTCAAGGGGTGTGGAGTCTCATCACGCTCATGCGCTCTGGAACTGGCCAATCGACAGTCGTCTGCATGCCATGCCCACAGAGGGCTGGCTTCAGAGGGGTACCGTTGTTTCACGATGGCAGTGGCAGGGCAGCAGATAAACATGTCGGTGTCTGCAAGTCGTTACCCCTCCCCGGCCGGATTTCTACAGATAAAGAGTTAACTAAAGTCTTACCTGTACACGTGCACGAAGCAGCCCTCGTGTCCCCTCGGGTGGAAGGTGAGGCTCTTAGCGGTCCCCACGGCGACGAACGCTTCCCCGTTGCGGTTGTGGAACGCCACGGGTGCGACCGAGAGAGCGGCCTCGTTGTCGTCTGCCAGGAACGGAAAACGGCAAAGGCAGCGGTTGGCGTTATAATAGTGGCAAATGGCAGTAAGTGCTCACTCCCTTTCCACCGCCGAAAAATGATAGATGTCACGACGGCAACCAGAAAAGCGGGCATTCCATGCTAGGCTATGCACCAACGTCGAGGCACGTCAGTGAGAAACATTGCAGGCCACGTGAACGGAAAAAACAACCACGTGGACGATGAGGTTGTCAAGCAGAGCCAAGACGGTAATAAGCAAGCCGGTCGAAGAAAGCGCACGGTGACACACAAGCACCAAGAGCACGCCCACGACACCAACGCCAAAAACACCCGACTTTTCGCTCTCTCACCGAGGTCGAGGCACTCCACCGTGGTCCCCTCGACAGGGTCCAGCAGACGGATGCAGCTCGCCCAGGACCCATCCTGCGGCGGGAGCGGGCCCCGGATGGGCATCATTGCGGCTGCGGCCTCGTCATCGTCCTCCTCCTCCTCCTCCACCTCCTTCTCCTCCTCGTCTTGATCCATCGCCTCTGCACCAGCGGCGGCACCCCCGGCGGCGGCAGCGTCTCCCTTGGACGCCTCCTCTTGCTTCCCGTTCTCGGCGGGGTCGCCTGCACCACCACCAGCGGGATCCTCCTTCTCCCCCTCCTCCGCCTCTTTCTTGACAGCCTGTCGGCAACACCGAACAGCAGACGTGAGGGCGGTCAAGACCGTGAGGTGTTACCAATCAGCTTCTTGCACCCTCATCCTCCAAATCTGTCTCTCTCTCTGTCTCTCTCTATCTCACTATCTATCTATCTATCTCTCCCCGTCTCTCTCCCCCCCCTCCCTACAAGCAACAGGGTGGTCGGCGCACAGAAACCACCTCTTCCGAGGGCCAAGCCCTGTATCACGTGTTGGGAACGCACGCACGGCCTACAACACACAACACAAACAGCGAGAGAGAAACCATGCATACGATGGTGAATAGCATTGACGTGTGACCGATGGCTATGGGCGGTACATACGCACCTGTCCTTGCGTCTCGTTGTACTCGTTGTGGTCGGCCTCCACGACGACCAAGTGCTGAGCATCGCCCGGAAGCAGCGCGATCTGCCTCGGAGTGTACCTGCGGGAGGTGAGTTGAGGTGTTGGATTCAACGCCAAGGAGAGGGTGTTTGTTGGTTGACTCGCGGACAAGCTTTTTCGGGTCGCGTCGCACGGACTCGGTACTTGTACCATTGTACTGCTACCATTGTACCACAAGACGGCACGGCAACAAACAACCGTCCTTGGTCCCGTGCGGACGTTGACCTTCACAGAACAGATAATCCAGACAGGTTGTACACGAAATAGTTCGGTTTCGAAAACAAAATTCAGCCGGTTCTTCTCCCACTCACTCCAAAGACTTGAACACATCCCCTTAGACTGTGGTATAAGACCATCTCAAACGGGTAGTCTCTCTTTGTTTGCATGCATATTTCTTAAAAAGAACAACAATGTTCCCCTCCTGACACCCCCGCGTGCACAGAAAGCTCATACACGGCGCACCCCTCAAGAACGAAAACGACAAACAAACTGACGCACTTTAGGGGAAGTGCCGCCTGGTTGAAGACCTCGCCCAACCGCTCCACCCCGAAGATCCGCAGCTTCTCCCCCGAGACGGCCACGACTCCTTCCGGACACATCTCCGTAGAAAACTCGGCAGCGAAATCGAGTGGATCATAGCTCAGGGGCGTCATCTGATACCGCCCTTGGTAGTTGTACGAGAGCCACGATCTCGACGACAGCGCCAAGACCTGGAGATAATTTGGCAGGAACGACAGGGGAGACGAGACGGCCGAAACGCACCGACCGGTCAAGGCGGGACGCCTACAGATGTGCCTGGGTCTCTCGGGGACGTCGGGTGTTCTACGACACCACTGCTGCACCTTTGGATGGACACCTTTGGATGGATACCTTTGGATACCCTTGTTCCACAAAGGTTGCCAAGCCTGCGTTCGTATCAGAAGGCCTGGCCACAAGCACTAGCAGGAGTCCCGGCACCAGGAAAGGTATCTGCTGGCATCAGACAGGACACGTCCCTTTGGCGCGACCCATTTCGCAGCAGTTCTATGATACGCATAACTCTATTGTACATGCAGCTCACTCACCCCTCGCTTGTCCTGGACTTGAATCCGGAAGAGCTTGACAGGCTTGGATCCCAGGAATCGCTGGCGAGGGTCGGAAAGAGTTCCAGCCGTAGCATCCACTGCCACCTAATCCACGTATGACAACCGATTTCGAACGTACCGCCTTAACCGAAAGCATTTTTTTCAAGGCATTGAAATCTAGTTTGACGGAATCCTTTGGAGCGCAGCATTCGTTGCGAACAACACATGAACACGCGAGATGGACACAAACGAGATTCTTACCCGCTGGCAGACTCCGCTAGCAAGGCCGATGTACAAGAAGAGCTGTTCATTGCTTCCGCCAGCCGCTTGCTCTGCCGCCATGTGCGCGAGACACAGCGACTCCGCCGGGTGTGGCAGGTTGATCATCGCAACCTTACCGTGTCAAAACATGCAGATACGGCGGGGGGGGGGGGGGGTTAGACAGCAGCCTGGTGGCATTGATTTGAGCGTGGTGGCTACGCCACCTCACGTGTGCGCGAACCAGCACACCGGTCGGGATGACTGGACGTCTTCCTCCGGCTAATATCATCGCTGCCGCGGGAGTGGTAAGTGGTTCGTGTTTGTATAGTGTAGGTATGGTGGCGTCGTTGTTAAGGTGGGAACTCCTCAGACGTACGAATGTCTACGACCACACACCTGCTCGAGGAGGTTTTCAGGGCTCAGCCCGAGAATCTTCACGTTCCCATTCCAGTCGCCCACGGCAAGGAACGGAGCCCTGACACGGTCTTTGGGAACCTCCCCCATTTCTAGGCAAGCGATTTCGACCCCTCCTAGTTGTTTCGTGCCAACTTCCTGCGGGACAGATAGGGGCGTTAGGTTAGGGGGAAAAAAGGCTGCGGCGCAAGATCACAGACATGAGAGGCATCCGGCGGTGGCACATCTTTAATCGTATGCAGCGGAATCCACAAGCGAGTACCGCAAATCATCGTGCCCAAAGCTACCTAGTAGCGACCCTGCCGAGTTAAGGCACTTCAACAGAAACGAGCCCCACAAAAAAGCACGGCGAACATGGTCAATATGCAACATGCAGGGTCAACCGACAACACGTCTCCGTCCAAGGTTAACGTTCCCCTCCCGCATGCCCGGCAAAGCTTGATCGGCCCTCCGTTAAGTGAAGCCTCCCTGCGGACAGCACTGAAGTGAAGGCCCGAAAGACAACGGTCGAGTACACCGTACACCGTGCTTGGGGCCTCCGCTCCTACTTGGCACAAACCGCACCAAGCTGTTAACTTACCTGAATGTTTTGCATGGCCTCATCCAGCTCGAAGAATATGATCTCTCCACCGGCCAAGGCCAACACCACCTGCCGCTCGTTCGCGCATGCCTTCTCGATCTGCTTCTTGCCGGGGGCGCGCCACTCCTGCGGCGGCTGCCCCTTCATGATCACGCGCAACCCATGCGAGTACACCTGGCCACGACCACGTCAAATTGTGTGGGTCGGATCAAAATAACCCACGGCTCTCGTCACGATTTCACCGACAAGTTCGAGAGAGAGATTGGACTGTAGTCACACCAGGAACTTGAGTCGGCGTCTACATGTGGATGGAACTTGAGTCAGGTTTACGGTTAGGAAGGAAATGGCGGGCCGGACACACCCTGGTCTCGTCGACAGCAGCCGTGTCGTGGTCCGCACCTGTAGGATCTTGTTGTTCGCCATGAGCTTCACGTCCAGGGTGCTCGAGGTGGCCAAGAACCCGGAGTTTTCCACTTCTTCGACGCTGTCTTGCACCTGCACACGCAGGCAAAATGGCAGGATGGCGAGCGATTGTCTGTCTTGTGCGATCCACGCCACTAGTGTTGACGTCACCTCCATTCCTGCATCGTGCATGCCTCTCGCGCTGCTTGAGCGATGGATGGACTTGTACCCTGCATGTACTCGGAACCGTCGCTTAACTATCGTTCCAGGCCCGCGTTGTTTAAAGAGACGCGTGGCTGTATCCTGTCTCTACTCCGACCACTCTCACCTCGAGCACCATGGTCGCGTTGGTGAAGCTCAGCACGATGTAACGGTCGTAGTCATCCGTCAGGCGCTGCGCGAAATGATGAAGAGCGACGGGTGCGTGGCGTCATCACGAGAGCGAGCGAAGAGAGAGAACTGGAGGGAACCCAGTAGGCTGAGATATTCTTCTTGAAACCATCCCATAGCACGTGGAATGAACCTGGTCTGGTGTGTACTTATCCATGCAATACCCACGCAAGCAGTGCTTCGTCCTCATACAATCTTCGAAGTAGACCACAACCCTTGTCCTTGGGGTAGTGCAGCAGTGGTTGGTGCAGTGCACTACCCCCTTACAATCTACGGAAGATTGATGAAAAAACGACGGCAACACAACAGAGCTTCGACCTCATAACGATAGGGCAGAAGACGGTCGTTGTGGTTGATTAACTCACTTCTTTGAAAGCGAATACCGCGCTAGGCACTCCGGGCAGATCGTTCTCCGCGAGCTCAGTCACAGCAAGCCCGTGGCGCAGGATCCTGGGATTTCGGCGTTGGGTGTTTCCATCTTGAGAACCAACCGTTGTGCTCATGGGGTGTTGGTGCCGACATGGGTTCTCCGAATAGCCATCAAACTATAGCAGTAGAACAAGCTCCCGCAAATTCGCAATAAATGCTTTCTCGCAGAAACCGAACAAGCTCATCTCTTCATCCATACAACAAGAGATCATTTGTCTTCGTCAGCTGGCATTCTTGCATTCCAGCAACGATTCATCTACCTTAGTGTTGATCGATTCCCTCGGCCACACAAGGTATACATCTGGGGGGTGTCTTCGCGAGCGAGGTCACCGACCAGCATGTCCGTCAGCGGCGCCAAGCTCTCCACCTCGTCCAGCCCCCACAGATTCTTCAAGGTCGCCGATGGCGTGAAAGTGGGTGCCACCTGGAGGAAGCGAGAGCAAGCGCGTTCAACAGGTAGAAACGACCGCGTGGGGGTAGGGCGTCAACCAAAAGTCCACGCGACTCTAGAGATCGCGAATAAAAATCGTGCCTACCTCTTGGTGTGGTTGAGGTCGGTCGGTCGGGTGTGAGGAAACGTATCACAGCGCTCAAATATCAGGCCGGTCAGGACCCACTGGTTACCCCTACCGCTCGGGTCCAATAATCGCGCGATGTGTTGAAATCAGCAAAACGCCATTTTTCCCCAAAACCAGCGCAAGCAGCTCTGCATGAAATAAAAAGTATGGCTGTTTCGTTTGCCGGGCACCAAGATTTCTTACCTGCGCAGCGGATTCACTGCTGTCGTCCAATTCCGGGTCCGCGCATTGCGTCGCCACCACCGCTCCCTCTTCTCCACCCATCTGCTCGAGAAAGGAGGGTTAGCAGCGCCATGCAGAGAATCAAAGTAAGAAGGTCAAGCGAGGATCGAACAACAAGAGACGATTGGCACAAAGATACCCAATTCGTACAACAGTAGTGTGTGGACGCAATTTGATGCCATTTAGCGAAGGAGGCCATGCACGGTGGCACACACATGGCGTTCATCACGAAGCGGGTACCTTGTGGATGAAACGTGTACCTTGTGGAAGTGGAACATCATGTGGTTGCTGAACTCGCTGGCGCAGAAAAGCTTCCCCTTCTTGGTGATCTGGAGGCTGTTGGCCACCGGAATGGTGTCGAACACCTGTGTACGGAAGCACCACGTTGGGAACACGGCTAACGGTTCAGACGAGCATTCCGGCTGTTGAGAACCCAAGGAGCCAGCCTGCCCGCGGGCAACGAACGCCCTGCACCATGGATGAAAACAAAACCAACCGCGGCCGTCTTCGTCGGGCCTACGCCGAACCCAAAAGCATGCCAGGCGTGCCAAGGTCCCGGGGTGCTCGATGCTCAGAAGAAGCTGCCGTTGTTTGGGGGCATTTGCCGTCTCCTTTGTTTCCATGCATCCCGGCTCCCGTCGCCATGGTCGACGCAAATATGCTCTGCTACCTGTAGTGGCGCCGCGGGACTCTCGCGCAACAAGTCCAAACTGTAACGAGCGCCATGCCACGCAAAGTGGCAGGCGACATCGAACCCATTTAACGCGGACAACATTCTTGTCAGGAGGCCAGCCAACAAGCGGTGCTCCTGTACCCACAACCACGCCCGAGAAGTTAGGTAGGTGCGGTAACCACCAGGCGGCCCTGCTCGCTCACCTCAATGGATATGTCCGTCACCTCCGTCTGCTCGTCGTTGACGACAAGCGATACCTGACAGCAACAGCCAGAAGCAAAAAAAAAGAAGCGAAACCGCCAACACGGGGCCAACGATCGAGAGGGTGACCGAGGGCCAAGAAAAAATGTGAAAAAGCTGTTGGCATTCTGGTCCAACGGGGCGGCGGTTCGAAGCATCCTCCATCCTGCGAGGGAACAATCCTCGCCTTCACACCTACCACCAACCACTCTCTACCATTGCTATCACATTGTAGTCTTCAAGTACCCGTTGCGCCCACACCGAAACAAAACGCGGAAAGGTTGGGAACATCTGGTACAGAACCGTGTTATTGACTTGGTGGACACACGAAACATCCACTTTCACCAGACGTTGTGTCCAGTAAGCCTTGTGTAGTGTTTAGCAGTGGAAGGGGAGAATCTTGACTCGTTGCGTGTGAATAGTGTTCACGGTTGCCAAGTTTCACCATCCACCACCGGTTGTACGCTACCACACCCCCACCGCTGCCCCATACACCCAGTCAAACAAGCCAAAGCCCTCTCTCGCCTTGTAGAGGTCACCCAGCTCGGACTGGATCAGGTGGAAGAAGAGGCCAGGCTGCTGGTGCAGGGTGCCCGACGTAACCAGCAATCCCCTCCCGGTCGGCATCGTTTTCCTGCGGGGGAGTGGTGCCCTAACCTCCGGGTGGTCCTGGTGCTTGTACGCCACCCAGTTCTCTCCGCAAACCAGAACGCCCGACGGACCCGCCTCCCCTCCCGGAACAGGCAGCAGCAGGCTCGCACCCCTGTAGCCGGGTGCAAAGGCCGGATGATACGAGGGGCATTCAAAACGAGGTCGCTGGAGAAGTGATTGATTTGCATCAAGCGACGGCACGCCCGTGTCCACTTTGTAAATCTGTCTTGAGCGTGTACCGCTTCCGGGGTAGGTGGCCTGCAACCACGGAAGGCGTGCGCGTCAGTTGGGCCCGTACGGATGCTGGAAGGTACACTGGGAAGAGACCGAAACGGTTCCTAACGTAAAGACAACAGCAACAATATCGTCGCTTGTTTTGCCATGACAGGGCCGGATGTCTCCGAAACCATCGAGGCGCGTGCTTCGGAATGCTTGCATGGAAATGGGCTCAGGGTTTGATGTACAAGGTATACGTGGCCTCACCGGCTGATGGGGTCGCTCCACAATCTCGTCACGTGGTTGAGTCCGAGGTCAAGCTGGTAGTACACCAGCTGCTTCTCCGTGTTGGCCGCCTCTTCTCCTGTCGAGTCTTGATCGGCTTCGGAGTAGTCGAGCTCGATCACCTGTGCGCCAACACAATGGTAAGAACGGTGCGACAGATCAGATCACGTGAGGCTTGAAAGAAGCAAAGTACACCTCGCCCCCACTGAGCCCTCCTGCCATAGTCTGGGGGTGCAGTACTCCAAAACCTCCAAACAAACACAACCAGCAACAAGGCACAAGGTACTCACAGCGAAGATTGGGTTGTCGAAGCCCACGTCCACTCCACAGGTGTGGAAGATGATAGCGTGGCTTTTGTGTGCCTCCAGCGGCGACGAGATGGCCAGCCTGGAAGCGGTGTCTCTGTTCAACACGTACACCTGGTCAAGACAAACACACACAAGGGAGGACGGATGACAGCCAATCATCTACCCGTCGCTAACACCGGTACAATGCTATTACAGGACTACCGACGATGATGGGAGATCTGATGCAAGTGCTTTCGGCTACACGATGAGAACCTCCGGTCACTAAACCGTAGCATGGGATTCATGTTGGTCGAGACTACCTCAGCGGCCCCGCTACTTTGCGAGTCTCACTGTTACGCAACACCGGCAGCGAGCCACCCACCAGCTTTTGCTTCTCCACCGCGCTGATCATGATAGCGCGCCCTTGCGGGTCGGCGGCCAAGTACTGCCCAGGGACGATCCTACGGCACCCGGTCTTGCCGAAAGTCTCCATGTGAACCGCCTTCAACTGCCGTTGCAAGGAAGGGTCAAGTATGACGCAACATATGCTTCGGTCGTCAGTTTCAACCTGTAAGGTACTCGAGGGTGCAACTCCGACAGAAGAGCAATGCCGCCTGTGCTGGTGGATAGACAATCTACGGCCTAGCTTGCGTTGTCCACACTTTGGTCGTATGTATGGCAGTGTGTTCGGGGTCGCCCCCGACGAAGGGCGAATGAATCATGTACAGCCTTGTTGGTAGCAAACAGCAGTATCGCAGCGGGAAAAGCTCCCCCGAGTGATGTCGCGTGATGGCGTGCAACACAAACACTGCATCCCTATTATACGCACTATACGGTTCGCACCGAGTCTGGTATTCCACACAAGATAGCACTCCCATACCATACACCTGCCCCCCGCACAGAATACCACCCCCAGTGACAATGATAATACGGCTCAACATGCAACTACACTCTCAGATCGACTTAATAGTGTCACCGAAGATACCACCCCCCCATACAGAGTAACACTCTCGGTGAGACTGCTTTTAAATATCACAAAAACTATCACCAGGGGTGTTGTCTTGTGTGTAATACGGAATGGTAGAGCGGCGATGCTCGTACCTCGCTGGTTTCCGGCAGGTACTCGAGGATGGTGACCTTACCCGCGTCCGTGCCGACGACGCAGTAGTCTTTGTGAGTCGAGGTCAATCGGAACGCGATCAAGCTTCGCACAACACAAAACGCGGGCTGCTGCAAGATGGACACCTGGAAATAAGGAGAAACACGCGACCGGGGTTTCCAATCAGACCACAGAAGCAATTTGCGATGTGGTGTGGGTGTACTCGAAATTGATGCTTGGGAGGTGCGAGAAAATCTGAAAATCTGCTCCCTACCGCTGTAAAAGCTAAAAGAGCACATTCGAAGAGGCTCCAGCTAAAAACACCAAACGTCTGCAGCGGGTTATCCGCACCACAGCAGCGGTATGCGTCGCTGGTGCAAAAAGCGTGCTTAGAATTCCGTTATTCATGGGCACCTACGCACATCTCTAAATGAGAGCTTGCCACAAGCAGGACACTTATCCCTACATACGCATTTCATAGAGACAGCAGTAGTGCCACCGAGACTTCGCCATCTATCGCCACATCGCCACATTGCCACGATCCAACCTGCTGTTGTATCATCGGTGAGTCAAGCAGAATAGAGTTCACTAGTATACTCACAAGCTTGTCTGTGTCCGGATCGATCCTTAGCAGCTCCAACATGGATCCCCGAGCTACCATGATCTCCTCAGTCTTCTTGGTGCCGCTGAAGTTGCCTGAGGAGAGCATGAGAGAGGAGCACACCAGGCGGAGGGAAGGATTGGGGTCAAGAGTCAGCAGGCAGCACGGTGGACCCAGATCTTCATCTTTTGGCATGCTCCCACAAGCTGTCAAGATACCAACAGTTGCGATGTTGTGCGCAACAAAGCCAAACACCATGGACCAAGGAAAGGAAGCGGTGCTTGTTGTGGATTACCGAACCAGGCATGGACTTTGTAGCAGTTGCCGAGTGGGAGCGGCTGGGGTGCTCCGTGGGTGGGCAAAGCGCTGTGACAGCAGCAGCAAGTGTGTGTAGATATCAGTGGGTCGCTTATCCGGCGTACACCGAGAAAAAGGCACGAGCAGAGCTCAAGCAACACGTACCAATGGCAACTGCCGGTCCTCAGTCTCAACCTCCTCTCCCACTGTCCAGGGAGTAGTCGGTGTGAGAGAGATCAAGAGAACACGAAGATGGGCCATTGGAGCCCCGCTCTCCCCCACGCGCAACACCGTCACACCAACAAACCAACAAACACTTTATTACACACGTACCATAGGCAGAGGCATTGATGCCCCCCCCTCTCTGCAGATTGAGCGAGAGGACGTGCATGGTGCTGCGAAGATCCTGACGGCTGCTTCTTCCCGCTGCGGCTGTACGGGGTCTCAGGTGAGCTGGTAAGGGCAGCGCAGGCAGCAGGCACACAACAGACAAATGCGGGGGAAAGGTGGGGGGCGCCGTGAGGTGGGAGGAGCGATTAGCACGTCCCCCGTTCGTTCAAGATCCCCCAAATTTGAATTCCGCTCTCCGGAGATCTTGTCTACAGTATCTCATGATCCTGCTCGGATCCCGGACTGCTTGAAATGCAAGGTGCGTCATGAGTCGTGAGTGGTACTGCGGTGCTGCTCGTGGCAAGTGTGCGTGGATGTAGAGGACGATGCATATGCAGGGTGCTTCTTCCATGTGCATCGCGAAACCGCTCTCGGCTCTCTCCACGCCCATACAATATGGTGATTGCTACATCAGTACAGACAGGTCGAGCTACACCTGCTGCCCATCAGTGGCGGCCCACTCATAGGAATACCTGTTGAAGCAAAGGCTCAAACTCAAAACCTTGCTGTGTCTTTATTAGTCCAGTCGCCAGTGAGTATCATTGGTTCAGAATAGGGCGGCACTGCTATTTACTTCCAGATTGTAGATCTACGGTCTGCGTAGTCTCTTGTGTGGCCACAACGGCTGACGTGTACAGACACTACATGCTCTACGTATGTATGGAAGGTGCCAATGAACAGTCTACAGCGATATCATACAGTGATATGTGTGTAGAAAACATTCCCGAGGAACACACGACTGGCCGGAAAAATGCCTGACACATTGTGGAATCCACAGACAGAGAGACGCGTGTGTGTGAAGATAGACAGATATAGAGGTGTTCGGCGGGGTTACAAGTTGTCAGCCGGCGCGATAGATGAAGGTTATATGCATACCTCAGATATAATTCACACCTTGCTGGGGTGCGTGTTTCGTGTTGCGGTCGGCTACTCAAGTCGCTTCGCCGTTCCTCGCCACGATCTTCCTTCTCAGTCCCCTCGCTTGATTCGGCCGCACAAGAGACGAGGGTGTTGTGGGGCCCCGCCTGATCTGTACTCACTCACCATCGTTCAATATACTGACTACCAAATGTAGACATTCGCAATTTTGACGGTATTCGTTCATCGTTTTGTGTACTGCGGTGGGCCCGGTGTAGCGACCCCTATTGTCAGAAAGGATGATGCTCGCCCTTAAGGGCAGGTCGCTATCTCCGATGTAGACCACTACTGCAGCGGCTAATATTGGGGTTGCAGTGGTGCCCCGCGATGTTGTGGTCGCTATACAGGGGGTTGCTAAATCGGGCCCGGCTGAGTGACACAGAATGCAAAGATCCAACGAGAAACGTGCAAAAATACGCAGAGAGCTACAGCAACAATCTTGAACTACCGTATTTCGACATGCTTATTTATTGTAGTCGCAGTTGTTTTTCTTCCAGCCAACTTGTAGCGTATTCACCGAAATCGTATGGAAACATGCTACGCTACACGCGTACATCAAAATCAAGGGCGTATTTGTCTTGCCATCCACATAAGAACCCAAGGAGATATAGCTCAGATACAACAATTGAGCAATAGCGTAGTTTTGATGATCGCACGCTATACACGAACACAAGGAACACACGCATTACTTGTACATGTGAAGGGATATCTACTTGTACGGCGTGAGACCCCAAACCGTACACCGTGACTCATGCCGTGCATTTGTAGTTACAACCCCCACAAGGACTACACCACATACCCGACTTAGCTACATTCAACATTCTCCCGCCACGTTTCTACCCTACAAAGGACTGATGCTTGGCGAAGCACTCTTGTCTGCACCATCTCGGTCCCCGGGTGAGGACTCCAACTCCGGCGTCAACCCACGCGTATCTAGCACGCTTTGCTGCCGACCCGCTGGAACCTTAGCCTCCTGCCTGGCCCTGACCCCGGTCGCACCTATCGCGTCATTGCTGGCTTCCTGGCCGAGTTTTGCCCTAGCCTCCTCCAACACTAATCTGCAAGCACACCGAGTTGGACGGATATTGGTTAGTCGGTGGCAAAGGGAACGTTGAACGGTTTCCCGCTCGCTTCCCCTCAGCCGCATGCACAGGCAAGCGTATTGCAAGCGTGCACATTTCTGCTGCACAGCAAACCAGTGCACGCACACCGTGCGCACGTACCTTACAGAGGAAGGCCTGGGCAGCGTTGACTGAGCCAATTGGCTTCTTTCCGATTCCCCGGAAAATTTTCGAGTGGTAGCCTCCGGGCGCCACACTCGCGGGGTAACCGGTCGCGGGGTGACTGGTCGCGGGGAAACCGACCGCGGGGAAACCGACCGCGGAGAAACGAGGCCCCGGTCCTCCAGTTCGCTGTACTTTTTGTCCAGTCGAGCTCGCCGCGCGCTTTCTCTCTCTAGCGCGAATTGTGCCTGCTCCAGGGCCTGTTGGGCCTGAGGAGGTAGGAAGGCGGTTGATTGACCAGCCAATTGTGAAAAAACGTGTGTTAACTGCTGTCAGAACTTGCAGTTGTGAGGCCCGGTAACGAAGTGTTCTGCGGTACTTGCACCTCGCGGATTATGTCGTGCCGTACTACTGGTAGTTTCATGTCGTATATCCTCAGCACAGCTGAAACATCACCTCACACACAGCTCGGGCAAGTAGGTCATAAGACAGGTTCCTTCCGTCGTGATCCCCTACCATGCTTGCCCTTACCTCGTCAAGCTCCTGCTGAGTTTGCAGAAGCCTCTGGTCGACATCCGCCAGGGCGACTTGGTGCTCGCGTGTCTGCCGTTCCAGTTTCAACCTTAGGTCCTGGCAGTGGCTCTTTTCTGCTGCCAGCGTCACCTCCAAAGCCGACACCACGCCGCTGTGTGCACGTGCTGCCCGTGCCAGCTCCTGCTTTGCGCGTTCCTATGTCGACAAACAGCCGGGTGTTTCAACGAGATAGACAAACGCTGACCTCAGGAATGTTTCTCGATTCAAGCCAGCGGACAGAAATTCTGTTACCACCGTGTTCCATGAACTGCACGTAGGGGTGCTCCTAGTGCAGGTCGACATCTCACCCGTTCCTCTCGTAGCGGCGCACTATCCACGGTCTCCTGATCCGCAATAGCCCTCGAGTACTTTTCCGTCATATCATCAAGTCGTGCCTGGAGCGATTGGAGCTCGCTTTCCGCTTCGATCTGGACACGGGTTCGGGGAAAGTGGCGGGCGAAATTTGTCGCCGAGAGCACAAAAACTTGCCCTGTGTGGCCCGACATGCCGTTGCACTGACAGAGCACACGTGGATGGAAATACTGTAGGGTGATTCTTCGCAGCGCGTTGTTCTCCGACATGCGCCGAAACGGGGTTCCAATCTGACGTCACGAATGAGATCATTCCCGTCGCTACAAACGAGGTCGAACTATCTCAAACGCACTAGGACAACCAAAGGAGTCGCTGGCTCGTGGAAAGAGCAACCGATTAACGATGATCAAGCCTCACCTTTTGCAGCTGGGCAAGCATGTTGAAGTCGTCTTTACTTCTTTCCCCCCAGACCATACCATCCAGCGTCGACCTACGATTTCTGCCATCCCCCGGCGCCAAGGAGTCCCCATGAGGCTGGTGCAAGAAGGACGGTGATGTTGCACGCAAGTTTGGGGATAGAAAAATGATGAGGGGTGGATATTCGTCTCTTGTCAGTCTTTTCACGGCAAACTGTTCCAATATGACATGAATGACACTCTCAGGCCGACGAGCGAGGTGGGCTTGGCCCTGCCGGCTATCATCCGGTTCCTGCGTTTGCTTCTTCAACAAGTACATACCAGGTATTTGCACATACCTGAGCGGGAAGAGCCTGCTTGGCACGTTCCTTCACCTTGCTCAAGGCGTCTGTGACTGCAGCGGTAAGCTCCTCCAAGCCTCTCTCCAACATCTCTGCTAGTCGAGTAAAAGAAGGGGTGGTTAGCAGGGTCCTCCGTGGCCCTCCGCAACATTAAACAGGAGGGATACATGATGAATAGACGTATGTCGTACAACCGCAGCGCCACACCTTTACCTTCACCTCTCTCCCCGACGTCTTCCCCTCCGTCTAGGCAGGTGGGCATCGCAACACCCAGGCGATCGAGGAGGATGGACGATATGCCCTGCCGCGCGACAAAGCACGAGGCGAGACGGCATGCACGACACCGATGAAACTTGTCAAAGAATCTGTGGTATTCTATTGGGGTGGTTGCAGGAGTGCGGTTGTGCCGAAGATTGGGGGAACAGACGTAGGACCGAGTGAACCCAACACGACGTTGCTTTGCGCCAGCGTGAACACTGCAGAGGCGACAAGTTCATACATTTAGTATATTTGGAAGGCAGGCACACCAAAAAATGCGTCCACTGCTCCGTAACGTTGGCTTCGCAAAACGTTCTTTGGTAGCCTAGCTCGCTGGTTGCTGGTTCGAAACGGAGGAGGTCACAGCGTCCAATACACCACCGTGACACAACGCCAGGAAATATAATGTCAGCCCCAAGTGGATGGTCGTGGCGGGACACTGAAAAAAAGGCCGTGAGAGGCGAAGGAAGACATCAAACCCAAAAAGCACACGTCCTTACCTTTACGACACGTTTGAGCGTGTCCGCAGATTTCCGGTCTGTGGCTCCTGCAGCTTCCGCCTCTGACGCTTGCCTTTGTGCTTCAGCCTGCGGTTGGATACGGTTGGACACACACACAGGTACACGCAGCGAGGTACAGATGGGGAGGAGAGAAATCCTTCGATTGCCTTCATGGACAGAGACGAAGAATAACTAACCTCGAGCTCGCTAAGGACACACGTGCCAAGAACCTCAGAGCTCTCACCTGCTTTCGGTCAGCCTGTTGCACAGCCCGCTCCAGCCTCTCCACGCGAACAGCTACCCGTTCCGTGCAGTGCCGCACGAACTCCTCGTTCTCAGCCTTGGCCTTGCCGAGCTGTGTAGCGTACGGTGGGGGTCCCCGAACAACGCCGACTGAATAAGGCGGTCGCCCCATATCAGGGGGATGAAATTGGCTGGCACAGAAGGAATAACCAAGTTGTTCTATGCATTTAATAAGGCGGCTTCCCCAATATGGCGGTCGGTTGTCAGCTGCCCCACCACCGCCTTGTTCGGGGACCTTGACTGTAACACCAACCCTCAGTTCGTCTTTGTTTCAAGGGGGCCCTTGCACCATGTAAATGTAAGCAAATACGTGAGACGCTGGCGTGGAGCGACGTCGACTTGAAAACACGCTTTCGAAGTGCGAAAGAGACAAAGCTGGGTCACCGGTAGGAACAAGATGGCCCTCTCTACGTTCTTCCGCAGCGGGACCCCAAACTATCCGAGCTGCTTCATCTTCGAAACGTAGGCTCTCCGCCACAGCTCAAGCCGCACCTACGTGACAACAGCAACTTGAACGCAAGCCAGAGCTCCGATCAGCCAAGCCTCAAGTGGGCAACCCACCTGCGTTTGTGACTGAACGACACCATCCTCGGCGATTTCCTTACCTGCGTATTGACACATCGGAGCTCCGCCCGCAAACCAGCAAGTGCGGCGAGAAACAACCGTTGTCCGCCCTTCCAGCTTGACAAAGCCTGCGGTACGCTGCGCCGTCGAGCGCACAGGAGTCCCGCCTCCTCCTTCCCGCCGCCTTCCGATCGACCTCTGGCCCACCCACCAGACGGCAAAGAACGGCCGTGTTTACGCTCCTCCTCGCGGTTGGCGCCCCTTCGCGCTTCTTCTCCTCCCACTGTCCCCGCCACCCCCCTGGCGTGAAGCTCTCCCTCCAGATGACTTACCGCTTGGCTGTTCCCGTCCATGTGCGCGAAGCTGCGGGGGTCGAAACAATGCGGCCGGGAGTGAGAACAGCACGCAGAACGTTCGCGTTGTCGGCTTTCGCGCAATTTCGCTGCGAAGGCGTCCGATCAAATCGGTTGCCAGCAAGTACCGTGTCACGTGTACCGAAGGAAGAATCCAATGGGACCGTGTGCTCGACATCGGCACGCTGAACCAACTTCTTCTACCAAAGCACCCCGGTTCCTTGCCGACTCTTTCGAGATCTGGATCATTGCGGTATCAAGGTTCGTGCCTGTTTCGTCCCATCTGCTCCAGCTTCCAAGCTAGATGTCTCAACTCTCCCAGCTCCTGGCGGGAACTTTTGAGATACCCCTGTGCTTCGGACACTTCTGCCTCCGCGGCCTCGCGTCTTCTCACCTCCTGAGAGGAATGACACCGTCCCGGCGTAACAAGGAGAGGAGATAGAGGAGATACACGGGCAACACTCAGGCAGTTCGAATCCGCTGGAGAGTAAACGCCCGTACGGTTTATGAGTCCACGGCAGCACAACTGGCAATGCGATGTACAGTAACACTTTGATGTAAAAAGGATGTCCTTGCGTTGAGCCATTCAAGTTCTAGATACATATTGCTTCGAACGAAGGATACAGCTCTGGCGATGGCGAAGCCCAACCATTGTAACATGACGTGCTGCATTACCTATCGCACACGTCCCGATATAAACTAGCAGTTGAAGAGGAAAACAATATGCGCACGTTTGAAGTACAGAGGTGGACGGGCACCATCACCATCTCACCTGTCGAAGAACTGTCCTCAGCTCGGATATGTGGGTGCTGGCTTCCTGCAACTTTTCCGCCAGCATATTCTGTGCATGCGTACGGGTGGCGACAAGCGCATTGAGTTTTAGTCTGGCACGGGTCACTTCGACGATGTGCTCCAATGTTGTCAGTTGTCAGGCTCTGGTACAAGAGATGGATTTGACAATGAACCCGCACACCCGTTCTCGGCGGTTCGATGGCCCGATGGGCACAACAATACACGATTCGGCAATAAAGAGCCTGCAATGCCGTCAAGAATGCACTGAGCACTAAAGGCCGATCTTGAGAGTCATAACCACCGTACGCACACATAGAGGTACGTGTTGTAAAAAAGTAAGAGGCTCAGGAGCTCAACACCCTCATCAACGGCGGAACTAAAGGCGAGCGCCCCAGCGCAAGCATCGGGGATAAGCCAGCCTAGTACAGTTCAACCTCACGACGTCACGAGCGCCGTTTGAGAGGTGCTCGGGGTACCGTATCTGCTCACTACGATATCGCCAAACAGCTCACGCACGTCGACCTCCCACCCGGGGCCTGGTAGATTAATGGCGGTCGGGGCGCAGTCGTTGGCTGCTGCTTGAGCTCGTGCTGTCTCGCGTCCGGCTGCTCGTGCCATCTGCACCACGTCGTACAGAGTGTGAATCGATTCATCGCGTGTCACAGCCTCACGCGGAGTGTGAATCAGCAGATGGCATGCCAGAGCATCATGCAAGGTGTGAATTGCTGTTCTCACAGATTCGAAGCGGGCATAGGCCGTTGAGACAACTGCAGGCAACACTTGCGCGAAGAAATGGGTGCTTGTGAGGTCCTATGGCACGATTGATCGTGACTTAGGATGGACTCGTATTGGCATAGACGCTGGAAGCATTGACTACATCAGATAGCTTCGACCAATCAGCCTCGGCACAGGCTCCTTGAATTCTGTCCACCACTTCGCGATGCAGCACGCCAACTGCCCTAACTCTAACCCTAGCCCACCTCCACTTCGGCCGCTCTGCTCTTGGCCTCGAGCACTTCGGCAGCGACCTTCGCGTTCGCCGTCTCCGTCAGTAACCCAGACTGCTCACGAATGGCCTACGAGTGTTCGAGAGAGCAGCCGCCCACACAAGGTACCGAGCAAGCAGCAAAATGAGGAGCGAAAAATTTCGCATGGGCCTGGGTGTAGCACAAACCGACCATCAACGCGTACGTCAATCGACCTCAACAGCAACCACACGCACCACCGCAGGACTTCATGCTTTACCTCGGCCAGGCTCTGGCTCATTGTGTCGGCCCTAGTCCGTGCTTGCTCCGCCGTCGCTCGCAGCGCTTCTTCGCGGGCGGCGGCCGCGGTCGCGTCTGTCTCCTTGCTTTTCAGCGCCGCTTGGAGGCGGAGTTCGAGCTCCGAGCCCCTCGCCTCGGCGACTGCTATACCTTTCCTAAGGTGCCCGTTGTCACCGCGCAGTCGTTCGACTTCTGTGGACAGCCTGCGTTTCGTTCAGGAGGAGGTTGCAGGTGCCGGGGGAAGGGGGGGGGGCGTACTCTTATGTTTTGCATGCCTTAGCGGTCGGACCCTTGACCACGGGTCCTCGAGAGGACGGATCATTGTTCCCACAGGACCGATCACCGAAGGCCAATCGTTCCTTCCTACGTAGCCAAAGGTGGCTAAAAAATGTTTCCCCTAGCCTACAGTAGGGACTGGGTGCGGCTTCCCTGCTCGTGCTTTGCCCTTTTCCGCTACCTTGGACATGTTTTCATTCCACGAACAGTCTTTTGCGATCTCTACTCCGAGGTATGTCTACTGACCACAGCTGCAAGCTCCCCGACCCCCCACTTTCATCTATACTCTACGAGATTCCCCCCGTCCTCGTTGCATACCATGACGGCACTCTTCTTACCGTTGGCAGACAATCTCCTCTTATCAGCAAAATCCTTCCCTGCGTCAATCTGCAGTTGAAGTCCCTCAGGGGTATCAGACATCCCAACAAAATCATCCGCAAACAGCATTCCTGACACCGAAGTTTCCCCTACCTTTACCCCCTTCCCAAATGCCTCTACGACTTTCTACTGATCGTTCATGAACACCTGGAACAATGTCGGGGACAAAGTGCAACCTTGTGGAACTCCCTGTTCAATGTTGAAGGATTTAGATAGCTCTCCGTCAAGCGTGACAGCGCTTTTCGTACACTCTGTCGTCTTCTTCAGCACTCTCCATGTTACCCCCTTTATCCCACACTTGGATAATTGTTTCCACAGCCCATTTCGGCATACTGTATAGTATGCTTTCTGCACGTTCAAGAAGAAGAAGTACGTCGGCTTCCCCGCCCTCTTTCTACCGTGGATGATCCTCGCTACCGTGAATACGTGGGCTCCACACCCCTTCTTCTTTGGGAATCTGCTTATCCGCCACTTATCCTACCTTCCGTCTCCAATACTCCAACCATCCTATCGTTCAGCAGCTTACAAAACACTTTTCCTACTGTGGTCACAACAGCAGTGTGATCCCCGTATAGTTTCCCGGGCCAGTCTTGTTTCCTTTCTAAAAAATTTCACATCCACCCCTTCCCTCCATCTCCTTGGCGCATACTCGTTTTTCCACACCAAGTTGTACTGCAGCACCATCAACGGGATCATCCCCTTCCCCCCAACTTCATGAACTCGTTGACTACCCCACCCGACACAGCAGCTGGTGCACACGGCTCTCAAACTCGTCCTCAGTGAGCTCCTTCTCTAGCTCTACGTTCCCAACGTCTGCCTTCGATACCTCTTCTTCTTCCCGGGCCCATGTGTCCACCTCCTTCTCACGAACACTTGGTCAAAACTTCATTCTCCGATGGCACTCCAAGTCTCTCGTAGTGTCCCACTAGAATCTCGCTGTTTCCCTTCCCACTGCTACCCCACCGTCCACACCTCGCAATGTTGCTAACCCCAGTATCCCCCCCCTGCGCGATCTTTTTTCACCATCCCGCGAATCCCTTGCCACATCTGCTTTACGTTCCCCTCCAGGCCTCCGTTGGCCTTCTGCACTAAATACTTCATCCCAAATTCTTTTTCTTCTTCTTCTTCACTAATCCCTTAAACTGTTTTCTCTTGACCCTCCTTTTCCCCAACACCCGTCACTGAGGTACTGCTTGAAGACTTCTCTACGATCCGTGCGCAGCTATCCTCACCCAATGCGTCTGTGTGTCCGGCAATCTCAAACGTCAGTCAACCCGTGAGGTGTCAGCATGCGGCTATCCTCATGCAACGCTTCTATGTGTCCAGCAATCTCAAACACCAGTCCACCTGTGAGGTTGCAGTATGCAGCTATCCTCACGCGTCTATGTGTCCGGCAATCTCAAACATCAGTCCACCTGTGAGGTTGCAGTATGCAGCTATCCTCACGCGTCTATGTGTCCGGCACTCTCTGACAGCAATCAACCTGTGAGGTTTGACGATGCAGCTATCCTCAACCAACGCGGTTAAGTGTCCGGCAATCTCAAACATCAGTCAATCTACGAGGTTTCAGTATGCCGGCATCCTCACTCCGCTCGTCCATGTGTCACTCATTTGCTTTGTAGCGCACACGCTATGGGGGCGATACTTGGGGTAGCATGTTTTACAGCGCTTTGCCCAACAGCGCCAACCTGCACAGCGCCGGGGGGAGCGGTTGGGTTTTGTCGCGACACTACTGTTTGCCATGGAGGGCGCTCGGGACAAGTAAATACCAACTACGTCACTTTCATTTTCGGGAAAATAGTATGACGTGTTGCAGAAACACCGTCCGTGGCTATTGGCCGGCCAAGACGCCCACCTTTCTTTCGCTAACAAGGCCTTATCGCGCAGGTTCTTGATCGCGGCGGCGCAATCTTTGGCCTCTCCTTCCATCAGTGACTCCATCCGGGTAACGGCTTCGCGGAACCGTGCCTACCCAACGCACGACGACATGTTCGGCAGAGGGAGGGCGGGAAGAACGGTCGGAAGGCATCACCAAGCCGGGGATGACACGGGGCAATCAATCACCACCACGAGCACGTCAAAGACTGACTTGAGAGAACGTGTCAAAAAAGAGGACCCTGGAGGCGGGGCAACGAAAGAAGCCAGCATAGGGTCACCAGGGGACGTGTTCGCGAATGAAATAGTCCATTGCGCGCGTGCGCATACGCACCTTCTTCCCTGCCGTGCATATTACCCTCAACGAGCGCAAATTTTGATTGGCTCACTCACCTCGCTCTTCCTCTTGTTCGCGTCCGCCAGCTGCAGCCGCCTATCTCTCTGGGTCAAATCTTTCTCGAGGCACTGGGTCTGCGCGCAAACAGGCGGTGGAATCGACCGTCGAGTGTTCCGGTTACGCAAGTGGTTCCTATCCCCGAATAAACGGCCAACGTTTTGTTCGGACAACGAAATCACACATCGTCGGGCGAAATCGTAGTCAGTCGCCCACTTGCCTGGAACTTGAGCTCTTGGTGGCTTGAAGCGAGAGCATCGAGTCTCTGCTGAGCTTGCGCAAGCTCGGACGATAGTTTGACACCTCTTGACTTCTCTTCCCTGAGCTCCTCGTTGAGCCTGAAGTACAGCAGTTCAGGGTTATTACCGGTGCTCTCAACTCACGGACACACGTGCTTCATGCGGTACAACGGGCAGAAGAGATGTTTTTCGCTCCACGATTCACGAGTAGCGTTCGATGGAACATATCATTGCCGACCTACGCAAGCGATGTTTGCTAGTCACAACGGCAATGACAAGACCAGTGCCGACTCCCAGAAGCAGGTTCTCGTGGCTAAAATAGTAAATACAGCAACGAGATCAAGCAGCAATATATCAAGACATGACGACCAAGTGCCCTTAAAAAAAACGCCACTCTTCATATCGAAACATGACACCTGGTGACTTCCAGCTCCTTCGCCCCCGCGTCCGCTAATGCCTGCTGCAGCGACCGCGATTGCGCTGCTTGCTCGTCGCGCTCTCCCTTAAGCACGCTCGATCGCCGTTTGGAGTGAGAGAGTTCGGCCTGAAGCTGCCGGCATTCCACGCTGGAGTCTTCAAGAGCAATCTAGGCGGTGTAGACGCAAGGAGGCAAGCGACACATTCCGATTGGGCTCGGGGCATCAATCGGCTGGGTGCATTCCCGCACTACGAACACGCTAAATACGCTAGTACATGAAGCATGGTGGGCACACACATGGTCTCGGGCTACAACACTATCGCAAAGTTTCATAGTTCGTTGCCCGTTAGGCGTCGCACCCCGTACTTCATTGGTCGGCGGAAAGACAAGAGGGCGAAAACTGGCCGTACCAACGCCGCACTGCTCCTGGTCAGACCAGTATCTAGCACACCTACCAAGCCAAACAGGAGGACAACTAGCCTCAGGAGTAGAGGAACTGGCGTTGGTGGAAGTGTACGCTGAAATGAAAGCTGCGGCAGGCTCTGGGACTGCTGTTGGTCTTTCATTCACAAAAGTTCCTCCTGCATTGCGTTGACTGCAGTAGCCGAGGGCCGTTTCGTACTTGCAGCAGGCCTCGCGCGGTAGAAACAATTGATCATGTGTGTGATTGTCTGTTCTGGCCCCAGTTCACACCGTTCGTTTACACGTTTGTTTGACGTATCTACACATGCCCTGTCCTCTAGAATATATTAGCGTCCCCAAAACCAAAAACTATAAAACACCCAATATAACACCCTAAAAACAAGAAAGCTATTAAACACGCCTGCGTATTATTTTAAATATCAAGGGCTCTGGTCTATTAGGTCAGTGGTATTAACGAGGTGCAACCTCATCTCGCACGTGGGCATCGTATTTGCTTTGATAATTGCTCCAAAATCGCACGAGCTCACCTGATATTCCCGACGGAGCTCCTGAATGTCGGCGTCGACAGCGATGGCTTCAGACCTGGATCTTTCTCCTCTCGCAGCTTCGCCTTTCAACACTGCCACCACACTCCTTAGCTCCTCGTTGTGCCGACTGCATCGAAGAAGCTCAGCCTCGACCTCGGCAAGACGAATTGCTAAGTCGTGTGAAAAGGTGTCCCTCTCCGATGCTAGATACTGCTTTATCAGAGCCTGCGCATGAGCTGGTGCGAACTCTCTCGTGTTTTCGCTGGCGTTGAGCTGCACGAGCACTTGATCTTGCTGGGTACTCTCGACTGCCAAGCGGATGGTACTGGCCAAGCTGGCCAACCTCGCTTCGAAGGTAGTTTTCAACGAATCGTACCTGCGAGCATGTTCATTTAAATTTACGGATGTAGACTACAATGTGTTACAACATAATAATAGTGAGACCGTGCAGAGCTTCACAGCAGTGATTTGTGCGGAGCGCCTCAACATTCCAAGCTACCAGACTTTATCCGTCGTGCCAATACAAATCGGAACGTCCGACGGGTTTGTTGACCTCGTTATTGGGGTTGGGTTTCGGCAGTTTGCTGTAGTTCACAACAGGGAGACTCGTAAACGGTCACTTTTTTGCGTGTTGGGTCTTCGCGAAAACGACGCGTTTGTGTTGTTGAGCGCCCTAGAGAACCAACATCTAACAGCACCCAGAGGCCCAGCAGTGTAGTGGACCTTAGCAGCAGTATTCTACCCGCCCTTGTACGCCTACATTTGCCTGCACGTTTGATACTATAAAAGACAACATATACCTCTCCACTACACAATCAATAAGTATGCGAATGTATGCATTCTGTAAGTATTAGTTTACAGTCCATTCGTTGTGTCCTGCGCAGAAACAAATCCCTTTACATTAGTTTCCTGCCTTCTTTGTGTGACCCAGGCTGATATGTACGTCGAATAACCCGTACCAAATGGTTAGACTACAGCAAAAGCGCCAGAATAGAGGAGACGTAAACACACGAACGCCACCTGGCACCTGACGAGTGACGACACCGCCCGCCAGCAACACACACCGCTCTCTGTGTTGTAGACTAGATATTTATCTATTGTAGAATCAGTTCGCTGCTGCTCTGTATAGAAGCCGAAATCAAAGCATTAGACTAGAAATCAAACCATTAGAAGACTACAGGTAGTCAGCTGACTAGTCTAATGGTTTGATTTCGGCTTCTATACAAGTTAGTCGTGGGGTTCGTGGGCCCCGCACTTTCACTTCCGAGGAGGGTGACTACCCTTGCCAGCGCTACTAGTCTTACATCTGCTATGTTGGCGAAAATGCATCTCGACAAAAATACAAATAGGAATGGTTGGTTTTGTCGCTCTTCGTGTGCGGTACTGTAGTGCGGTAGTATAGTGTAAATGACGTGGGTGCAGGGTTCAACGTCTCCCCCCCCACATATTAAGGAATAATAAATACACACACAGAAAGACTACCCATTCGAGATATACCCACAGTCGAACGGGATGTGGTGGAGTCTTTTCAGTGAGTGGAGGAAAACCGGCTGGGTACTGGACGTATTTCGAGTCTTTTTAAGTCTATACACTGATGATTTATATCAGTGATGCCAGCTGGTGCTAAGTACATATGATGCGGGGACGCGAGCACTGCTGTAGACTACCACATCAGATCAGTGCAAAGCGGCGGAACTAAAAGTGCGCAGCAGCCAGGCGCCAAGCTACGCGCCTATTGTTACGTCCAGCAGGGTCATGCGTGATCCAGCATAGTGACACGTAATAACCATGGGTTCCCATCACGTGCGAAATACATTTCGCTGCCGGGTGTTGCATTGGTTATTCTTTGCACGCTGCTGCTGTACCGCTGCTGCTGTGGATGTATGTATTATGACAACGCATTGACGGCACTCATAAAGAACACAAACAAACGCGCGGACTATCCGCCTTAAAACATTCCTTCAACACGACCGCCAACATTTACACGTACTTTGCACGGAAGAGGGCGGCGGAAGGGTCGTCCATTTGTCATCCCAACGTAGTGCTCTCTGTGAGGACCAACTAAGATCGATCCAAACAGCTTTTCAGCTTTGCTGATCGTCCCCGAGACAGATGGCAACAAGGATCCGCCCTAACTACCGTTTTTATATTTTTTTCTTTTGGGAAGAAAAAAAAGAATCCCTATCAAGCAGTAAAGTAGAGATCAGTGAGATTGTCACACTCCACACTTCCTTTGTTTGCTCCTTCACAGAGCAGGACCTGCACAAGCCATACACCGAGCATCGCTAGCCATCTGCCCTGCGATCACCGGCGATCTCGAGTCCGACCCGGGGATCTGCAGCGCTTCCAAAGTGCGCGCTGGTTTGCTATTGTCTGACAGCGGCGGGCTGATAAATAAATCCCGCACCCTGCACCCTGCTGTTTTTGAATTGGCTCCGCGCGTGTTCCTGCCGAGAGTGCTGAGGTGACGTGTGGCGAGCCGTCCCCTCTGTCCCCACGCGGCACGGAAGGAAGATCCACTTCATCCTCGGTTCGAGTGTCTTGATCTTCGCTCGTTTGGTTATTTTTGGGGCTCGTCATTCGAACAGAGCGAGCTACACACAAGCGGATCGCGCCTGTTTTTGTGTGTAGGGCAACATCATTGTTGCTGCTGCTGAGAGCAGCGAGGAGGAAGAGAGCCTGTGCAGGCGCAGCTTGGGAGCGAGGAAAGAGGAAGGAGAGCAGCAGCAAGGGCTACAATGGGGGAAACATACCGACGAAGCGTGTAAGTGCCTCTGAATCCCGCCGTGGTAGGCTAGGGGAGATGGGCGCAAGGGCCGGGAGTTGCAGAGTCAGAGAGTCAGCAATTCGTTCCTTCCTGATGAGACTCCTGTCTGTCCATGACCAAGTTTCAGAGCGGAGAGAGAGAGAGCCGTGGGAGGCGGGGTGATTTACGTTGTGACCAGGTTGCGTGTGTGTCGTGGTATTGACGTGTGTGTAGGGGGCGCAGAACTGCTCGTAAGGCGTACCCAACCGGCGCCGAATGACTGCATGTCGCTGCCCTGGTCCATTTGAAGAGGGGGCCTGGAGGCAATCGACGCGCTTCGTGCATGCGTCAATTGGAAGTTTAAGTTTATTTGATTTGTGTGCGGAAAAAAATGTCCCCCCCCCGCTTGTGCAACAACCCACGTGGACAAGCGTGTACATGAATTATTATTTAAACGTAATCAACAGAGAACAGAGAGCTTCTGTCCTTGGCTCTTCTTCGTGCCGTCTTTGAAGACAAACCCTGCTGGTCCAACGCACTGCTTTGACCTTTGTGATTCCCTCCCGTATCTTGGCGTCCACAACGACGGCAACCTCTTTTCTACCACGTGGTAATACTGATCGGCCGCGTCCGCTTCAACTTCATTTTTTTTCACAATGTAATACCACACAGGAAAATCTTCATCGGGGGTCTCTCGTTCGAGACGACCGACGAGGCGCTCAAGCGGTATTTCGAGCAATTTGGTCCCGTGGCGGACGCGATCGTTATGAAGGACGCGGTATCGCGACGATCGCGAGGCTTCGGGTTCATCACCTACATGAATTCGGCGAGCGTGGATGCCGCACTTTCTGTGAAGCAGCACATCGTAGACAACCGGAGAGTAGAGGCCAAGCGAGCCGTTCCGCGATCGGAAGTCCCTCCCAAGGTTGGTGATACAGCAGTAGTGCGGCAGTACCCCACAAAAGCAGCAGTACTTTTGTGTCACACAAATTGTTATTTAGTTTGGTTGCAAGCAGCCGGGCGAAAAACAGAGGTGTCGACCTTGGGGTGGCGCCCTTCTCCAATCCGCGCCCTGCCAGGTACGGCCGTTTTTCCCCTCGAAAGAAGCTTCTTGTCGTCCTACAAAAGAGTCCGAACCTGCAGACGATGATGTACCTTCTCGCCGTCGACGTTCTTTTCTGTAGTAAGTTGTGAATTCGACGCAGGTGAAGTAGGTTGGATCGTCGAGGACAAATAAAACCCATGCGTTTGCATATGAATGACTATCCATGTCTCCGGTGGTGGGCCCGGTTTAGCGACCCCTAATTTCAGGAGGGACCCTAATAGGGCCATGTGTCTTGTATGTTGTATCACCGGTCCTTGTGCCACGCGATTTTTTGGTCGCTACATTGCTGTACAGGGTATTGGTATCGCTTGCCTTCCTGGGGGTATCCTCTGCTGCTGTACGGCAGCCGGGGGCCCGGTTTTGCGACCCTTACAGCAGTACAATAGTGTTAGGAGGGAGTGTCGTCACTATTCAGGGCAAGTGACTGTGTCACCGGCTAGTTACCTGCTCTATTGCTATTGGCAACGCGATTTTGTGGTCGCTTCAACAGGGCATGTCGCTAATCAGCGCGGTAGACCGGGTCCACTACTGCTACATACGCGAACAGCACGCTAAAGACACGTTGCCCTCTCTCTGCCGCTCTACCAACGTTTTCGTCTGCAGGTGGAGCCACAACAGCAGTTGGCGCAGTCGCCGTCACTCCAGTCGCAAAACTCGTGGGACACGCCATTCGCCATGGAAAGTTATGCCTTGCGAGGCGTTACTCCCGAGGGGCGTACAAGGTCCAATAGCACCGTCAGTGCTAGCAGCATGGGCGGCTTGATTACGTTGGATGGGGTGCCGATGGCAACGAAGGTGCGTCAAGGAGTAACCTTCTCTTCTACGTGTACTGTATGCACAGTAAGAATAACAAGCTTCACCTGGTAAACCTTCCCAGACACAGAAGTCGATATTTATGGATGAGCGAGGCATCATTCCGCGTTAAACTCCAACGGTAGATAGCTTTGTTGGGATTGAGTGAAACACCATCTATTAATAGTCACGCCAGAGGGATTCTTGTTCATGACCCTTGATCGGAGCTTCTCATGCACTATTAGTAGTGTAGACAACGTAAAGAAAGGAAACTCAATCTTGGAAGCAATTTGCGTTTTACCAAGGATGGGTGACTCTTCGTCACTCTTGGGGGTGGGTCCACCGAACAGAATGCCGCAAGTTTGTGCATATACTTCGAAGTATGTATCTGCGGCGGAGTAGGTACCCTTACTAGAAGCAGGTCTCATTCGGCCAGAGCAATGATGCTCAAGCACCGTGGGGTTTCGTGCGTGTCGGGATAATAAAAAAGGTCGATACTATTAATACTCTAGTATGTATGCCGCCTCGAGCGAATTGGAGCGTGTTTGCTTGCCTGTCGCAGCCGAACCCCCACCCACCGAGACGCGTGCTATCCAAAGCAGGCAGGCGTCATGGCTGTCGTGTGCGGTGAAGCGTATTTTGTTAGGCTCGGAACGGCTGGGGTCCATACACGATATTCCCCCCTTGCTTCGATCCAGCTGTGCCTAACTCTTATATCGGATTGCAGCAATATGCCTCCCCCCCCCGTGACTGCCATCGGGGTTGGGTTTTCGTCGCTTGGCAACGACGTTGTAAAACAAGCCGCCCCCCCCGGTGTTTGCCATCGGGGTTTGGGTTTTCGTCGCGTGGCAACGACGTTGTAAAACAAGCCCCCCACTCGGTGTTTGCCATCGGGATTGGGTTTTCGTCGCTTGGCAACGACGTTGTAAAACAAGCCAATTCACTTCGTGAACTCGGCAACCAGGTTACCGTCTTTTTTTTTTACCTCTGGTTTTTTTTTTGGCGGTAACCATAATGGTGGTCGAGTAGATCATGTTGTGCGGGGTCGAGAAACCTCACTCCGCGCAACGGGGGATGATCGCACCACGTTGTGTTAAAATGGTCAAGCTTCCTCGAGGCAGTTACACAGTGCTTACAACTGTCTCTGGAAGTGAAAGCACCAGAAAATAAATTAAGTCATACGTAGCTGTCATCCGTACGCAAGGAAGTAAGCACAAGATGCCGAACACCCTTAGCAGGATGCAGCTCACCCTTCATGCGACTCGCCAAATACCTCACGGCGCTTCGCGCTTGGTGATGTGAGAGCCTGGTCCGGTGAGAACCCGGCGTGCTCCGTCCCGGCTTTGTAGGGATGCGAGGTCAATGGTCAAACGACTACGGCATGCACGACTATGAGTACACCCCCCCCCCCCCTCCTGGTTTTCTATATATAAATTGCCATGTAGCCTCTGTTTTCATTTCTGAAGAGGTGAAGCCCAGACCTTGGTACACTTATTTTCTACCCTCCCTACCCCCCCCACCCCCCACCCCTCCCCTCTCCTTCCAGATCTTCGTCGGCGGTTTACACTACGAAACCAGAGACGCCTCTCTCCAAGCGTACTTCGAACAGTTCGGGCCCGTGCAGACGGCGGAGGTGATGTTCAATCGCGAGACCCACAAGTCTCGAGGCTTCGGGTTCGTGGTGTTTGAGTCGGAAGAATCCGCCAACGCGGTACTCCAGAGCTCCCACCACACCGTCAACGGCAAGGTGGTGGAGGTCAAGCGCGCCGTTCCCCGAGCGCAGAGTAGCACAGGAGGGAGCAACCCTAGTAGCCCCGCATTGATGGGGTACCCCCCATCCCCAAGCGCGCTGGGACCTGGGATGGGCGGGGGGCCGATGATTAAGCCGACTGCGGCTGCAGCAGCAGCAGCAGCTGTGGCGGCGGCGGCGGGGGCGAAGAGACCACAGAGACCACGCCCCCCTCGAGATACCATGGTGGGGCCCAACAACGGTGCAGTCCCCGGAACCCCCCCTCAGCGGCCACGCTACCCACCCACGACCTCGTACGCTGCGGTGTTGCGGTTCGGCGCCGGGCGCCAGCAGCAACATCAACAGCACACGGGGGGTGTGCCGCAGCACGGGGGAGGGGGAGGGGGAGGGAAGCCGCCCCAGCACCACGGTCACATGCAGGCGCGCGAGGAGATGGCTAGCTTCCGTCTCCACGGGTCTCACTCGAGCTTCTTGCCCCCGAGCGCGGCGGCGCGTGCGGAGGCGGCCGCCGCGCACGCGTTCGTGCAGGAGCTGAAGGCATGGGACGTGGAGAACCCGGGGCAGGGGCTTAGTTTCGAGGAACCGCTTGACTACTACGGCGAACAGCCCCAGCCCCAGCAGCAGCAGCAGCAGCAGCAGCAGCTTCAGCGCGGACCGTCCATGGAGTTCAACACTCGCGCAGAAACGAGTGGAGCGGGTGGAAGCAATGACGGAAGCTACGGCACCGGTGTCGCCGGGTCGGGCGCATGGCCAGGGCCAGGAAATGGGCAACCATCAGCTCAGAGGGCGGCGTGGGCACAGCACGGGCAGGCCGGCAGTACGATTAGGCAGCAGCAGCATCAGCATCAGCAGCAGCAGCAGCAGGCACACAGGCCACCAGGCGACGCGACGCGCTTGCTGGCTCACAACAGCAGGGTGGAAGACGTCTCTCCTCGTCACTCGGACAATTTCTCGACCTTCTCGCACCACGAAGACGGGAGCGCTGCCGCTTGCCCGGACGGCATCGACACTCACACACACCTCTCCATCTCTACCGGAGCAGCACAGAACGGCGACGGCGGCTACCACAACGGCCACGGGCAGCAGCAGCAGCAGCAGCAGCAGCAGCAGCAGCAGCAGTCGGCCGCGGCTTTGAACGAGGCTCCGAACGGCAAAATGATGAGCCCGGGCGAAGCGGGAGGCACGCCGGCGCTGATGGGGTCTTCTCCGCTGCTGGGGAGCAACGGTCTGCTGGAGACGGCGTTTGCGGACCTCAAGCTGGACGGTCCGAACCCAAACCAGAACGGCGACGGCCCATCGATGTTGAGTGGGTTAGGAGGAGGCGGTCCACCCTCGGCCTCTTCCGAGGCGCTTCCTTACGGCAGAGCAGGCGGAGGCACCGCTGTGGACGGGGGGGGCGGCTCGGAAGGGTTGGCCGCCAGCAGCTTGTGGAGGGCGGATGCGTTTGGGTCCGCGCTGGGTGTGAGTGTCCCCAGGACGGTCGACGAGATAGGGTCGATGCCCATGAGCGAGAGGAAGGACATCATGGGCGGAGGGGGGCTGGGCGGGCGGTTTATGGGACCGCTCGGGACCACCGGTGCGGGGGGCGGGACGACTCACGTCAACATGGGGTGGAGTTGAATTGAAGGTGGGTGCTGCCTTCACGATTAGACACTCGACGTTTCAGGGCTGTCTTTCGTAGCGGTCTCCTGCATGCGCGCAACCTGTTTTCCTTGTTCAGGCTGTTTGTTGCTGCTTGGTTGGGGGTTTTCAAGAATGAGCCCTGTCGTCATCAGGACCGGAATTGACATCCTAGAAAGTTGTCGGTTCATCGCGCGTTTTTTCGTTGTGGTTTTTTTACACTGCGCTTTAACCTGATGTCCACGGGAGAGACAGGCGAATGTGTCGTTTTCTTTGCTTTCCGTTGCGGTAAGTCGAGCGTTCACTGCAGATTGTTGGAGCATCGATACATATCACCAAACTCAAACGGTGCGACACTAGTAAAATGTTGTGTGTCGTCTCGGTTTTGAATCTCGGTTAGGTGCTGTGCTTGTTTTGCGCAAATGCCTCTTTAGGGCTAATTGGTTCAGCCACAAACATTATAGCGACAAGCACACATGGGAGCGCGGGTGCTGTTTTTTCCCACGATGACAGCAGTGTGTACACATGTTAACCCCGACCCCGTTTCGGCTTCTTCCGGCACCCCGTTAGCGCCCACGGGTATTCCAGTTGATCTGGAAGGTGCTGTCGATAGGTCAAAGTGTTTCCCGTTGTGGTTGTGGGAAGCGTTGATGAGCGGTGACCTGGTGGCAGGTTATCCCTTTCTGATGCGATCCTTGTCGCACCCTAGGCGTTCCGTGTGTCTCACAAGGTGCGTGGGTGAGTTCCAGAACCTTGAGTGATAAAATGAAGCCTGCTTTGCGCCACAATCACTGACGGTGTGTCTGGGGTTGTGCCTCGTCGCTCGTTGTTGTCGCTTTGCCTCGTTCGCCTCTCTAGCAGATGCGTGCATCGTGTGTGATAGGCGGCCTCAGCAGTCACATGCTGTGTTTAGCCGCCGCGACCGGACCCTGTGGCCCTAGAAAATAGAACCGCCCAAGACCAACGGAGGGAAAAAGGATAGCAGTGCTACAATATCAAGGATAGATTTTCTGTGGACACTGGCCGTAGTAGCAGTTACGGAGTAATTTAGTGAGTGTGTGGAGGAGGAGGGAAGGGGGGGGGGGGGGGGGGCGATGACGGAGAAGAGAGAGAGACATGTAGGCTAAAGACACAGGGTCAAGTCAGTGTGTAGGAATAGCAGGGAAAGTGGATGGCCAGCATCCCTTTGCCAATGGGTGCTCCGAATGCTTGTACACGGCTGGGAGTACAACGTAGGACAAAGGCGGAAGGCACACGTCTGTTTGACGCGCCTGAAGCCACATACTTGCGAAAGAAATCTAGATTTGAGATTGTAGTTTGTGCTAGTCAGCCTCGCCGATTCGGCGGGTGGTGAGTTTTGTTGGCAACCGTGGGTTGCTCTGTGCAGTTCCGTCGCGTTTTTTGCCTTTATTTTGTTGTAGGTTTGTTATACTGGGATGCGCGCTTAAGATCAGTCACTTAGTGTGGTCGGTTTGGTTTTTTTTCGGGTGGAGGGTGGTAAGAAAATACGTGAGGGTTTACCTCGTTTCTGAGGCAGGCACCGTTAGATGTGACGAATTTTGACGTGAGAGATGGCCAGAGGTAGGCTTGATTCTTCGTTTTTGCCCCCGCTTGTAGGGCAGCACAAAAACTCCCCATGAGTCCTGCAAGCAACACGAGTAGGCCACGCCGGTTCTATCGGGAGGGGCACCGCCGTACGGTTATACTTACATTACATACGTAGAGAGGGGCGCACCAGTCGGGTACCTTAGTCAGTGTGGAGAGTCGTGAATGGACGCACCGTTAAATAATAGTTTGCGCGAGTAGTAATACCTCGCCTAGCTTGCAGACGGGGAGGGTTGGCGTATATAGTCTATACCGTAGGATATATGTATCCGTTTTGTGTGTACAAAGGAGAGTTGCTTTGTGAGACGATTCGTAGAAGGGAGGGAAGGGGCACGTGCGTACTCTAGCTACTATAGTCTTACGGAGAAAAAAAGGGAGACCAAACGCGTGTGTCGGCTGTTGGTGTGTCGCCACAACGTAACATAACATAGATTGGATCCAAAGCACGAGAACGAGAGCACAAACTTACGGTGTCGGAGAGCTTGGTGGCTCTTATGTTGTGTGTTGCTCGATGTTGTAGCCTGGCTGAGTAGGTGGCAAAAGGTAGCAGTGCGTTGTAAAGAAAATGTGTTGAGCAACACCACGTAGCCGCAGGATAATTCAATACGATATTTTGTCATGAAAATGGAGGCTTGAAAGCACCGTAGCCACGGGTGAATACAGCGTTCGGTCGGGCACAAAACGCCGATCACCGCCACACCTCCGCTGGAGAGTCCGATTATGCCGACCTCCCACTGCGAGCGCGGCACAGGCTACTTGTTCGTCATCCTCATCAGCAGTTGGTGGGCCCCCTTTGAAACTCTCAAGCCCTTGAGATGTTTTCGTGAGGTTCTAAGAACACACACGCCGTTTGTGTGGTGTGGTTGAAAGTGTACCCAAGGTCACGCAAGTGATAGGGTCGAAGCATTACCGCAACGTCACAGACAGGAAAGAAAGGTGGTCGGCAAGCAGTCCACAGCACAACTAGAGGAGCACGCCGGCGAGAAACTCAAAAGCGCGAAATACTTATGTGTCACTCATCATGGGTCTGTCTTCCCTCACTGGTATGGGTCTCATTGTTGCATGTGCGCGCATGGTCTAAGGTTGTGTCGGCACCTTCTAACGCGCCAACATTCTCGACCACCAACAACCAAGGAGAATTGCAGACAGTCAGGCTGGCCGCCATGAACAACGGAAAAAAAAAAAAAAAATTGGAGCAATGCAGCCAGGAGACACCACCTTTGAAAGCGGCGCAAATGTTGCCAACAGGAGCGGGAAAACCAAATGTCACCGCGCACGCACAACATCCGAAAGGCGGACGATGCGGAAAATCCATCCGGGAGACATCTGAAGCACAAAGACAATTACAAAGCACGCCCGCATTCATAACATACTTGTACAGGAATATCGTCCTAGAAGATAAAAACAAAGGCGAGCCAGAAGCGCTCGCGAGAGCAATCCTATCCTATCCTAGTTGTGGAGGAGCTACAATAATTAAATAGGCGAACTACCACGCTGGGAAGAAACATTCCACGTGATTGTAGCGGTGGACGTTTCATGCATCATGACCAGGTAATACTCGGAACCTGAGCTGCGGCCAGTGCTCCATATTGCGCATACCTCGCCACTACCGCAAACTAACCACCTTAAAGAACGCTGGAAACATCCTCACCCAACAGACATCCTTCACGTCGCCTGGCGAGCAACAACACAGTAAACGGTGCCGACAAGCGTTGTCCGCACGTCTTAAAAACCGAATCCAGCGTGCTGACCGAGGAAAGCGGTGACGGCAGTATATTAGACATCAGAAGTAGAGTGTCGGTACTAACAACTATCACGCTGACATACCGCCCCGGGACCGGGAATCATGATGTCGTCCTTGCATGTGTGTCTTGTCGCAAACGAATTGGCAGCAGAGAGAAGAACATCAAGCTTTTTACTTCTTCTTGCCAAAAAGCGACCCGAAAGCACCCGAGTACAGCCCGCACACGGCAACAGCGCCTCCGACGATGTTTCCCAAGGTCACCGGGAGCAAGTTGGCCAAAAGGAACTGCGACCAAGTTACGCCAGCACCGAGGGCCATCCCGAGAGGGATTAAGAACCTTGCAGACGGTTGGTTCCAAGAGCAGGACGACAGGCAGGACGACAGGCAGAACGGCATAGTTCAGGAAAGGTCGACGAAGGAGGGCATTCAGAACTCACAATGGCCTATCACCAGTAACAAGGATGGTGGTCGCATTGGTACTATTAAATTATAGTGAAAAAATGCGCGCGAGCACGTACCAGACGTGGCGGCTTCTGCTACCTGGACTCACATGTTGGCGACGCTGTGGTCAAGTCCCAAAGCGACAAACGCCGAGATCGGTAGGAAAATGGCAAAGAACTTCCCGGCAGCATCGCTGGCGCTGACCGACATCCACACTGCATGGGAACAGCACGAGAGACGTTGGGGTAGCGGAGGTCGAGGGAGGGATCACATACGGCAAGCTCCGTTTGTTCACCCTACGCGTAGCTATCGATTTCAAACTGGGGCGGGCGTCGCATGCCTTCTTATCTTCAGCGATGCGGCACGCGTAGATATATTACTAACCCGAAGTTCGATCTGACACAGCAGCGGGCTGGATGTGTACAACCACAGTTCGTTCGCGTAACTCCCGGTCATGTCTTCTCGACGCGCAATCCACGACCGCACTCACCAGCCATGCAGACGAGCCAGTTGCACAGTATCCCCCTAGCGAACGCCTGCACAAAGGTGAGCGACGTCTTGGCCGTAGCAATGCCCATCGCAGATCCGGGGTTAACAACTACCCCACCCTGCACAGCCAAAAACACGAGCAAGAGCGACCTGCCGAAAGGCGACGGTATGCGAGAACATGAGGCTTCAACTGCATTGCTTGGGTGCCAGCTCCAATAGCTACTACCATTCCATTCCTGTGTGGTGCAGCAGTCGTCGAAAAAAAGAAATCCTACGGCACTGCGCCCACTTTTTAGGTAGAACTCCATGGTCTCACATGGCCAGTCATATGAAAAACCGACCGTCACAAATGTGTTGTATCTTCATAATAGTACGTGTCTAAACATGGACGCGCCTTTTATGACTCTATGTTCTCTCCTTTCAGGAAACACTTGAGAAAACCTTCTCAGCAGCGAGAGCAGACAAGTACTCAACGCACCCGACGAAGTTGCCGAGGTAGGAGAAAACCCAATTCTTTAGCAGACCGCCGATGGAAGCCTTGCCCTCGATAACGGCCGCGGTCACCACGGCAGTGTTGCCCGTGAACAACTCGCCACCTCCAACGACAGTCATGAAAAGCCCAAACGGCAGACCTGGACATGGGTTCGCATAGGTACAGCGGAATGTTCAGCGGTGAAGACGTGAGACGCATGCCAAAAAAGGCGTAGATGCTACAGTAGCACACAATATTTGCTCTGTACGATGAAGACTCACACATGCACAACCACTGCTGTACCCACGAAATCAAACTGGTTAACGCTACCCGAGGGGTCGGGAAGGCCATTACTGCCTCCAACGGACAGGATGTACTCATAAATGCGATGCGCATCTACAGCAAGCAATACACGCGTGAGGAGGCGAATAGGTTGGTTGGTTTCCCAAAACTCTACCAGGCATGTCTCAAGACTGCGTGGGAACGTTTCGTAGGTCTATGTGGTACAGAAGGCAAGGCCGTTCGTTTCTGCAGGTGAATAGAGTCTTCTAAGCGACGGCACAAAATCAGTCGTCTTGGAAACGAAAGAGAGAGCAGCAGCCGACAACATGGCTAAATATTACCCGGCGTGCAGCCGTTGGGGCCCGCAAAATGAAAATTTCTGCACGAAAAACAAGAAAACTTCGAAACACACGTCAGCCGTCCATCCTAGACAACATCCTATATAGAGACCCATGCTCGACCGTGGCGATGGAACACGAAGCTGAGCGTTGACCTCGCCCCAAACTCAACGTTGCTTACCTCAAGTGCGGACCATTTACAGTAGTCTAACTGCCGAAAGATATCTATGTTTGCGCGGGACTACGTGTTCTCTCTCGGGAGGGACCCACCAAATGCCCCGAAAATGATCTTCTGCAGTCCCGGGTTCGTAGCCAGAAGTCCTGGGCAGTTTCCTCCGATTGACACTGCCAGCAACGCACCAAAGCCAATGTGGCAGCCCGAAATTATGCCCATGAGGAACAGTTTTGCTACTGACCCCGACGCTTTCTTCTGCCCAATGTCGACAGCGTTCTGGTACATCTGCGGGGGAGGTTTTACCGAGGGAGCACTTGCCACAGCTGAGACTGGGGCTGTTGTGCTGCCACCGGCAACTACGGGAGCTGCGGCAGTTGACATCTTGAGGCTCTTGGTGTTGCACTGCTGTCGTGGTGCCATGGAGGTGCTGCGGAAGGCAGCCGGTGATGCAACCGCCCTCGAGGAGGCGAGCGGCATGGCTCCGCGAGCAGACAGGAAGGCCTCCGACCCGGGGGCCAGGACCAAGGCTATGGAGAGGATCGAAGAGAAACCCATCTTAACGAGAGTCGTCGACGGGCCGGGATCGCTTTTGCTCTGTTTGCCGCCTGCACCTCCTACCTCCTACGCCAGAAGCAATGTAGCACTTTCACGGCAACTTTTGGAACCAATTGTAGAACCAAGTTTTAAACCACGCGGGCAGATTACGGCGCCCGAACGACAACACCAACCCCGCCGCGCATCTCGTATCTCTTGTACATCATCATCTTGCTCAACCCCTAGCGACCAACTGCAATTGTCTCCCCTTTCCTCTTCTACTGTACCTCTCGGCACGCGCGAGAAGTTCTATGAGACCGGTGAGCTTGGCTGCTGTCTTCTTCGGGCCAGTCTGCGCTTTCAGATCACTGCCCGTTGTGCGTTCCCGCAATCCCGCCATGTTTGGTCCAGCGGTAAAGCGGCGCAGGGCGTCCACGTCGGTGAAGCAGGAGCCCGCACAGGATGCCGGTGAGCAATGGCACCATGGCACAACATCACTAGGGAGACACGCAACGGTCAACCCTCGAGCCATACGTCTGCAATATTGCAACACTAAATGCAATACTACTGCTGTTGTTTCTTTCGCGCCATTTTCGACGTCCACGAAATCAGCACATGCTCGCGGATGTGTATGCCGACTGCTGAAATGAGCACGGCACACTATGTGCACGTTGCGTAGCACCCTCATCCGGGAAACCTAAAGTAAAACAAACATATAGCAGGTTCATTGCCCAGGGGGGAATCGCAGCCAGTCTCGTACAAAGAATGCCGCATTGGTCAAGCCGTGTGAATTGCTCGCTGTCGCCAGATGGTGTACAGCAGCTGTAGCAGGATTCCGTACACTCAACGAGAAAACCCACCGCCCTGCCGTCGCTGCTCTCGTCTTCTTATGCCCAGCCCCTCTCACAGCCAACATCAAACAGCCGTTGGATGGGCTATGGCACGATCTGTGTGTCCCTCCGGAGGAGCTGAGACCCGACAGTACCCTCACTGTCGGACAATGCTTCAATTGGCGCCAGGCTGGAGCTGACTGTTGGGTGGGCGTCCTAGGTCGCGAGGTCATCGCCATCAGGCAAGAAGGAAGGAGCTTGCTCGGAAAGAGGGCTAGCACGTTCAAGGGGCGCTTTGTCCGAGACGAACCTTGTTAGTGGAAATGTGCAGCAGGTATTTTCGCCACAGCAGTTCACTTTACAACCGTCCGTGTGCACTGGCGCGTGCATGTATGCGCAGGCAAACGCCGTGCACCACTCTCTTCCGCAGCCTTAGTGCCGTCACCACGGACGGAGACGCCAAGGTGGCTGCGGCGTTGGCCACCACGCTCCGGGAGTATTTCTTCCTGAGAACACCCTTGGCCCCGCTGTATCAAAGATGGTCGGAGGGTGACCCCCGCATGGCTGCCGTAGCTTGCAGCATTTCCGGAGTACGAGTTGTAAGGTGAGCTATTGTTTTCTATCCCGGGGCTGTAATTTGGAGAGCGGTCAGACTTCTGCGCGTGTCCAATTTTCATCGAATGTCTTTCTGCGGAGTAATTACCGATGGAGGCACGTTCCGACCTCAGTTCCTTCCTTACTTGGGATAGTTGCGATCGCCTGTTTGGGGGGGGGTGAGAACATTGCTCACGAAACTATCGTACGGCCTGACGGTCTCATCCAATGGCCACAAGAGACATGTCATGAAAAGAGAACAGTATCATGAAGGAGGTGGCTGTTCCATGGACTTCATTTCTGTGGCAGAGGTGTTTATTGCCATGTACACTTGTGACCTCCAATCGCTAAAGTAGTGGATGGCAAACCGCCCAAAAGTTTCCTTCAAAATCACGGACGGAATTGTTGCCAATGAGCCAATGAAATGAGTCTGCCTAGAAGTAGAAAATGAAGCGGTAAGATTTTTAACAGCTAGGACCGCTGCCGCGGGCCAACAACACCTCACTGAATGTCTCCGCGCGCGTAGAGCATGTATAGTTTAGCGCTAACCATGGGAATGTGTGCACACCGGTTTAACAGGCAAGATCCCGTGGAGTGCATCTTTAGCTTCATATGTTCTTCGAACAACAACATTCCCAGAATAACGGGTATGCTTGGAAAGCTTCGAAGGACGTACGGCGACCTCCTTCTGAACGTCGGGAAGGGAGGCTTGGCGGCAACCGGAGCACTCGGGAATATCACAGTAAGTTAAGGTCTTATCCCCTATCGTGCTGTTCCAGTGCGTCTCTCATCGGTACATCGCGTTCGTGCATGCAGGAGCTGTCAAAAGGCTCTTGTTACAACCAATGTACCCCCGTGCCTTACATTCACCGTCTGCTTTCACCCCATCCCATTGTTCGCGTTTCAGGAATGCGAAGAGTGGGCGAAGCTGCCGCTGGAGCTGCATTCGTTCCCGACGGTAGACGCTCTCGCTACGCGCGCAACAGAGGCTGATCTAAGGGCGATGGGTGAGCAGGCCGTACTTGCTGCTCTGTTCTTTGATGGTCTAGACGCTGGTTCCTTGACTGTACTACATGTATAGGTGCGATCGCGGTAGAGTGGTGGAGGGACTCACGGGGGTGGCTACTCCTCCCACCGCCAGTAGCATCACTGCCGGGTTTGCTCGTACAGCCCCGACTGCTGTTTCGGTGCCATCTAACAGCTGTTTGACGTCTGCGCTTCGTGTGGTTTTGAACGATCAGGATTCGGGTATCGCGCCAAGTACATCGTAGACAGCGCTAAGCTTATGCATTCGAACGGCGGAGCTGGCTGGGCGTTGGATATGAGGAATAAGGACAGGGACGAAGTTCGCAGCCAGCTGGTAACTCTTTGTGGGGTGGGTCCGAAGGTAAGAAGTACACTCCTTGTTTCTGCCCCAACAGGTAAAGCTGGTGGATCACTCTACTATATAGTATTTGCGTGGCACATCGTTACTTGTTGTCACCGTTGCGATGTGAACTGCAGCACCCACATCACTCATTTTCGCGTGATTCTTGCAGCTATGTAGACATTCATACCGCATGGACGGCCTCTCCATCACCGCCACGCTGGTCTTTGCGGAGGGAGGGAGATGTTGCGGTTTTGGAGTGAGTGATTGCTTGAGGAACGGGATTCCTCATGTAGGGTTGACTGCATGCCGACGCTGTGGCTGTGAAGCGGTTTTGCTACGCAATGTTGCTCCACCCCAGTAGGTTGCAGTACAACAACATGCAATTTGCGGTGTTTGGCCATGTCGGCAGGTCGCGGATTGCATCGCGCTCTTCTCGCTGGATCAGGCATCAACCATCCCCGTAGACGTCCACGTTTGGAGGATCGCTTGCCGTGACTACGACCCGACTTTGGTGGAGTGCAAGTGAGAAACCCGGCGGTATCTCTTGTGGTTGTCATCGACCTTGGCGTATATCATTGTTTTCACGGGTTAGTCTAGGCTTTGTGCAGCTTTAGGAGAGCGTTCGTCAGGCCAGAGGCGGTGACATGCCATTGTGTTGCCTTGGATCCCAACGAGCGCTACACCCCTTCATGCTAACACAAGTTGATTCGGTACAGCAGTTGCTTCGAATCAAACATTCAACCGCAACACAGTGTCAGCTGGCGCCTTGTCTGTCTTGATTGTCCTTAGGCAGTAAGGTGCAGTGTGTGCGCTTTCCCGCCAAGGTGCTGTGCCGCTTCACGGTCACCAGGTAACATAACAGGCATTGCTACTACCCTACATCCTCATTCTACATTGGCAGGTCCTTGACGCCAACCGTGTACGCTCGTGTCGGAAATCTCTTCCGCGACCGTTTCGGAGATCGTGCGGGCTGGGCCCACAGCCTTCTCTTTGCCGCGGAGCTACCGGGCTTCAAGGTGAGTCATCAGTGTCCTCGTGTTGTCAGCAAGAGGGCCCGATTTCGGTGCTTTTAGTTCTTCCTTACTTACGACGCCACCTCACACACACCGCCCGCCCATACGCAGCAGCACATGGTGGAAGGTTGCGCAAGTAATGCGGCTATTAATTGGTCAAACTTGGGAGGTATGATGAAGTGGTCATCACCATGTCCTCTTTCGTGTCGAACTCCCAGGCAAAGCTTTCGCCAGAGATGCAGCGACAGATGGACGAGTTCAAACGCGAAGAGAGGGAAGCAAAGGCTGAGTCCAAGGCAGAGAAGGCGCGCCGGAAGGAGGACATGTCTTCCAAGTCCACTTCAAAGGCACAGGCAAAGCAGTCCAAACGAGGGGTAGCCATGCGCAAGCGTGGGCGAACTGCTCGGTGATGGTTGCAGCATTTGTACATTTGCATCGGACGTCCGGTGCCTACAGCAAAAGTGTGGAAATGTGGAGATATAAACAATGCCTGGTTTGCAATGCTTCATAGTGTAGATTCTAGACGTGCATTGTACCTCAAGGACCAGTACGATGTAGCCAACTCATTTTCAACATGATGCCAATAATTGCTGGGTGCTCGAAGCAAATCATACTTACAAAACATGCTTTTCCTCAGTGTTTTCAACTATTTAGAGGCCTCAGTACTATTCGACCGACCAAAAGCCACACATGGTACACAACCGTTCATTCCCACGCGTACGTGTGCCAAATGCCACAACTTTAGGACGAGCGGGAGCGACCGGTAAAGTCTAAGCTCAAATTATCTCTCACACCACTATACCTGCACGGTCACCAAAAAGAGCACGCTCAGCGTAGCATGTTTCAAATTTCTATGTTGCCCTTCTAGTCGGAAATGGACTGCTGTGTTATCTGAGAAGTGATGATATCTCTACTCCCTCTTGATGCCGATGTCGGTCCGCATAGCCTGGAGCCTCTCGACCAGCGGCGGGTGGCTGTAGTGGAAGGCGGAGTACCACGGGTCGGGGTTCTGCGCACGAGCAATCGGCAAACACAACATTTTGTCATATATGGCAGAGGGTGGGGATCGAAAAATTTTGTTGCTCACAGAGGCAACGTAATTCCAGTGGCCGAGCGAGACCTGGGAAACACCAAAAATTCAACATCAAATTGCCCACCCAATCGAAAGCAAGCCATCAAAATGTTCAAACGGTGAAACGCCATTTTGTTTTTGCAACAACGGTGTGAGCGTCATGGACGAGCGGGTAGGAAGCCGCTGTTTTTTGCAAAATTATGGGCCAAAACAACCGACCACGAGCTAAACACACACACCGCTGTAGCCGACCTCGACCTCACCATGTTTCCGAGGTTCTCGAGCTGGAGCTTTACCAGGCCCGATTGCAGCCCCTTCGAGTACCCGAGCTTAACCGCGTACGCGTCAGCTTCGAACTCGTTTTTCCTTGAGAGCACGTTCATGAACACACCAAGCAAATGGTCCACGGGTGCCCACATCTAAAACGACAAACAGCACACGACCGATAGCGAAGGCAAGGCGTGGGAGGTGGGACAGGCGGAACACGATGTAATTGCTATACGGCCGGCTGTGATCAGCAGTGTTGACCATTCGAGAAGGATGCTCCAGCGACTCCCTTGCTAAATAGGGAAACATTCCCACGTTCTTGTCGTGATATGCCACGAGAGGCGTCGGTGTTTACGTGACGGAATAGCGTATAGCGCGAATGCGTCGCCTGGCGACATCACAAGCGGCGAGAGACACAACATCATCGGCACTGGCTCCCTTTGTCGGCCGTGGGCACGGCAAGACTACTCAAATTTCAAGCGGCATCGCGACTAAGAAATCGTCAGGTCCCTGTTTTCGACGAAAAACAGCACTCACCACGGCGAAGAAGAGGTAGAGCGTGATCAGGGTCGCCGAAGTGGAGTAACCGAACGAAAGGCGTAGGCTTTCGCCCAGTTCCGTGGCCAGCCCGAAAGCGCAAAACGACGCCAAGAGGTACGTCTGAGAGATGACGAATCCCTGCAGAGTGTGCGACATCTTCCAGTGACCAAGCTCATGGCCCAAGATCGACACGATCTCGTTCGTATCGGCCTTCCTTACGGTGAGCACAAGGAAAAGAAAACGGGTCGCGGTCGATCGAGGCGAAGCAACCGGAGGGGGGATGGCGACATAATAAACTGACTGAGTTGGGGCTCGTGAGTTGCCTCCTATTCCACAATAGAACACATTTTGTTTTACCTCCCTCTTAGCGGAGCCCACGTCAGCGATTTTCGACTCTATCTCGTCGGAGGGATACGGATAGGGTTTGCTGTCGGTCTTCTTGCTGACAGGACACAGAAGCCAAATCGTGTTCCAAAGTTGTGACACCGGGAAAACAAAAGCATGGGAGATGCCGGCGACGAGAGCTACGGCAATCTTTCACAACAACTAACTTTCAGGAGTAACCCCGTCGTCCGTTCCCTCGACAACCAGCCGGAGAGATACATCGATTTCCGGCCAACGGCAACGAAACGTAAAAATCCAACGCATGCCAACAGTTGGTAATATGGAAAACAGTGCTTGTAGCAGGCGGCGCACCTGCTTGATGAGGGTGTCGTAAAGCACAATCCTCTTGTTCTTGAAGAATCTGGAATCGAAAAACACGGATGCGGAGAGGCACCGGATCGTCCGGTTAGTTATTTCGCCAGTGAAGACGCATCGATTTTGAAACCAACACGGACTGAAACAGATCCAAGATAACGTCCAAGGATGTCTAGCAATACTAGACTCGCTCGCTGTGTTTGTTTCGATATTGCCTCTGCCGAGCGATGCCATAGGTTTTCTGCTTACCCGTAAAAGTAGGCGTTGCTGTGCGCCGAACGCTTGGAGCCGTCCACCGAGAAGAGGTTCGTGAGAGGAAATGAAACCCTTTTAGCGAGGTTTTCGATGCTAGATTTCAGTTCTCCGTCCTGATTGTCAGCACCATAAAATACGAGAACGCAGAACGCACAGCAGCCAAGCACGGAGTTGTGAAACAGCCTCGCGAAAGAATGGGGAAAAGAGGTAACGTGTAATAATCCACCAATATCGGGACACCTGTTTGTGAGACACGCAAGCGTGCCTTCGAAATCCAGTGCAATCCTGTACAGTACCGTAGTATTGCCAGGCAGAATTCCCGTAAGTTAGACACGTGGTGCTTGGCTTGGATAGCTTTGCATTCATCATGTGCCTAGACATTTCAACACGGCAACACTAGGCCGACGTCCATATACAGCAAGTACACATACGTCCGCACATCACCTCAAGGGGAGAGTAGGTGTTGAACATCGGCATGATGACTGTGGGCACAATCGTGAGCATGAGGATGGAGAAACAGAACATGAAGGCCCACACGTAGACGTAAAAATGCTTGCCCCCGAGCTCGATGATCTTCAGCACGCAGCTTAACACCGGGACACTGATGACGACCGTGAGCAGCATGCTCTTCACCTGCGCGTTGGACCCCCCCCCCCCCCCCCCCGGGCCCTCACAGTAAAGGAAAAAAAAATCTCAATTGGGGCGGGGTTTTCCTAAAGACTAAGGGTTTGGGAAACATTTTTTAAAAAAAAACCGAAGGGGGGAAGGGTTGGGCCCGGAAAAAAATTGGGGAAAAGCCCCCCGGTTCGGC